GCCAGACGGCTGCCTTGGACACCGCAGCTCTTGACTGGGAGCCTTGGACAAACATAGGTTCGCGAATGGAAAGGGACATCTTCAGACAGTACCTCAAACGTGAGATGGCTCCAGTCGACATCCTGCAGTGTGACCACTTGGGAGCGTGATGTATCGTTGGTCTGCACAAGCGATATTGGGATCACTCGTTCGGTCTGGACATGGCAATGGCTACCTGAGGTTTACCTCATAGGAACATGTAGATTAGCACACCATGGATGAAGTTGGAGTTTACTGATACACCTCTCTCATGAAGGTAGTCTTCAGAGACTGGTAGACAAAATTCTTGCCTGTCGACATGCACTGCAGGGAAGGTGTAGCCGAAAGGAGGAAGATGCTCACGGTCTGTGCAGCTCCGCCTCAAAGTGGTTCGCGTCAGTCGCGTGCCAGCGAGCACGACGCGTTTCGCCATCTGACACGCTTGCACATCAACTCCAACAACCCATCCAAGAAATTGTCTTTTGTGCGTATCTTCGTGTGTTTCATCCCGTTCTTGCATCAATTAAGATCACCTGCTTCACAAATCATCACGCATCTACACACCATGGCATCGAGACCAGAGCTCAAAGTGGACGACGAGTACGGCTTCATCAAGTTCTTCAAAAACCTGTCTGGTACAAACGATGCTACGATAAGATTGTTTGACAGAAACGACTACTACACAGCGCATGGCGATGATGCCAAGTTCATTGCACAGAATCAGTACAAGACAACATCGGTGATCAAGCAACTTGGTCGTGATCCTGGTCTTCCATCCGTCACACTCTCGCAAACGGTATTCCGAAACTTCTTGCGCGAAGCCCTGTTCCGTCTCGGCAAGCGTGTTGAGATCTGGGAATCTACTGGCAAGAACAAATTTACCCTCGCCAAACAAGCCTCACCAGGAAATCTTCAGGATGTCGAAGACGAGCTTGGCAGTAGCATGGAAGCTGCACCAATCATTCTTGCTGTCAAAGTCTCAGCCAAAGCATCAGAAGCACGTAATGTTGGTGTCTGTTTCGCAGACGCGAGCGTACGTGAGCTCGGTGTGAGTGAATTTGTGGACAACGACATTTACTCGAACTTCGAAAGCTTAATCATCCAACTTGGTGTGCGAGAGGTTCTTGTGCAGTATGATGGATCGAACAAAGATGGAGAGCTGGCTAAGCTACGAGCTATTGCAGACAACTGCCAATGCACCGTGTCAGAACGCCCATCGGCAGACTTCAGCAGCAAGGATATCGAGCAGGACTTGAACAGGCTACTACGTGAAGAACGTACCTCGACTTTGCCGCAGACCGAGCTGAGATTAGCCATGGCAGCCTCGGCCGCCCTCGTCAAGTATCTGGGTGCCATGTCAGACTCTTCCAACTACGGCCAGTATCAACTATACCAGCACGACCTCTCACAATATATGAAGCTAGACGCATCTGCGCTGAAAGCTCTCAACCTCATGCCTGGACCCAAGGATGGCTCAAAAACGATGAATCTGTATGGCTTACTCAATCACTGCAAAACACCCATTGGCAGCCGACTCCTCGCTCAATGGCTCAAGCAACCCTTGATGAATCTGGAGGAGATTGAGCGCAGACTGCAACTTGTCGAAGCATTTGTCAATGACACCCAACTTGCCGAGTCAATGTCTTCAGATCATCTCAGGTCTATCCCTGACCTGTACCGTCTGGCCAAGAAATTCCAACGCAAGAACGCCAACCTGGAAGACGTCATTCGCGTTTATCAAGTCGCTATCCGCATACCTGGTTTCATTGGCACCCTCGAAGCGGTCATGGACGAACAGTACAAGGATCCTCTCGACATAGAATACACCAACAAGCTGCGCGAGTGTGCTGATGCTCTTGGCAAACTGCAAGAGATGGTAGAGACAACGGTGGATCTTGACGCGCTCGAAAACCACGAGTTCATCATCAAATCCGACTTCGATGAAGGCCTCCGCGTCATCCGAACAAAACTCGACAAGCTTCGTTACGGAATGGACAAGGAGCATGGAAGAGTCGGCGACGATCTTGGTCTCGACACTGAAAAAAAGCTCTTCCTTGAAAACCACAAAGTTCATGGTTGGTGCTTCCGCGTCACAAGAGCAGAGGCTGGCACAATTCGCAACAAAAAGCAGTACCAAGAATGCTCGACGCAGAAAAACGGTGTCTACTTTACCACAAACTCATTGCAGGCGATGCGCAGGGAGCATGATCAGTTATCCGAAAGCTATAACCGCACTCAGAGTGGGTTGGTACAGGAGGTCGTCGGAGTAGCAGCGTCGTACTGCCCCGTTGTTGAGAAGCTTGCAGGCATCCTTGCACACATGGATGTTATTGTATCGTTCGCTCATGTCGCTCTCACTGCGCCTACGCCCTACTGCCGACCAAAGATGCACCCTCGCGGCACCGGCGATACCGTTCTCATCGAAGCTCGTCATCCTTGCATGGAAGCTCAAGACGAGATCACTTTCATGCCCAACGATGTAACTCTCAAGCGTGATGACTCCGAGTTCTTGGTCATCACAGGCCCCAATATGGGCGGTAAGAGTACGTACATCCGCCAGATTGGTGTCATCGCATTGATGGCTCAGATGGGCTGCTTTGTGCCCTGCACATCAGCCGAGCTCACACTCTTCGACTGTATTCTTGCTCGTGTAGGTGCTAGTGACAGTCAGCTCAAGGGTGTCTCCACATTCATGGCCGAAATGTTGGAAACCGCCAACATCCTCAAATCAGCGACAAAAGAGAGTCTGATCATCATTGATGAACTGGGCAGAGGCACCAGCACATACGATGGATTCGGTCTGGCTTGGGCCATCAGTGAGCACATTATCAAGGAGATTGGTGCCTTTACTCTCTTCGCAACGCATTTCCACGAGTTGACCGCACTGGTGGACACATATTCACAAGTTCAAAATCTGCATGTTGTTGCAGATGTCAGTGATGGTTCATCAGCAGACTCTGCGCCTCAAGTTCTGCTCATGTACAAAGTCGAGCCCGGCATCAGTGACCAAAGTTTCGGTATCCATGTTGCCGAGCTCGTCCGCTTCCCACAAAAGGTCATTTCCATGGCCAAGCGCAAGGCGGATGAACTGGAAGACTTTGCTGGCAAGAACGAAGAGGCAAAGTCCGAGCTCAAAAACGTAAGCAAGGAGGATGTTGCTGAGGGCAATAGACTTCTCAAGGAGCTACTGGTGAAGTGGAAGAACGAGACGGAAGGCCAAAACATGGATGGCAAGGAACAGGTCAAGAGACTCAAGACCATGGTTGCCGAGAATGAGAAGTTGAGGGCTAACAAGTTCTTTGAGGGTCTGAAGGGATTATAATGATACTGTCTATGGACCGCCATACATGTACACTGGCAGGTCTCTTTGCTGCAGGATGCAGAACGATGCAACGTCTATAGCTCAACAAGCACGAGATTGATGAAGTACTTGTCAGATATAAATTCTCAATACTACTTCTTACTCTGCAACTATGCACCTCACATTCCTTCTTCTTCTCGTGTCAGTGTTTCGAAGCCCATCTCGACAAACTCCGTGCTGGCTTGCTTCTCAAGATACTAGGATCAATTTGGGTGTCAATCCAACGACAGGGGCTGGGTATCGCGCCTGGAAGGCAGACTGATGTGCTGTAGCTGTCCAACAGATAGTATCCCATATAGCCATATGCCTGGCTAGATCCCTTGAGGTTGGCAAACGATGTCGTGTACCCGCTCGGGGCAGTAGCTTGAGCAGCAATAGATGATATAGTTGGGTCCGAGACGAAGGCAACCGGATCGTTGATGGAATTGAGATTGTAGAAGTTTGCCTTCGTGGGTTCCGGATCGCAAGCACCTCGCTTGACTTTGCTCGCATCACGTTTTTCAAGAGGGTCAGCAGTGATCTCTGCGGCTGCCGATGATCGGGCAGAAGTAGGGTTGTAGGCGATGACTTGTGATGTCAGACCTGGTATGACGGAGTAGGTGGGGTCTGGAATAGAGTCAACTGCATCGAAATCAATGTTCTGCGGCCGTGGTGCTGCTGCAGCCAAAGCCAACAAGCTGGAAAGAGCGAGACTAAGATGCATTGTATTGGCTTCCTGTGCTTAATCTAGGGGAGGTAGATCTTGTACAACAAAGGAAACAGACACAGGTATTAAGAAGACCTGTTCTTATATCTTTCCATTGCTGATCTCGCTGGTGGAAAGAGCGGGTGAACGCGACTTGATCCAGAAATCAGCTGTAGCTGCTGAAGGTCAAGACGCAGCTGAGATCTGCTTGAGTTCAATTGATCTTTTGGTCGCCAGTAGCTCATGCATCGCACTATTGGCAAACAAGACCTCTGGCGTATACTCATTCACGATTGCAAACTGACAGTACTTGCCATAAGAGTCGTCTCGCATGAGCCTTGATCTGGGGTTGAACTCTGTATGGCGGCTGGCAGCTGCAAGTTGGAGCACAAGGCAAGTTCAGCTCTTGGCACACGAACTCTCTCCTCCCCGAGCTGAATCTCCTGAAGATCCATGCAAGTCTAGATCTGACATAACCTTCTTCGGAGTAATAATAGGTCTGCTGTCTGAGAGTCCGAATGATGCGAAATGCTCAGATTGGATCAGTATATCTTGCGTCTATTTCGCCTCCAGTTTCTCCCCCTCTTGACTAGCCGCTAACTAGAACGAATAGAAAAGTCAGAACTCTGTCACAAGCCGCGTTCTTCTGCAAGCGCAGAATTCATGTTCCGATTGAGGGCATGGGAGGGATAAGCAGACTGATCAGGAACTTGTAGCTACTGTTCGTGGCGCAATGCTCGCTGCTTCCAAGGCGCAAGTCAATAAACCACCACCACCACCATGTAGCTCTTAGTATTCAATCCATGGCTTCTTGGCATGTGTAACATCACAAGGACATGTTGGCCCTATTCCAGTAGCCATAACTCAAAGGGATCTCCTGTTTTGGTCGGCATCCAAAGTTTCATTCAAGGAGAACCAGTTCTTTTGGCTCTTTCCTCAATACACGGCTCTTCCAGTCTTCTCATTGTCCACAACTTCAGCTTCTTCCTCAACTTCTGTGTGCGGCGCACTAGTGATAACAATCTCTTCACTGACACCAGGGCTTCTGAATTGACCTTTTGCTGTCGTGAACCACGTGATCGCTGCGACGACCATGACTACGCCCACAGCTGCGGAAGTATAGTTCATGTTCTCCGAGTCGACTGGCTTGAGAGTTGGAAAATTGAATGTTATGGATGTGAAGAGTAGATATACCAATGCCATGATGTTGATTGGCATACTCCAGCGGCCGAGATTCCATTGGCCTTCGAACTTGGTCGCTGCTTGCGAGTTTGTGAGTGGAGCGATGACGCGGAGGAAGATTGGGATGGCGTAGGAGACGTCTATACAACATAAGTATCAGTGGGCGGCGTCATGTGGAAAAGGGTGCTCAGTCTCACAGAAGCCTTCGGTCGCGATCGATACGACAGTGTTGAAACCCGTCACGGTCCCAAAGTAGATTGAGTTCAGAGCGATCTGCACTACAAAGGTGAGAAGAATGCCGTAGACTGGGACTTGCTTCTTTGGGTGCACTTTGCTGAGTACGTTGGAGAAGGGGAGTCCGCGGTCTCTGGCGAATGCATANNCTAGACGATAATCAGCCCAATGAGGTTTGGTCACAGAAGACAGTGTACTTACCACTGCACGACCGCCTTCCGCAAGTAGCGAGATTGCTGAGAAGAATTGTATCATGACCATCAGAAAGGTCAGACATGAAGCACCAGCGACGGACTGCGTTGAGTCGTAGAAAATTTGGACAATTGGGTCGCCTGTGGCGCTCTCGGCCACACCGTCAATTGAACCCATGCAAAAGCATGCCGCGATCAAGAAGGCAAATCCAGTGACGGCACCAAGTGAGACAGAAAGAACGATTGCTTTGGGAGCAACTTTTCTGGCGTCATTGATCTCTTCTGTCATGTGTGAAGGTGCGTCATAGCAGCACATGCCAAAGGCCGACTGTAGTAGACCCAGGATGGCAGCGTACGGCTTGTTGAAACCAGTGAAGTTTTGAAACTCCGAGAATACAAAGCTAGGAGTCTGCTTGTGGTCGTTTGTGGCGAGAATGGTGATGAATATAATGAGAAAGGACCCCATGTTCCAGATGAGGAAGAAGTTGCTCATCCTGTGCAGCATTTGCGGACACAAGATATTGAGAGAGAGGGCAGCGATGGCAATCGCATAGGCGACCAACGTCGAATGCCAGCGGGTGATCTCATACTCCGGGTTGTTAAGGACAGCCATGGCAAGGATGAATCCGGAAGCGATAAAGTTGACCACAGCACCCATCGCAATGATGCCAATACACATGAACCACCCACAGACATAAGACAGGCTTTTAGACCAGCTCCGTGGTGCTAAGATGGCAGCCCATGAGTACTGGCCACCAGCCAGAGGATAAGCTGAGCACATCTCGGCCATAGACAGAGCGACAGCCATGGTAAAGACACAGACCCCAACCCATGACCAGATCATGACTGGAGGTCCACCACTTTCAGCTCCAATTATGAGTACGCCGGATAATGCTGTCCAGCTGGAGACAATCGAGAAGCAAAATCCGATCATGCTGACCAGGTTGAATGTTCGCTTGAGCTNCTGGATTGGAGTCAGAAGCTGTGGTATAGCTGCAATATTTGAGCAACACAAACCTTGTTGGTAGCCAAGCTGCTCGAGAGCAACATCATCTGCGGTTGCTTTGTCGAAAACCTTTTGATCCATCAGATCCGACATTGTAGATAGATTCAGCAAAGGACTGAGGTCGTGTTTATCAAGCTTCGATGCTCCACATAAGATGGGAGGCAAGCTATATACTATTTAGCCATGCACGCTTATAGGCAGTAAGACGATAGCGATGTCGTTAACATCCACATAACAAGGCGATTTTTCACAAAGACAAGGCTAGGTACCAGATAAGAAAACATAAGAGGCTTCGGCAAGCTGCACTCATGTAGTCAATTGTTGTCAGCGAAATCGGTGTCCGGACTGAACAGACCAACGATATGCCAGATCCTTATCTTCGGAAGTCCACTCCGACGACAGGTTGCGGAGTCATCTTCGAGAAGAGTCAGGTCCCGACCTTATTTGTCCAACCGTCTCCAAGAGTTTCCCTTTCGGGCAACCAAAGCGATAAGATGAAAGGTCCATCAGTACTCCAGCTTGTGTCCTGGTTTTGACGTGCTCTAAAGACGACGATGAGTGAAGGGAAGGATAAGGAGACAGCTCTTTCCTTTAGTTCTGCATCGGAACTTGCCGCGCAACGAACAATCCCGCGGGTTTCCGACTCTGATCAAGGGCTTTGTGTGACATGCTTTTAGAAGCGGTCCCCTCTCTTAACCAACACCGATAAACCGTTCCTAGAAGCTGGATGCTCTGGTGCTCGATTTCTCTGCTGCTAAGCCATTAACTACACAAATTAGCACAATTGGTGGGCTCTCTTCAGCATCGGGCAGCAGCGTTGCACCTTGTCGCTGTCTTACAGCAATTCTGCCTGGATATGGCGGATTCCTTGGAGGTTGGGAGCATGCTACGGGATCAAAAAGGTGTCGGACGCACCATTACGTTCGACCATTTCGAAGGACTTATCTTGAATAAAGAATTGTAAGAATAGACTGGACGAGAGTGGAATGCTCTAGAGGTGTAGCGTCTTTGGAAACGATAGATTGACTTCTGGGGTCGCACTTGGCTGGATTTATATTGACTTGCAGCACGATGGAACTTTTGATCAAAATGCGGTGAAGTGAGAGCGAGACACGAGCTGTGCCGCATACACTTGCATCTGAAGCGCGCGTGCTGTTTGCAAACTCCGCTCGTTCACTCGCGAGCATCACAACACTTTGTTACACCAAAATTGTCGACTCCTGTTGTTTTTCTTTCTCTCATCGACCTTGAACACGCTCGCCATGGCTGCGCCACAGGTCTGGAGCAGTCATATCTGGACTGAACAGACTTTGACGTGAGTGCCTCCCATCCTAACCATGTGTTCAAGACAGTCACAGTTGGAATGCACAATGCTTTACAGAAGTGTCCACTGAGAGTCGTGATTTTGTCGGCTCTCATTGGACTGGTCTTTGCTCTGAAAACAACTGTGCATCTCGATAGCTACACTGTGGCAGTCAAAGCACATGGAGAGGATTGCACCTTCCTATTTGTTCGGCGCTTACATAGTGAATAGGCGCCTAATCGGCAGCGACCAACAGCAAGTCGAAATCCGCACCAACGAGCGGATGCCGCAATCGTTCATGGTGCCACGTTCACTACTACACCACTATTGTCCAAACTTACAACCTTCGAGCCTTCCTGGCCACCCTTTTATCTTTGAGACCAATCGACCAGCATTGACACTATTCTTCGGATGGCTGTACACCGGAAAGGTTGACTCTGCTGACTGGCATAACCTCACTGAGCTCTACTTCCTGGGCAGTTCAGCCGGCTGTGTCGCCCTCACACGTTCCGCCATCTCACAACTACAGAAAGCCTGCAGAAATGATCAAGCCAACGACACCGACCTGTTCCACTATGAGCATATCTCGGTGATCGAAGAGATGGTCGGCGCGTCCTCTTCACTGTTCCGCTACGCTGAAGATACGTATTTCAACCATTGGCGCCCATCCGACGACGACAATATCAGAGATGACCCTTCGAAGCACCCGCAGTCCAGTCTTTTCTTCAAGAGACTGTTCGAACGCTCCTTCAAGGAACAGAGAGAGGGGGAGAACTGCTCTTGCTGTCACGACTATTGCCGATACCATGACCATGACTCAGTTGCAGAGCGTTTGGCAAGTAAGTTGTCCCTCTCGCATCTGTGTTACCACTAGGTTTGGAATGACTACCAACAGAATGCTAACGGCTATCAGCANTGTGGACATTCGTCGGTCTCTAACCCAGAGTCTTCCATTAACCATCCCATGACTGTTGTCGAGCCAGTTGCAGAGCCCTCAATCAACATCTCTAACGCTGTCGTCAAGCCGGTCGTGGAATCTCCAGTCAATACTCCTGTTGCCACCGTCAAACCAGACCCTGTGGTGCGCAAAGTCCGTAGAAGCAGAGTTGCGCGCGGATCCATGGGCGACGAGCTTGTAACAAGCATCCATGATTCCTTTTCGCACGAGACCCGTGCCGCCTCCTCTCGCTCTGGAACACCAAAGGGCAAGGCTGCCGACGAGACTTGGCTCACAGTTCAGAGCCGTGCTCCTGCCCACTTCCCTGCCGAGTACCATGGTTTGTTGACGTCTCTGCCCCAAGTTCAATCAATCAAGCCACCCAATTGGCTGGAAATCGGAGTCGAGGCTGAAGGAATCGACCAGCTGCCAGAACCGGACAGGATTATCGCTGCAGCCATGAGCTGGAACGCCGAGGATTACGCTCAGACAAAGTGCACCTTTTTCGACCAGTATGATTCGACAATCCGCGATCGCAATCACTGGCTCAACACACTCAAATTCGGAGGTAGCAAGTCAAAAGAGAAGGCTGAGCGGCTCTTGGCCATGTGGGAAAGCTTAGGATGGCTGGAGGTTGCCAGCAATCAAATGGATCATACCATCCCTTCGACTGCGTTTACGACAAAAGCCATGCCGCGAACTTCGTCTGGCGGCAAACTGTCATGGTCCGAGGGAGAGAAGGTCGCTTTGGCCAAGATTATGAGAGATGTTGGTATGGATGGATCATGCGCCAACAAGGGCGAACTCGAACGTGCCAGGGTATGCAGCGACCGACTTAGGTCTGAGTTCGGATACCACCGCACCGAGAGAGCCGTGCACAGCCAGTGGAAAAGGGCACAAGAGCTTGCCAGCACAAGCACAGTCGAAGCAGAAACCCACGTCGAGCAAACCATTCCAGCCGCCTCCGACCAGCGAACCATGCTAGCCATCGATCCAGAAGCGACTTCCAACAATGCACCGGAGCACCACAAAGTTTCAGTCGCGCCCAAAATCCGCAAACGAACCTCATTCGGTCCCAACAAGGCCTGGTCTGCAGATGAAAACGATGCTGTCACCTTGATCATGAGCGATATTGACAAGTCGAGCGCCAACTTGGGCGTAGTCGAGCGTGCCAGATTGTGCAAGGAGCGGCTAGTAGCTCAACACGGGTACAACCGCACCGAATGGGCTATCCTCAGCCAGTTGAAAAAGGCACAAAAGCTGGACGACATTGAAGTGGAGGCTCAAGCCGACCGAGATGTCCAAGTCGAACGACCAACCAATGGCGAAGATGGAGATCTGGCCGAAGACAGAAGCAAGAGATCCAGCCCGTGGAGTTCGCAGGAAGACGAAATTATGCTCGAGATTATGGATTTCCTTGAAGAACGTCCAGCTCACAGACATACGAGCATAAAACAGCGTGCTGAAATGTGCAAGCCGCGTTTGAAGACTCGCCTGGGAACTGACCGCACGTCTGTGGCCATCGCCATCCGATACGGCATAGCCCGCCGCAAGAAGGAGGCTGACAACATCGACGACAACATCGACGACAACATCGACGACAACATCGACGACAACACCAATGCTTCCGCCAATGACTCTGTGATCGGTGCTGTTCCCATCATCCTCAAGGCCTCTCTCATCGAAGACTCTGTTCTCAAGATCCCTCTTATTAGAAATCCTGCCATCAAAGACTTTACGCCAATCAACAGTGCGGTCAACAAGGCAGCTGCGAATGATGGCGCTGATCTCAATGCGAGCAGTACCGCGAGCAAGATCCGTTGGACGGATGAGGAAGACAAAGCTTTGATCGACGTCTATAAGGGAATTGAAGGAGATTCGCAATTGTCGACCTTGAACGAACGCGAGAAAGCCAAAGTATGTAGTGCTCGACTTCATATCAAGCACAACATCAGAAGAACCGCCGACGGCATCAAGGGGCGTTGGCAGAGGCTCAGCTCCTCGAACAGAGCCTCTGATGACACCTCGAACACTACCACAAAGAGAAAGGGAGACGACATTGGTGGTTTGAACGAGGACATGTATCCATTGACCGACCGCAAGAAGCGCAGACAGACGACGGAGGCAAGATTTGTTGCAGAGCTGTTTGATGCTGGACATGAATGAACTGATTTTTTCAGACGGCCACGACGTTGAACTGAAATCGAGAGGTACAGCGAGGTGAAGAAGGAATTCGAGGCTATTTTGACGATATCAGGAGAGAATGGGGGAATAGCCCCTCTCCAGGTGCAAAAAGCATGTGATGCGTATAGCTGTCCGAATGCACAATAATATCAAGAAACACGACAGTACCCATTAAGATGCGACGTTTTCCTGGCTCTCCTTGGTAACATCTCCATGTTCGAACAAAACTGTGTATTTCTACAACTGACTTTTTCCTCGATATTGATATGGGAGGAAGTCATATGCCGCTGTGATGAAGATCTTACTTGACGACTTCTCCACGAGCTAAGCACGTATAGCAATTACTATAAAAATGCACGATAGATTTGGAAAGCAAGAAAATATCCATGGAGAGGTAATAACATTCATAGGCTCTCCTTGGTAAACGCTCCAAACTTAAAAGCCTTTGTGCCTTTTGATAGCCTAATTGTCCGCTATGTGCTAGTATGAGATGAAGTCGTATATAGTTTGAATGCGTAATCCTCCTTAAGGACCTCCCCATAGGTTAAGCATATAATTCGAGTACTTATAAAAATGCACAATAGTTCTCGAGAGCAAGGTAGTCGCCATTGAGAAACGACAAAATTTTGTACGCTCTCCTTGGTAAGACACTTCAACCTCGGAAGCCCTATGATTACTTGCTTCCAGCCAACTTTGTGATGGGCAGCACACCCGGGAAAAAGCTCGCCGGCATGGTGGGGATGGGGATACTCTGTGTTGTCCCAAATGCCGTTTTGAGATCGGCTGCCATGGTGGGAGCAGTATAGCCAACAGGTGCTTTGCTGACCCACTGTGTGGTGGCCGCATAAGCAGCATAACTGGTCCCAGATTTGAGGCAAAACCCACTCCCGTATGCGTTTTCGCAAGAATAGAATTGAGAAGTGCCAGATTCCGTCCACATACTGAAATCAGTAATACTGATGTCGTGGCAAGGAGCTTTGGCAGCACAAGCAACTTTGACAGGTCCACGCGCTTTCCCATTGGCTTCTGTGCCCGTCCAATTCGAGATTTGAAAGTTGGAAAGCTGGACTCCGTTTCCGGCAATCGTCTTCATGGAAGTCCAGGCTTCGTCCAGAGTCAAACTGTAGGCATTTCCATGACCGATGAAATTTTCGAGCACGACGTTGGAGACGCTGCCGGAGCCGCCGTTGGACTTGAGCATGAACATTTGGTTGCTGGACCAGGTGTAGATGTTTCTGTAGGTGATGTTGGAGACCGCCGTGTCGGTGCCGAAGGAGCCCATGCCGCAGCCGCCGGACCAGTTGCAGTGGACGTTTTCGACGAGGATGTTTTTGGAGGGGCTTTTGACCGTTACGCATTCATCTTTNNGGATTGCTGATGTCAGTTTCTTATTGAGATCTCGATGGGCTGGAAACTGACCTTTGTTGGTGACCATGACATCGTGAATCCAGATGTTGTTGCTCCAGACATCGATGCCGTCGAGACCACCTTCGTTGCCACCGCGAATAGCCATGTTATAGACCTCGCCATTGGTGCAAGTGTCGATGGAGAAGTGGAAAGCAGGAGAGTCGACAAGAGAAATGTCGTGAACAGACCAGTTGGTGACATCCCAAACTCTCAAAAGTCTAGGGCCTGAGATACTGCCCTGCTTATGAAATATGTAGCCATTACCTTGAATAGCTCCTTTGCCAGTAGACGAGAACATCTCGAAGCTNNAAGGGATACAAAAGTCAGCATACTCTATGTTGGTTTTCCTACGAAAAGTAACGACCTACTTGTTACTGTGTTCAATCATGAGCATGTTGCCAGCATCAGTGCCGGTACGAGTAATGATACCATCAAGTTGCAATGCCCAGTTGTTGCCATTGGCCAACTTGACCCACTGAGACATGGCATAGTTGCCAGTAGGGATGACCACGACACCACCAGCTTTGCAAGCAGTAAAAGCACTGTTCAGAGCAGTGCTAATGTCAGTCTTTCCATCGGCGACGGCGCCATATTTGGTAATGTCGCAGGTCTTGATTGCAGCCTTGGTCGCATGGGAGGTGGTGGGACCGACTTTGCCAGAAAGTTCAGCTGCGACCAGCGCAGGCAGAGCGACAGCAAGTGTCAGAAGAGAAGAGAACGAATACATAGTTGGACTGGAAAGAAAGAAAAGGAAGAAAACGAGAGACTCGACGATCAATGAGCGGGCAGTGGCAAAGGGAGCACAGCAAAAGACAGCGAGTAGGCACGACCTACCTAATATCCTATCTAGCAGTCCGCACCTTTCCTTAGGGCTTGACTGGTCAGCCTATCTCTTCGGATGCGATACTGACATGGCTTTTGTTCCGTGGTTGTCGACGACGCCTCCAGATTTGGATGAAACGGATCCAACATGCGGGCAGTCGAGCACGTGGCCGGGGTGGATGATCAACATGAAACCGCTGCCGTTTCCCTGGACTAAAAGGCGACACATTGAAAGGCTGGAAAATTGTTACGGATGGTTGCCAATCAGCATGTAGCATGTATAAACGATGGCATGCTTGAGCGGGCTTGAGGAGGCTGAAAGCGACGGCTCCTTGTTGAAACAAATCCGGGTCGCTTGGATTGACATGATGAACGACAGCAAGATGGAACGTTCAATGCTTGAAGATGCACAGTGGAGTTTGCTTGTGCTTCGAGAGCAAGCCCTAACCCTAAACTTTAGGGTGTACCCAAGGCTTCTACTACAAAATTGCTCTTTGCGCAAAGTAGAATAGTGAGATGAGAGGAACAGCAGGGCAGAAAGACGCTCTAATAACCAGTCCAATTGTCTACCAAATGGAGCCTCACGCCGTCTGAATGCCTTCGCGATGCAACATAACCAATGCCCAAACCAACGCCCCGCTCAAATGCAAGAAAAAGAAAGGCTTGTCCGCGTGTGGTCGATAGATTTCACTCAGCTCATCTTTGAATCCTGCTGGGCTCCATTTTCTTGTTGCACAGGCTCGTCGCCGCCTGCAAGCACCTTTGTCCTGGGCACGCTGCCCTCGTTCGGGTTACCTCCTGGTGTCACGGCTGAGACCTTGCCATTCTCGTCGACGAACTCGAAGTTGTAGCGGGAGAGTAGATGAGGAATGGCAGAGAGCTGGGGACCGTAGCGCTGAGCGTTATCGTATAGCTCGAAGAGGGGCACGGCGAGCAGCTTCATGTTCTTTGGTACACTCAAGANCCTCTGTAATTGACATGTCAGTATTTGCCGGGCGCATGGAATAGTAGTACACAACGTACTGCTCTTGGGTAGCTGAATGTAGTACAGCTTCTTGCACTCTTTCGGGCGAGAGACATGCGGCGGGATGAAGGGGTACATGAAGGTCTCAAAGTTGGGCCTCCACCACTGCGCAAGCGTCTCGCCAATCTCCCATTCGCCTTCATTGCCGTCGTTGGAGAACTGGTTGCCCGAGGGAGCGAGTCTTTCATTCAGCCTAATCTTGAAACCCTCAATCTCATCGGCGTCGTGTGGGAGATAGTCTCCAGGAAGTTTGAAGAAGGCGTTCGCGATTTGTAGCATCAGGACGTGTGGGTGATTGTGGTCGTGGCATACAAGGATACCTTCGCAGGTTCTTCTCATGCCATACGCATCGTAATGTTCTTCCAGACGCTTCAGACGAGCGAGGACTGAGGNGTCTTCTTCTGGTTGAGTCTCTTTTGTGCCGAAGGTGTAGTTGCTCAAGGGATATAGCCTGACGGTCTTTGGTTGGTGTGCATTGAAGTCTGGCGGAGCTATCGGTCTGTGAAGCGGCGATTGTCGTCAGTCGTGCGCGTGATATGGCGCTTGTCCATGACATACGGNGTAGGAGCTCTGCTGAGCGTCTTTCGAGATTGTTGTCATGGTTCAACAGATAGAAGTCGCGCGACGTTGTGGGGGTGGAGAGACGAGTTCAAGGATGCAAAGAACCAAGGATGGACGGTGAGAAGATGGAAGCGATGGTATGTCGAGAGAACAAAGTGATTGGAAGCAAGACAACGAGCACAACTCGAAGCTTGACTCTTGATGCGCGACGACGTGGGTTTTGTGGGGAAGCTCGCTCCTGCCAGATCCAGTCCTCTCGAGAGCTTCTTCGCTCCCTTCCTTCCTCCTCTCGACTTGTTTTGGTCACCCGTTGCCTTGTCTGACAGGAGACAGTCCCGTCAGCAAGTGCGACTCGACTACATCTGCACCTAGACATACGGCCAAGTGAACCCCTTTTCCTTACTTTTATCACCCCTCCCATTGACTACTATACTGCTACCTGCTTGACCTGCAACCATCGATAAATCTGCATAACCTAGACCTTCCTCCAGTCCAACATGTGCCGGTAAGTATCTTGCTGCGCAGCTCTAGTGTTGGAAACCGATACTTCATGCAGTTGGTTCGCATACATCTCGCCAACCGAGCCATGTCTCCTGTCGGACGTCCTCATCACACCTAAGCATTCTCTCACCAACCAAGTCAACGATCACTACCTGCCCGGCCTCATTGCCCACCTACCAAACAAAACTACCGCAGAACACGAAGCCAATGCTCGCAACCGCATCCTCAACGCCGACGGTCTTGGTGTCGCCTGGTACACTTCCTCATACAGCGACTTTGAAAGTGGCATCACCGCCGAGAGCGAAGATGGCAAGCCCCACGAAGGCCTCAGACCCGCCATTTACAAGACCATCCAGCCCCCAAAAGGCGACATGAACTACCGTTCCATCTGCGCCAACACCGAAACCCGCTGCGTGTTTGCTCACATCCGTGCTACGTCTGAAAGCGCCGTCGCTCACGTCAACAACCATCCCTTCGTATTCGGAAAATTCGCCTTCATGCACAATGGAGCAATCTCCGACTTCACCTCCATTAGACGTGCTATTTGCGACATGCTGGATCACGACACATATGCCAACGTCCAAGGAACCACCGACAGCGAGCACATTGGTGCGCTCTTCATGCACTTCTTATCCTCAGGAAAAGGCAAAGACACTTGGGACGAAAATTATTCGGTCCACGCCATAGCACACGCACTCCACACGGCCATCAAGACCGTCTGCAACCTGCAAAAGGAGATTCTCGGAGCCAAGAGAAGACCGAACAGCTTGAACCTGGCAGCCACCGATGGCACCCAAATGGTCGCATGCCGCTTCCGCAATCACAAGGAAGAACAACCGCCAAGTCTGTACTTCTCGACCAGAGCCGGCACCACGCTGAATCGCAAGTACCCCGACCATCCCGACGGATGCGACAGACCTGACGAGGGTCCGCGAAAGGACGAGCAAGAGCACGGAAAACATGTCATTGTTGCCAGTGAGCCCAGCACCTACATAGAAGAGGACTGGAACATCATCAACAAGAACCAATACCTCATCGTCCACAAGGATGGCAGGTTTACACTGCAGAACATGCTTTACTCGGAGTCGTGGAATGCCGATGATGCAGAGGCCTACCAGGCAGTCATGGCCGAGGCCGAAGATCAGAAGACAATCACTGCTGAGATGGAAAGTCTGAAGGCGAATATTGCTGGAGCAGAAGGTCAGAAAGCCAATGTTACTGGGGCAGAAAGTCATTAGGTGCATCAAGGTAGGTATCCTTTATAGGGTCGTGGTATCATCAATCATCTTCCCATAACACTCGTGCTCACTTTGCAGCGGCCGCTGGGACTACGACAACAGGTGATGCGTCAGGAGCCTTCTCTGGAGCTTTCGTGACCACAATTACTTCCTCCTTCGAAGTCGTAGCGGCGGCTGCGGCAGCAGCTGCCGGTGCGGGCACAGGTGCTGGTGCGGCTGGTGGTGGGGGAGGAGGTGGTGTCTCCTTGACCTTCTCGACGACAACCGTGGTAGGCGGAGCGGGTGCAGGTGCTGGAGCAGGCGCGGGAAGTGCTGGTGTGGCCTTGTACTCGATAGCCTGAACCACGGTAGGAGAACTGCTGGCGACCACGGCAGGAGGAATGGTAGCAACCCTCTTGACCTCCACAACATTGGTAGCAGCAGCGCCTTGAGGAGGTGCACCGACAACGACAAGCTGACCAGACTTCTTCTTCTTGTGACGGCTAGCGATGAGCCAGTAGGCATAAATCCAAGCAGGGAACATACTGTCCATGTCGAGGGTCAGCAAAACAGCCGATCATGGGGGTAGTAGAAGAGAAAACTAACAAGACAATGAAGAGAAGGGTACAGATGAGGACTTCGATGCCACAGCCTTTCATCATGAAGACGGCGATCACAGGGTTGAGCATTGCGATGACGACAAGGAGGAGGGTATCGTTGTCGAAGGTTGTGTTGTCTGAAGACATCCTGATGGCTTGACTGAGGTGCCTGTCGCTACAGACGTGTCTTTGCTCTGATGAAGCCGAGGCCTTGATGGTTTATCGAATTGAAATGGTGGATGGATGATCTTCCAACGAAAGAGGAGGAATTGATGTTGGTAGATCCACCCGGGAGAGCTGAAGAATGATCCGGTGATAAGGAGTGTGAGGAGTTTGGACTGGATCTGATAGAAGAATTGCTGGAGGCTCGCGTGCTTGGAATTGCAGTGTCGAGTATTTTCGTTTGCAAACATTGATGGAAGGAACCACCAGGGTTGCTGGGCGCGTCATTTGTGGCTGTGTGCTGTGGCTGCAGCTTCCTCGTCTAACGAACAGAGGAGATTTTTTATGCAACGCTTCTTTTCAGAAGTGCATGCTAATGAAATGGCCATGTGCAGCTTGACACATTCTTCTTCTAGATCACGAAGAGACCTTTGACCTCTCTAGTATGCTTTCTTTCAAGTCCAGAAAACCGTCTGCGACGATGAAATCCCTGTGTAATATCGTGACTGGATTGATCACAGCATCTGTTGCCAAAGATTGGTTTTGTCAATTAGCGAATCGCAACCGCTCTCTATTCCATTCCCCAATGACCCCATCATGTGAAATAGTGACGTTATGCTGTCCTCAGACAAAACATCAAAAGGCCTACCAGAACAACTAACCCTCCAAACCATCTACCTACCACTTAACATCCTTCAGGAAACCAGCAACAATGCCCGACCCTTCCATCCCCCAAAGCTACGAAATCAGACCCGATCCCCAAGCCCTGACGGCCAACAAAGAGGACCCAAGCCAAAACGCATCCACAGGCGTAGACTATGAACCCCACCCCGAAAAGAGCATCAAACTTGAGCCGGAAAGAGAAAAAATTGTAAAGTCGATTTGTGCACTTTACTCGGGTGGTGCGAGTGAGGAGCTCATGTCGGTTTATGCTGAGAAGGCTGTTTATGATGATCCTTGGTATGTACACCGAGAAAGACTTGAGTGGGCATTGGAGTCGAGATTGGTGGGAGAGGTGTCCTGATGCGCGAAGCTTTTTGGAGACTGGCAAAAGTCAGTCTTGTAGAGCAGCTGCTTGGTTCGCTATCACTGGAAAAATGACTCTGCTTGCCGAATCATTGTACATCATGAAACATCCCACATGGCGAGACTCGATTTTGCTGAGAGCTGAACTCGTCCATCTACACGCACCAATCAGAGGCTTTATGCTGACTAGAGACAGGTCATACTGCGACACCCGCTACAAGATCGCCGGCCAATGGTACGGCATCCCCAAAGTAATGGCCAAGTCGCAAACCCTCAAGACCGAAGTCGTCGACTCGCAACCCGATCGCATCATTTTCAAGCTGCAACAAGAGTACACACCCAGAGTTGTCCACTTTTCCAAGCCAGTCAACAGTCTTGTCACATTGACCTTGGACGACCAAGGCAAGGTCAAGTATCACAAGGACATGTGGAATGAGAAGGACTATTCGCATGAGGGCTTGGGCAAAATCATGAAGACGCTGAATGGTGATCATTTGACCAAGGTGAGTGTGTGCCAGAAAGAAAAGAGGAATGCAGACTGACACAATAACAGATCACCCAACCGCCAGAGACTTTATAGATTATACTTTACGAAAACCACGAATCCATAACGCTCTAGAGTATCTAATATAAATTCTATCCACATGATTGCTCATTGAGCCAAAGCTTCAGCACCCTTAATTTCCAACTCATCACCCTCTTTGGTGGCAGTAATAGTAGCCAGCTCTTTGTTGTCCGGGTCTACCAGTTGGAAGGACGACTTTTCGTTGGGGAAGAAAGTCTTGACCTCGACATCCTTGGTCCAATCCCAAGTCGTTCTCTTCTCTCCTTGTTTTCCAAGCACCAGAATAGAGCCTTCCCTGACATACAACGGCAACGTATCAAACTGATGCGTCTCCTTGACCCATCTTGGTCCTTCAACAACCTGGCCATCCCAGAAACTAGTCCACTTGCCTTTGGGCAGATAAAACTCGACCTCTCCACTTTCGTCAAACACTGGCGCAACCAAGAGACTGGATCCCAGCATGAACTGCTGATCACACAGCCATGCCGTCTTGTCCTCTGGAAACTCGATGGCCATGGCCCTTACACTGACAGGCCAGCCGTGCTTGATACTCTCCATGGCCGTCGAGTACAGATACGGCATCAACCTGCACTTCAACTGTGTAAACTTTCTCAACACCGCGCTGCAGCCTTGCTCGCTCTCATCATTGTTGTCCACCAGCCAAGGAACACGATAACTGTTGCTACCGTGCAATCTTGAATGCGAGCATAGAAGTCCAAATTGCACCCATCGCTTGTAGATGGCTGCATTAGGCGTACCCTCAAACCCACCGATATCCACGCTCCAGAAGGAGAAACCACACATTCCCAGCGATAACCCGCCACGCAGCGATTCAGCCATGGCTTCAAAGGTACTCTCGCAATCACCTCCCCACTGCAAAGGAAATTGCTGTGTTCCTGCCGTAGCAGCGCGAGCAAACAACACGGCTTCATATTTCCCAAACCTCTTCTGCAGAGCCTCGTAAACAACTTTATTGTAGATATACGCATAGTAATTGTGCATTTTCTCCGCGTCGACAGAGGTATCGAACCACTGTACATCTTTACTGGGTATGCGTTCTCCAAAGTCTGTTTTCAGACTGTCGACTCCGATATCGAAGAGTTTTTCCAGACAGGAAGTGTACCACTCGCAGGCGGCGGGGTTTGTAAAGTCGATGATGCCCATGCCGCTTTGCCAGAGATCCCATTGAAAGACGTCTCCGTTTTTGCGGCGCAGGAGGTAGTTGTTTGCGGCTGCTTCGGCGAAGACGGGGGAGGCTTGTCCGAGGTAGGGGTTTATCCATACACAAACCTTGTTCATGAGTCCTGAAGCCTTGAGACGAGAAATACTCGCTTTCGGATCAGGGAAATGGGCGGGCGAAAACACAAAGTCGCACCAGTGGAAAGCGCGCAGCCAAAAGCAATCGTAGTGGAAAACTTGCAGGGGGATGTCTCTTTGCTTCATGCCTTCGAGAAAGGAGAGCACGGTGTTGTCGTCGTATTCGGTGGTGAAGGAAGTACTGAGCCACAAGCCAAAACTCCAGGTGGGCACTTTGGTAGGTTTGCCGGTGAGTGTGGTGTATTTATCGAGGATCTGTTTGGGCGAGGGCCCGTAGATGATGTGCCATTTTAGACGTTGGCCCAGGACTGAAGTCTGTACTCTGCAGCATCTTTCACTGCCCACTTCCAAGTCCACCTTTTCGGTGGCGTCGATAAAGATACCGTAGCCCTTGTTACTCATCCAAAATGAAATGTTTTTGTAACTTTGGTCACTGGAGGTGCCGCCGTCGGCATTCCAGAGTGTGATTGCTTGGCCCACTTTATTGAGCGCGCCGAAGCGTTCGCCCAAGCCGTAGACTTGTTCGCCCACTCCCAAAGTGCTTTGGGTGAGTATGTAGTGATCTATATCTCTCATGTCTGCAGTCTGCATGGGGCTGCTTGTTGCGGGCGAGTAAGCGAGTCCCACGCTGCGATTGAGCAGAGAGGTAAGTTTGTGCTTGCCGTCTTTGCTGTGGAAGCGGATGTCGAAGGTGTGGGGTGCAGAAGATACTGTTGCTGAGAGATTGCCGGCTGAGATTGTGGTGCCTTGTTCTGTCTTTTGGATGTCGGCGTTTACTTGTGGTTTTCCAGAGGGAAAGAGGGGAAAGTGTGGGCCTTTGTTTAGAGCACCGTGCCAGTGGGTGACTTCGACGGAGAGGACGTCGTCCATTACGGCTTCCAGTTCCTATGTATGGTTGGTCTTTTATCCTTGATGGTTGCAGTGTGTTTAACATACCACTGTCAAGGTGGGACGATTCAGTGTATCACCTCTGCTGCGGATTTGCATGGTAGGGCAGAGCAGAGTAATCTTCTTGCCATCATGTGCTTCGTTGATAGAGTAAACCTCTTCAGCATACTCGAGTCGTTTGCCCTCGGCGACCAACCACATGCCTGATTCACATCATGAGCACTCAAGACAACTTCCACGAAACTAGTCTACTCACCATCGCGAAACTTCATCTTGGGTGAATGCGAGGATAAGAAAATGCAAAGAGGCAGAGATGTGAGAGAGCAAGAACAGATGCAAGATACCTACTTGGTCATCGAGGACAACAGAGCTTACCTCTTCAAACCCCATCTGCACGAAGATCACCAGGTCGATACGGCGCGGGGTTCTCGTGATGGATCATGGATGGAGGGGTTCACGGAAAAATCGTCCCAGGTAGGAAATGTACCTGCCGAGCGAATGCATACAGGCTGAACACTTGCATGAGCAGCAAATGACACCGGAAGAATTGCTCTACATGTAGAAGGATGCGATCAACATGACCATGTGTGCAGCAGATGTTGTATGAAAGGTCGGTTGCGGTTGTGGTTGTGGTTGCTGAGTTGAAGCTTGCCGTTACGATCATCCTGCGACGTGGATCATGAACGACTGTTGCCAACGAAGCATCTCAACAGTATGTTATCACTACAGATCCAGAGGCATCGCATTCGATATCGAGTGTCAGAAGTGCAATTCATTAAATGATAAAGTACTTTCGGCAGTTCCTTTGAACAGAAGACAGATTGGTCTGTATTCAATGCCAAGCCATTTCGTCATCGTGGAAGGCATGAGAGCTTCTCTTCGAAGAGCAGACACTCTCTTTCTTCAACATTTTATAAGATCCAAGAAGTAGGTATCATCAGCTCTCTTTTGTCTCCATCTTGGTTCAAATCATTTTCGCGCTGCAAACATCTCTCGACTACACTCGAAATCATGCCCGATCTCGGATTTGACCCACTCAACCGCGAACCGCCAGCTACTGAACTGGTATCATCGTTTCTCACTACAAAAGATGCCTACGACCGCAACCATGGAGGCATACCAGAGATAGAGGCGTCGAAACACCATGTGCGAGTCGATGGCGCAGTGCAGGATATATTGGACCTGTCAATATCTGACCTGGAAGCCTTGCCTCAACATACTGTCGTCTCTGCGCTTCAATGTGCTGGCATCAGAAGACACACTATGCGTACAGCCATCAAGGAGGTTCAGGGTATTGACTGGTTCGACGGAGCAGTCATGAACTGCAAATGGCGGGGTCCGAGATTGAAAGACATTCTGGAACAGGCAAAGGTGATTCTTACCAAGGAAGAAAAAGGCCATGTAGCATTTGCAAGCCATGCGCAGCCATGTCAGGAGGACGATTGGTACGGAGCCTCGATAGATCTTGAAAGGGCACTGGAAGAAGACAAAGATGTGATATTGGCACTTGAGGTGAGACGATGTGATGGCCAAACACATGATACATTGATGGCTGACTTTCTCAGNATGAATGGCAAGCAACTTACCAAAGAGCATGGATTTCCTGTTCGAGTGGTGGTTCCCGGTATTGCTGGTGCTCGGAGTGTGAAGTGGCTAGATCGGATCACAGTGCAGACGATGGAGAGTTCCAATTACTATCAACAACATGACTACAAGATCCTTCCGCCGGAAGCAGTGGACAGCGAATCTGCAGAGAAGTATTGGGACACAACGCCAGCACTTCAGACTATGCCGATCAACAGTGCGATCGCAGTACCAGAACCAGGATCGAGAGTGGAAAGGTCAGCAGAAGGTAAGGTGACAGTAAAGGGATTTGCTTTGCCCAGTGGGGATGGTGGAGCTGTGGTCAAAGTTGAAGTATCCGGAGATGAAGGAAAGACATGGACAGAAGCAGAGATCGAGCACGATGCAGACGAAAGCAGGTGGTCGTGGAGGCTCTGGAAAGCAAGCCTTCCGATGGAGGCAGGTGCAGGGCTGAAGATGTTTAGCAGAGCGACCGATGCATCAGGCGAGACACAACCGGAAAGATCGCAGTGGAATTTGAGGGGCGTGGCATACAACGGGTATGGAGAGACGACAGACCTTGAGGTGGTGTAGAGGAGAAATAATAAATAATGACAAGAAATTGACTTCGCGACTGAAACGGCTGGCGGTGGTGGTCTGTGCGGACAACTCGACGTCAGTTTCCAGTGGCAGCAGGCGGACGACGTGAACATTCAACACCTCGAATCCAGTTGTATGCTAGGATTGCGACCCAGACTTGTAACGCGCCCGTCACTCATCGATCTAGTCAACAAGAAGGACTCTGATCGCCCTCCTCAATCAGACTCGCAGTCCATCGACCTTCCCGCGAGCCCCATAGCAGACAGCTCAACCACCACCTCCACAACAACCGCCATGGCCCCCTCAAGAGATGTCGAGTCCCAGCAGGGTGAGTTTGTCCTGTCGCTCCTGATTGTAGTCCACCTAGCTGACAATGACCAGGCTCCATCTTCTCCGTCTCTGGGTACGTCGCGAGATACGACACCACCACCACCCACCACCTGCTAACGCCCGCCCAGTCCCGTCATTATCGCCGAGAACATGATCGGTGTCGCCATGTACGAACTCGTACGTCCCAATTCGTCTCCCACACGCAATGCGCCGTACTAACTAAAGCAGGTCAAAGTCGGCAAGGACGGTCTCGTCGGTGAGGTTATCAGAATCGACCACGACAAAGCCACCATTCAGGTCTACGAAGAGACGGGTACGTTTACATGCACACGCAAACCACACTCAGCATGCTGATCTAAAGCAGCCGGTGTCACCGTCGGTGACCCCGTCTACAGAACCGGCAAGCCCTTGTCGGTCGAGCTCGGTCCTGGTCTGATGGAGACCATCTACGACGGAATTCAGCGCCCGCTCAAGGGTATCTCGGACGTCTCCAACAGCATCTACATTCCCCGTGGTATCGATGTGCCCGCTCTGGACCGCCAAAGAAAGTGGGACTTCAAGCCTGCTGGCTACAAGGTTGGCGACCACATCACCGGTGGTGACGTTTTCGGTTCCGTCTGGGAAAACTCGCTGCTCAGCGACCACAAGATTCTTCTTCCTCCCAGAGCTCGCGGTACCATCACCCGTATCGCCGAGGCTGGAAGCTACACCGTCGACGAGAAGATCCTCGAGGTCGAGTTTGAGGGCAAGAAGTTCGAGTACAGCATGATGCAGGAGTGGCCCGTCCGTGTCCCTCGCCCCGTGAACGACAAGCTCGGTTCCGACTCGCCATTCATCGTCGGCCAGCGTGTCCTCGACGCCCTCTTCCCCAGTGTCCAGGGTGGCACTGTCTGTATTCCTGGTGCTTTCGGTTGCGGCAAGACTGTCATTTCGCAGTCTGTTTCCAAGTTCTCCAACTCTGACATTATCGTCTACGTCGGATGTGTACGTCCAGCCTTGTACCACCCAAACTCACAGAGCCCATGCTAATTTTTGTCTGTCTCTCAGGGTGAACGCGGTAACGAGATGGCCGAAGTCTTGATGGACTTCCCCGAGCTCACCATTGACGTCAACGGCAAGAAGGAGCCCATCATGAAGCGTACCACTCTCATCGCCAACACCTCCAACATGCCCGTCGCTGCCCGTGAGGCTTCCATCTACACTGGTATCACCGTCGCCGAGTACTTCCGTGACCAGGGCAAGGACGTTGCCATGATGGCTGACTCCTCGTCTCGTTGGGCCGAGGCTCTTCGTGAGATTTCCGGTCGTCTCGGAGAGATGCCTGCTGACCAAGGTTTCCCTGCTTACCTCGGTGCCAAGCTCGCCTCTTTCTACGAGCGTGCTGGCCGTGTCACTGCTCTTGGTAGCCCTGACCGCAAGGGCAGTGTTTCCATTGTCGGTGCCGTCTCTCCTCCCGGTGGTGATTTCTCGGACCCTGTTACCAGTTCTACTCTTGGTATTGTGCAGGTCTTCTGGGGTCTCGACAAGAAGCTTGCCCAACGTAAGCATTTCCCTTCGATCAACACCTCGCTGTCCTACTCAAAGTACACGACCTCGCTGGAGAAGTACTACCAAGAAAACAACCCCGAGTTCCCTCGTCTGCGTGACCGCATCAAGGAGCTTTTGACCACTTCCGAGGATCTCGAGCAAGTCGTGCAATTGGTCGGAAAGTCGGCTCTTGGTGATGGTGACAAGATCACTCTTGACGTCGCAACTCTGCTCAAGGAGGACTTCTTGCAACAAAACGGTTACAGTGACTACGATCAGTTCTGTCCCCTATGGAAGACTTTCTGGATGATGAAGAACATGATGAGCTTCCATGACGAGGCCCAGAAGGCCATCTCCCAAGGCCATGCCTGGAGCAAGGTCAGAGAAGCTACTGGTGAGATTCAGAGCGAACTCAGAAGCATGAAGTTCGAGATTCCGGACGACGGTGAGGAGAAGATTGTCAAGAAGGTAAGTTGTGAATATCCTTCTCTCTCTAAAGTTACAATACTAACTTCCAACGCANNGTACGAGGAGCTTTTGCAGAAGATGAACGAAAAGTTCGCTTCCGTCATGGACGAGTAGAGAAGACAATAGACATTTGTTTTTGTATGTTTCTGGGCGTTTACATGGTCCTTCGAGGCTGTATATAATCTCATTTTTCTGAAGCGTTGTTGTAAATTCGACATGTGTTTCCCCGCATCTCGGTCATGACCATCACTCCGCGGCCGAGGTTGATGAACGACATCTTTTTATACTCGAGTGCTCGTCAAACAACATTACCCTTTAGTTGTATGCGTTTTTGTCATTGAAGCTGACAACAATGGCACAACCACCGCCAATGACTGGCCTTCGCGTGCTCGAGTTTGCAGGTCTAGCTCCAGGTAATTCCGAGCATCCATCTACATGACTATACCTGCTTATGGACACAATCTACNNAGGACCATTCGCAGGCCTCTTACTAGCCGACTGGGGCGCCTCTGTACTCCGCATCGACCGCGCAGTCCCAGGTGCACATGGCGACAAACCCCCACCACCACCAACAGCAGACCTCCTCACACGCCACAAGTCGTCCATAGCCGTGGACATGAAATCCGCAGCCGGAATCTCCCTCATCCTCTCCCTGATCCCAAATGTAGACATGGTCATCGACCCTTTCCGCCCGGGTGTCCTCGAAAAACTGGGTCTGGCGCCAGAAGGCGTGTTGCTGAAATTGAACCCTCGTCTCATTGTCGCTCGCATGACTGGGTTTCGCAGAGATGGCAAGTATGCATCCATGGCCGGCCACGATATCAATTACCTCGCCGTCTCTGGCGTGTTGTCCCAACTCGGTCGTGCAAATACTACTCCCACGCCTCCTGCCAACTTGCTAGGTGATTTTGGCGGTGGAGGCTTGGTTTGCTTNTTGGGTATTGTGATGGCCGTGTTGCAGAGACAGAAGACTGGGTTGGGACAGGTTGTGGAAGCCAACATGGTGGATGGAGCTGCTTATTTGGGCGTCATGCCTAGGTTTGCGCGAAAGACGGTGATGTGGGATAAACCACGGGGAGAAAATTTGTTGGACGGTGGGTGTCCTTATTATGATACTTATGAGTGTAGCGATGGAGGATATATGGCTGTGTAAGTGTTTGCTTTCCTCTCTCTCTCTACCATCCTTCCTCTGTCGCTCAGAGGTAATGGTCACTGACATCAACAAACTCATATAGANGGAGCGTTAGAACCTCAATTCTTTGCTCAGTTACTCAAAGGCCTTGACATCTCTCCATCTGCCCTCCCAGGCCCCAGAGAAGACCGCACAACCTGGCCCTCCCTCCGCCACCTCTTCACAAAAACCTTTGCCTCCAAACCCCGTGCTCACTGGGAGAAGATCTTCGACGGCACAGATGCCTGTGTGACCCCAGTACTCACTCAAGACGAACTTGAGAGTGATGGATATGATCAACGTCCCATCGTCACACTCAAAGATTCGCCGGGCAAAGCTATTGCAGAGGGAGATGCGGATGCGAGGCCAGTGGTTCAAGGGCAAGGGATTGGTGTAGAGGGTGATGGGTGGATGAGTACAGGGCTAAGCGCTGGAGTGGGTGGGGAAGAGGTTTTGGGGAGGTGGATGGGGTGGAAGAGGGGGAGGCAGTATGGTGTTGTTGATGGTGGGCTTGTGAGGTTGAAGGGAGGGGCTAAGTTGTAGTTTGATGCTGATGATTATGGCTTGGCTATGGAGTAACACACCCTAACCAGACTTGTACCTTCCATTCTCTTTTGCATTCATAGACTCTACCATACCTTCTTTCATCGTTGACGACACAACATCAGCAATAGCATTTTTCCTTTGGCATTTGTAACCAAGTGACTTTTTATCACTCTCCCATCTGACGACGCAACATCTCCAGCTCCTCAGGAGTAGGAGGGCCAACCAACATAGCATTGACCTCGCGGCTTCTGATAGGCAGACTCGCGATCTGCTCGGCAAACTCGGCCATCTTCTTGTCGTTGGGGTTCTTTACCGCCATGCCCTTGACCAGCTCAGCAAGACTCTTGGAGTGTTGGTTAGTGGGTCTGCGGGCAGGCTTTGTGGGTTTGGAGGGAGTGGTGNNGTAGGGATAGGGATAGAGGTAGAAGGTGCGGGACCACCATCATTGTTGCATTGGTGGTCGTCATCAACGCNNCAACGCCAAATTTGCGGTTCAAGCGCTGAATCACTTTGCCAGGGACATCGCCGTAAATCTCGAAGGTCTTGACAGGAGCACTCAGGTTTTCAAAGGCATCGGCGAGGTCAAAGGCAGAAGTGTAGAAGCGTCTGACATTGTCGTGAGTAAAGATAAANNGCTAAAATACCGCAAAGAATTCAAATGTCAGCAAAAGTTCCATGTCTTATATGTAGAATGCAGTGGTCGCGACTTACACAGTACCATCCTCACGCATAATCTGCACAGGACGAGCTGCAGCTTGAGTGAGCAAGAGATCGATCTCCGCACGCATCTCCTCAACTCTGCCATGGAAGCAACTAACAAAACGAATAGTCAACGACTCAAGCTTATTACCCAGCAAATTAAGACTCTTGACAATATGATTGAAATTGTGCTTCAGTGCCGCAACACCATTGCCATGGCGAGGATGCTTGATGTCAAACTGAGCTCCCACACTGATGACCAAATGCTTGATTTGAGCCAAAGAGGCAGTGTCCAGGCGATAGTTAAAGAGCTGACCGGTGATCGCGTAGCGAGAGTATTCGCTCACGGGGATGAGGAAGGTGTTCGTGGAGAACAGCGTGCTGGTGAGTTCTTCGTTGATTTGCTTGTCGGCGTTCAGAATACCTCTGGCGTTGACGAGAGGTTGATATCCCTTGATACCCCAGAGAGGGGTGCCGGGGCTGATCTCCAAATGTCCTTTGACTTGATCCAGGGAGTTTCTGATATGAAAGCGGTCTCCGGTGGTATTGATAAGCGAGTCGTGTTCAGCTTGTTGATCGGGCGTGTAGCGAGCAACGAGGAGGTCTTCGTAAANCCTAGTATGTTGGTGTCAGTGAACGCAATGTAAAGAAGACCCTTGGATAAAACTAACCTTGTCACGAATGTCGCGATTGAGCTTCAAAAACTTGAACGTGCCTTCAGGTATAGGCGTGTGAGCAGTGCAGTGCTTCTTGTGCTTGACCCAGTGATCCTTCTGGCAGCTCTTGCTACAGTAGAAGGTGACCTTGCACTTGGCGCAGTGAAGAGTGCCACTTTCGAAACAGGAGCCAGATGCACATCTTTTGGTTTGAGGAGACGACGCCATTTTGGTCTTGTATTCTCAATGTGAGAGGGATGTGTATGATGAAAGACGGCGAAGAGAGGTGAGCAGAGAAGAGACGATGAATGTGGATGGCTGAGCAAGTGTTGAGGCTGTACCAAGTGACGACAAACGGCAAACGCGGAAGGACAAACAACACGGACGAGACACGAGAAGCTGCTTGATGACTACAAGTGTCTTGCAAACACAGCTACCCGGTGCCGAAAGGTCCCAGCACGTGGCAGTTACGCATTACTGACTTCCTCATATCACCTTCAAAGTAGTAGACCTGTTGGCACAGAGCATCTTATCAAAACGAAACCATCCCAGCACAAGCAAAAACCAAGCTGTCTAAGCTTGGGAAAACCCTTCCTGCATGCAAAGTATTCTACCTTTGCAAGAGAGAGAAAGAACATAATGCTCCGCTACATCCAAGGATCGAACCAAGGACTTCTAGGAGTTTTATCGCATGACAAGATTGAGTGGTCTTATCGATTGTGCCAACTCACCGCCTTGCTGAGAGAAAGGGAAGTTTAGCAACAACATATGTCTTGGTGAATTAGAGGCGAGTAGATTGTGATGAAATGTTGTGTCTTCACTTTATGCTCTTTCCACCCACAGCATTGGTTCCTGCAGCGGGAGAAGCTGCGATCTTTGTAGCTGGCGTTGCGACCGCCTTCCTTTTGACCCACCTCTTGATCGGTAGAGTCGAGATCTTTGCAAAGCTCGGTGTAAGCCAGAGACTCAATCCCAATCTCAATGGCAGCAGCGCTTTCGTGATCGCATATGCAGTTGCAACCCTGAGCAACCTTGTCAGCATTTCTCCCTCAATGTCTCTAGACCTTGTAGCAGCGACTCACTCAACAAGCAACCTCACACCATCTTCACCCCTGGGCCACCACTTCGCCAATCCTTTCCTGTTCTTTTCATCTTCAAACCCTTCTCCATCAGCATCTCTGATCCATCCTTTGCGCCTGAAATATCTTCCAAACTTTTCAACCCCCTCTTTGACCCAGTAGCCCTCCGAGAAGACCGGTGGCAGCCAATCGAACTTGTGGAATGCGAACGTGAGACCGAATAGAGGTACGATGGCCGTGAGCTCATGGAGAACCAGGAAGGCCGTTATATGAGAGATCGGTGCATTGCGCAGAGGTTTGATGTAGCGAGCGAGGAAACGTGGGAGACGGGATTCGAGGCGCGAGATGCGAGATTGTTTTGCGGCTTCTGTTGAAGGTTTGGTTGACTGGTGACGGATCTGTTGCTGGAGAGTGGCTCGACTGTACTTTGAGGAAGGTAGGATCCGCGATAAAAGCCTCGGAGGTGGCATTGTGGATGCTATGCAAGGTGGAAGACTCGTGTTTACTTGCACGCGAAGTTGGAGAGTTTCGCATACCATCTACGTCATAACTGCTGAGAGTGACACCCTGTCTGTCCATGTCCTGAATTTTAGATCAAACCTGAAATTGTGTAGAGCAACGTAGTTGTTTTGATTTGATCAATCGTCTCTTTTACCAGTCCTAGTCCTGCTCCACAGAGTATTTTTATTCCGGGAACTTATTCTCCTCGACAAACTCATCAGGAAAGACGAGTTCTCGCGGGACATCAGGCTTCCTTCTCAACGCAACAAAATACGCTTCTTTGCTCTCCTGTAACACAACGAACAAACATACAAAGGTCAGCATTGCTAACAAGACATTTTCACGATATCGCAGCATTGATGCCGGACGAGACTACATCAGAGGATAAAGCTTACCTTNTCTCGAAGACTCTGGCTTTTCTTTGTGGACCTTGTCGAAGAGTTTCTTGAGCCGATTCTCAAAGGCCTTGTCTTCGGCGCCTTGGTAGAACTTGCACATGAAGTGGCCGCCGGTGCGGAGGGTGTCGTAGCAGAAGGTCAAGGCAGCATTGCAGAGATNCCTACTGGTGCAAACGCAAGGCCGTTGCTTCAGCCAGCGCACTTTTGAAGAGTATACGAAGAGAAGGGAGAAGTGGAAAAGGAAGAGAAAAGAGAGATGGGGAGGTAAGGAAATTGAGGACGGAATGATACAGGAACTTACCATGCTGCCGGCATGATCGCGAAAGGCGGTGCCGCTCGTGTTCATCATCCTGAAATACGGGTTACTAACGCTCCTGATCCAGTGGCCAGTGGTCTGCTCCCAGGGTGCTGACATGTCACTTAGCACAACATCGACAACCCTGCCGTCGCGGAGATCCTTTTCCCGCACGCTGAGTTGTGCTTCTTGTTCCGCCTCTTCGTCTGCTTGTCGGTCTTGCTGATCAGGCTGCTCGGCGGTTTCTTTTGGCCGTGTTTCTTGCGCCATGCTTAGCACACCACGTGCTTGACTCTCGACGTCTTCTTCTGTTGCACCCTCCTCTTCTTCGGCCTCGCCTTCACCTTGTTTCGACATTGTTACTCTTGCTCTTGCTCGCCCTAGTGTTGGATCGCGCACATATCTCCGTACCTCGGCCTGCACCTCTGGACTCAAAAAGTTGCCTTGGATGCTCGAGGCGCCTCGCGGCGGCTGTGCGGGAATAATGTCGATGCCCAAGACTCTACCACCTGGACTCGTCTTGCTAACGGCAACCTGACTCCAACTACCAGGCGCATAGCCCAGATCCACAACGGTGCCACCCTTGCGGAAGATGTGGTGTTTCGAGTCGAGTTCGAGCAGCTTGAAGGCCGCGCGAGACTTTAGGCCTGCGACCTTGGCTTCGCGGGCAAAGTGGTCGCGTGTCTGGCGTGTTTTCCACCGTGTTGAGGAACTAGAGCCATGGGCAATGGAGGTTCTGGACGTGAGGGGGATGTGCGATGGAGCAGAAGCAGAGATTGCAGGACAAGATGCTCCTATGGCCGGCAGTAGCGTGAGTGCTTTGTTGCTGCTGACGAGTCGGCGATGAGTCTGGCGGAGACAATTCATCGCGTGGTCGCTGCAGATTGACCCCTGTCGCGTCGAGATGTCGAGTTCAGGGGATAAAACACAATGTTGATATCAAAAGACGAAAATGGTGAAACGCACCAAAACCAGACAAGAAAACGACGATGCTTGATGTCCTCTCTCTCTCTGTCTCTCTCTCCATCCCAAATCTCTTGGCACTCGATGAAACCTGAAGATCTTGTCCTTTTCAAACAGGCATGCGCTCCCGTCAAAAAGACAGATGCCCCAGTGCCCTTCTGCAAACATCACCAGACATCAACACACGCACCACCTCTTGTCCATCCCGGACATAACAGTAATCTGATATACATCCGACTGCGATCGAGTGAGAGGGCTGCAACACTCGCCAGACAGCCCACTTCGCCAAAGTTGCCCTGTTGCCTTTCTCCTGCTTCTCGACCCATGCCTATCCCAATCTCCACAACATATAATCCTTCCTCTTGACTTCTGTAGCAAGCGTATAGCGTACAACCCTAGGTGTCTAGATCTCCAAGGGTTGCCCCATGTGGACGCGCGTGCCTGCATATCGCAGTAAAACAACAGGCCAAGAGAACTAACCTTTTGCCTTGCTCTTCCCCTTCGCACTTGATCGAATCCCCTGAGTATCAAATCCTGCTTTGATTATTGCATCAGAGATCAACTCAGCAACATGCCAATTGTAGAAAATGCTTATGGCAGCGAAAATCAAGAAGTGCAAGCGAGGACTGAGACATCCTCCCGCTGTTGACGTGATAGAGACTTTGCACTTGTCTCAGACTAGCCGCTCTACTCTTGCATGGTTCCTGAACTTTTTATCCGCAAAATAGTCGGCTAGAGTTGACTTTTACGTGTCGAAGAACTCATGTTTGCGACTGATTTCATATCAAGCTGCTGCTTTGTAGACCAACATCCTGATGCTAAACTATTGGCAAGAGAAAGAAAGGGGTTGCATGTTAAAAATGTCTTTGTTGTTCATCTCTCAAATGGATGTTCTGTTGCGTGCCGTCTCTTCGGCTGCATGGTTCGGCGTACAAGTGGCTCTAGTGAACGCTTACCATTTCCCTGGGCTCACAAAATGGAGCTGTCTGCGCCGTGTTGGCACACACGACCGATGCCACCACCCCTAAAAAGAAGGCCCGAAACAATATACACGCTGGAAAAAGAGCGTCCCGCTGATGAAATGTTGGCTTGATTACTGAATCGAATCAGAAACGGGGCAGAAAGCAAAGTAGCTTCACATCTCCATTTCTGCTCCGAGACACGGGACGGCAGAGAGGCCATGGACAAGTATAGCGACTACTGCTAAGTAAAGCTGAGCCCTTGGTGCCTTGTTACTTCATCGAATGCAACGGTCGGACATTTGTTCCTGTCATCTGTTGGTTGCCCTTGTGGAAAGGCATGTCGTGCCGGGGCGTACACAACGATCTAGACCACAGATGTTGCAAAGAACTTACGAGCACAAAAGGGGGAAACACAAAGGAACTCAAAGATCGAGGACACTTCCTCCCCGTGTGCTAAATCATGGCACGTGGGTAGCTGTAGAGATGCACAACGCTATTGAGAAACAAGACAGTGTCCACGGAGAGCCAATACCTTGGCGCCCTTCTTTGGTCACTCCTCTGCTTTGAAGAAGAACTGTGCCTTTTCACAGTATACACTCGCTCTACGCTTCCAAAGGAGAGTGGTGAAGTTACAGACTTGAGCACATGGGGAGATTGGAAGACGAAATCAGAACCAAACGTTGTATATAGAATTTTTCTTTTGAGATTTATCCAAAGATGAAGAAAGACGTGGAGGGTGTAAAGAACAGCCCTGTTCAATGTATGTTCTGTGTGCTTTGCTTCTCCTTTGCTCTCAGCTCTCGTTACCGTTTCAAATGTCCAGCTCTTGATCCATGCAAGAGAGTAGAAAATGCCAGCGGTGGAAAAAGTCAAGCAGCAAAAGGAGCAAACACAACTTCGAGCTCAGCTCAAAGGCCAACAGATGATGTGGCGGTTTGGGTAGTATATAGGAGATTGCCAGCAGATCGAATCGATGATGAGTGCAGGAAAGGTGGGGGTATCATTCTTCTCCGGAAGATTGAACGCACAAAGGAGATTGTAAGGGAGCAATATTGAGAAAAAGGAGCAAGCTCCTTTGAGAAGAAGTAGGAGCGACCAATTCAATGGCGTCCATGAAAGGTTGTTGACCTCGAGCCTATTACAAATTAGGCGGGAGAGGAAATTTTGAACATGTTTTTTTGTATGCTCGGGCTGTTTCGTAAACGATGGCCAGAGGCGGATGGAAACATGATATGGCGTTTCCAGCGCCAGAGTGTGGAAAAGGGGGTGGTGTAAAAGAGTGCCGGTGATGAGGGTCGTTAGACATTTGATCCCTAGACGCGACCTCAAAAGAAGCGAATAAAATCAAGGAAATATGTAATCAGTATGGGTGACGAGCATCTCTCTTGGGGCTTGGTGGCGCAGTCGAGTGATGCGATGAATGGTGGTGCTGTTGCTGGCTTTTGCTCGCCGGCAGACCGCGTTCAAAGACAAAATCGAGATGCGTACCGGGAGCACCACTGTCGCGACGATGCGAAGGTTGACCAGCGCCGGGAATAGCGCGAGGCGAAGCATTGCTGCGGGCAAGATCCTGGGCAGGACCACCTTTACGTCCGGATGAAGTCGTGGAGAAGCTTGGACTCGAGTGGGACTGAGTTGGAAGCGATGATGGTGGAGGAGGTGGCGGATGTGCTTGCTGATTCTTGCGCTTGCGAGGGCTGTCTGCGTGGTGGCCTTCAGAGTTCTGCGATGCAGCAGTGCCCGTGACTGGAGTCTGCGGCTGGTTACCCGACTTGGAGTCAGCCTGTGACGTCGGTGGCACCCAGTGGTGGAAGTAGATGGATGGTGACGAGGCCGGCTGGTCTTGTTGGATGGTTTGAGTCTGATGCAGAGGGTGAGCACTGCTCGGCGCAGACGGAGGTGGATTGATCTGCATGTCTCCAGTTGTCAGACGAGGCAAGGTGGATTGGGCCACAGACGACCGAGGCAGTCCAGCAATCCGTCTGCCTGGAGGTGATGTCGATTGAAAGGCAGAGAAGGTCGTCTGATGGGCAGCCAGCGGCGGTGGAGGCTGCTGGGGCATGGCACCAGCATGTGCCTGTGATTGTGGTTGCGAAGGCAATGCGTACGGGGCCGGAGGCTGGTTGATGCTTCTTCGTTCTCTTGCATCTTCCTGGCTGGCCTGGACTTGTTGCTGAGCGGCCTGTAGCTGGGCAGTGTACTGTTGCAACACCTCAAGGCTGAAGTTCGCAAGGTTGGCACCGCCAATTCCTGCAAAGATCATGGGCACCATATGCGGAGGAATACCACCCTGCATTGACTCTCGCAGCATCGAATGTTCGACTCGTCTCTGCTCCAATCTCAACGACTCCTGCCTCGTCTTCTCTTCCTCTTGCCTTCTTCTCTCCTCTTCGACCCTTGTCGCATGCCAGCTGCGCGATGATTCCCCTTCGTCCTGCCATTGCGTCCTCTGGGCTTCATGGTGGATGTGCGCCGGCGCTTGCACCGGTGGAGGTGGCGGGGAATCATCGGTGGNAGCCCTCCCTGGATCCGGCAGGGTCATGGCCGCTGGTGGAGGCAAGCCTCTGTGTTGGTTCGACATGGTCGGGGTGATACTGGCCGGCAGTGGAGGTCGTACAGCGTCGTTCATTACAGACTTTGGAGAATATCTGGGTAATTGTGGTGATTTAAAGTCATGCGTAGTACGTGCGCCAAAATCTGGTTTCCCGGGCTGCGATAATGTGAGCAACATGGTCGAGCCTTGTCCAGGTCCGGGGTTAGGTTTAATGAACCAGATCGATCCCGAGCATTAAATTGGTATATACAGCAGAACCGATCCGAGGGTATGTGGTTTCGAAATGACAAGTACAAGGAAAGGTTAAAAGGGAAATGATGTGGAAATGCGAGAGGTGGGAAACGGACAAAAATAAAAATTCAAAAGCGTAGAAAAAGGACTGGGGCGCAACATACAGTTTTTGGGAAGAGAGTGTGCTGCGTGACGTCTCTTCTGCTCTGCCCTGGAGGGGGTTGTGATGTTGATGCAGATGTAGATCGGTACACTGATTCGTTCGCCTTAGTATACCCGTTGCAACTAGTCAGCTTTAGCCCGCGACCGGGTTTCGAAGCACGCGCGATCAAAAGGCAGGTCTGGCCGCCTCTGGGTGGAGGCTTTCACGCTCGTCAAGGGACGACCCGATGACTGGTTCAGAGTATCCGAAAAGGCTAGCCCAGTGCAGCTGCTGTATGCGCTATGTAACACCAGCACTCTGTTCTCGAGGAGATCGAGAAGCGATGACTGTTCCTCGGCGCGCGCGCGTCTGTGTCTTGGTCCTGTGAGATATGCCGACGAGAACGATGCGCACGACGAGTGCGGATGATAATGATGGTGTGATGATGCTGATGATGGTGATGGGGTCGGTGCTTGAGTCTGAATTTCCTTTTCCGATGTATGGTCGAGGGCCGGCTGGAGGACTACAACTCATTAGAGCTTCTTACATGAAGATAGCGTCCACTTTAATAAGTATGGCAAGTCCTCGGATCATACGCTGTCTCTGTCAAAACGAGCAGGTTCGCGTATGGGATCAAACAATAGAGGCAGGCAGGTGGGCAGAACGTCTTCGTGAAACATCAACGGCCATCAGTTTTCAATCCGGAGGGTTGGTGAGATAGAAGGGCCCGATGGAGCCGTTTTACGAACAGCAAAGTGGGCTTTCCTCTTTGGCCAAAACGCAAGAATCTAGTGGCGTCCCAGCCATCGCTTGTGCCGCAAGATTATGAGATCGAAGGAAGAGCCCAACCTGTGCTCACTCTGCATGTCATCACGGTCGGTCCAGGAAGGACCCATACTCGCATCCCATCGCGATGTTTTGGGTTCGGCAAGAGATTAGGAGTTTGGCTGATGACCTCTTTCGAGCTCTTGACACAATTTGGCGAACTGCGGCGACTCCGGGAAATTACAAGCTGCTTGAAACTGGAGAAACCACGCAATCACTTCATTCCTTGTGTTGCTGCTTTCTTGTTGAATCATAGTTACACCAAGACTCATGGTCAAGAGATCTTTCTGGTGCGCATGCGGCTAGCCATGACAGTCGGTCGAGCAAATGCTGATCCTTTTCGATCCGAGCTCTGACTCCTTGGATCGCAAAGAACGTCTTTTCGAGATCACTGAAAACGGTCGTCGGCCACTCTGACTTGCTTGATCGTGCTATCAACAAGACATATATTAAAAGTGCTAGGAGTGTATAAGCTCCGTCGCATCGGCCGACAGGGCGCTTTCCTAATATCGACAAAATGATGGCGGCCCTTTTAATTCCTGCGGGCTTGTGGCTTACAATGTCCCAGATGAGCTTCTCCACAATCGTAAAATGTCCTCGTTCTCGATTTCCGCGCGAGTCACTCGTAGTGGTGGGTTATCATTACGTGCAGCCGCACCCGAGCTTTGGTCATGTCTCGTGCCTGTCTTTGTTCCATGTCCGCTGTCAACTTGCGAACCACGCTGCCGTGATGTACACGAAACAAGGGACTTCCCGCCGTCCGTGTCCGTCCGTCGGATTGTTCCTCGAGCCGGATGAGACAAGCAGAAGAAGACCGTCCGAACGGGTTTTACGGCAAGCAGCAGCGGTGGGCTGTGTGAACGTTAGACGCGCCGTTGGGATGAAGTGTGCGACATCTCAGCACTCCACTCNNGCCTAAAGTCCCCCACGGCTCGACTTTCAGCAGCGAGAGAAGAAGGTTGCTGACAGGCCGTTGCACCCCGGTCCAAGGCTTGAACTCTCTTCTCGCTTCATGTGATGTTCAAAAGGCAACTTCACGTTGCGACTCGTGCAAGCCGCACGAGGAGATCGACAAAGCGCTCAACAANAGTTGCACTCGTGGTCTCTGCGTTTTGCGTGCGTCCCACGCTACTCAGGTACCTACTTTTCATCTCTGCAAGGATAATGCCTTTTCCCTTTTGGCTTTGCACATCTTGGCCAAATGCGAGCATGTTACCGAAAGGTGCTCACTGCTTCGTCCTCAGAGCTTTCTCGATGCGGTGTGACCGAAAAGCACAAGCTGCACTTTACTTAGCCGTTATTGCGCAGGGCCGGTGCGGTTGCTTGAGCAGTCGACCGTGTCCGAGAGACCCGTGAACTCAGGAGTTGAGCTCCATCCAGCGACAGCAAGCAGCAGCTTAAGCGCAAGCAGGGGCGATAAATCCAATTTCCGAATCGCTCCAACCTGTCCTACGCGCCGCCCGTTGCTTGCGCGCTTCCCGTTGGGCACTGAGGTGTGGATTACTCTTCTGATCAACTTGAAACACAACAGTTGACCCGTCGTGGATTTTCGCGAAGAGGTTGGAGGCAGGGACCTCCGACATACGCTCTTTTCGATAAACGACTTTACAGGTCTCGATGCTTTGAGAGCAAGCGACATCCCGTCCTAAGATTGGTGTGGGTCTAGACCTATNTGTTCTTGAATCGTTACAGTTTGGAGGACAGCCAGCCATGTTTGGCTCTCCCACCCTCCATCCATCTCAGACACTTGACTTTGGCAAGGCTTGCATCGGTACGTGCTTAAGGTGGACGGTGACCACTCGCAGCGGCGCCACCTCACGCATTGCATGATTCGTTGCTGTTGTGGGTTTACCAGTGGCCTCTTAAACTCATTCTGCAGGGACATCTCACCGCTCATGGGGAGGCGTCTACCGGGTTTGCATCATTGCATGATGTTGTGGAGGAGCTTAAGCAGGACGCTATGGCGACCGGAGTGGGATCGAGGCAAGTTTGTTGCAGACAAGTTATCCCGCGCGATTCTCGACATGTGGCAAAGAACCAGACATGACGGCGACGCTCATACTCCTCCAACCGAGCATTACATCCAATAGTGTACGATGTTCTCCACGGGATAGTCGGGGCTTGCAATGACGATGGGGAGCAACCGATGTGCAATGGAAAGATGATCATACACATGTGAATGCAGGAAAGGGTCAGTGGCGTAGACCTCTGCGTTGGTAGTCCCAACAATGGAGAGGAGACACAAGGCCAAAAGAAGTCGTCTTGTGTTGCAGCAGCAGGCTGAGCAACAAGGTTGCGAGCGACTTCTCTTCAGGCAGAAAGAGAGGTCCATCACCTCATGCTCACTCGTGGCTGCACGTGGCCGTCACGCTGACTTCCCTCATTTTTCCAAAGTTTTTCCAGACGATCATTCGTTGCGCTCTCTGCAAATGGAAATGATATGTGACAGAGATGCGACGGTACACAGTACGAACGTCGAAGGTAGATGATCAGCTCTCCGGCGTCATTCCTTGGCCGCAAATGGGAGAGTCGGAACAACCGCATACGGTGTTCACACACACACGTCGGCCGCAACTCTGTTGAACCCAAGGTTGTATTCGCAGCTTGCTTGGCCGCAATCATTTCCATCTTCGAACTGCGTTTGCGAGATGGAGACACGATGTGACCAAGTTTTCTGTGCTGAGCCTCTTTGGCTGACGAGTCCGTCATTCTCTTCTCGTCTCACTTTACTCAAAGCGTCGGTGTCCAGAGACCAACTAAGAAGACAAACACTTTACTCGGAGTTGGCTGTCTCCAATATTCCCTGAAGATATTCTGTCGTCCTTCTACAGCTCCTTCGCCAGCGATCGCCATTTCTCAGCTCGCCTCATTCCTAGATACGAGTTTTCTGGCCCTTGTTTCTCTCGCAATTTATTATGATTTCCAGCTTGGAAGAAACATCACGCTTCTTCCTTGGTCACAACCTTTCGTATCTCCAAGTCGAAAATAGTCCTGTCGGCCCAAGTGCTTCGTCCTTGCTCGGTGTTGTGGTTTTCACATGCCAGAAAAAATGAAGCTGGACTGTGCCCTCCCTCGGATGCTGCTAATCCCATGCTGTGCGCTCGTACCCTAACAACCTCTGTATTGGTGGACAGACTCCGATCACCATGTCCCCCTTTACCTCTCGAAGGATCTCGAACAAGGCGTCGAAAACGATCAAATCCAGAATTGAAGCAGGGTTGAAGAATGGCAACTGCAAGAGAGATTAGACAGTGGTTGCTCTGCCCTAATTCTCCGTTGCGCATCGTGACTCGCTCCTCGAAGCCCACCTACTTGTTCTGTTCTGCAGTTTCCTCATCTGGCATACAGAGCGAATGCCGAGAAGCTCTTGGCTCTTTGTGATGTTTGCTGGCGCAAGGGTTATATTATGCGAGGGTACGATGTCTTCAAGATCAAATCGACGTGTGCGTCGACAGTCTAGGGATCTTATCAGGGGTTGGCCAGAATCGTAACGAAAAAGGCAACGCTACGAGGTACATCTAAATCCCCTTTCTACATCAAGGCAGAAGATTGACAGTCAAAAGTGGTATATACGTATATAAAAGAAGTCTGTAAAAAGGAAAGCCCACACGCTTGCCAAAACGCCCAGATGCATGATTGTTCTTGTTGATGTGCTTCTAATCCTCTTTTGAACAGTCCATTCAGGACCCATGCCAACATATTTGAACCAATTGGGACGGCAGTCTTCCTTGAGCAGTTTTGCATCGCCATCATAAGGGCGGCCAGTGATGCAACCCCTGCATTTGGGCGAGTTCGGGCAGTTGAAGAAGGGAATGTGTTGGTAACCAATGTCCTTAAACCAATGGATTTTGCTGGCGTCCTCGAAGAGCCCCAAAGCGATACTGTGGACGGGGGCATCGCCCCAGCGTTCGTAGAAGAAGCCGCCTGCGCGATCGAGGTGCTCAAAGTATTCCTCGTAGGCAGAGGAGCGCCAGAAGTTCATGTCTGCGATCTCGAAGTTGCTCCAGAAGTGGCAGGTGCTGTAGCCGTTTGCGTCAATGTTGTGTTGGGGTCTGCGCTCCTTGTCTGTAAGCCACTTCATGGCATTGTTGGGATGTTGGTATTGCGCGTTTGCGGCTAGAAACTTGAGTGTTTCGGGCCAAAGCGTCGTGACGGATGGAGGAGAATCGTAAAGAGTGATGGTGAAGCCGTATGTTTTGTTGCGGTCCTGCATGAAGCGGAAGACATCGTAGTCGACGTCGCAGAAGAAGTGAACCTTTGGCTCGACACGCCAGTAGTATTGCATATCCTTGAGAGCAGGGTGCTTGTAGAACATGCCAGAGTTCCAGCGGCACATCTGGTGGTAGCTCAGCATGTGGGCGTATTGGACGTCCTGTTCCTTGAGGACGTCTGCGCTCTCACGGAACAAGTCGCGGTTGATCCAGCTGGGGACTTGCCAGTGCTCTTTGGGGATGAGCTCGTAGCGAACTTCGGCCTTTGTCATGGCACGTGTGGCCTTTTTGAATTCCTCGGTAAAGGGCACGTCGTTGAAGAAGGTCCAGGGGTAGTTGAACTTGTGGTTCCAGGTACGCTCTAGGTCGCGCATAGATTGTAGAATGCCTTCCAGCTCTTCATTGCGCACAAGCGACAGGATGGTAGCGTTGATGCGATTCGAGTTTGCGTTGTCGGGGGCATAGTTGTTGCCCGACACTCGGTGTAGCGGTTCCGGCGGCTCTCCAGTAGCTGCGAGCACATGTCAGAGTCTAGCTATATGCTGCAGCAGAGCGACATGTANCGTACGATCAAGATTGGGATCCCTGGGCATGTCGCTGAACTTGACGGCGTCCTTGCCGCCTGCGGACAGACTTGACGGCGCCTGCAAAATCTGAACACAAAGATAGAAAAAGACCACCATTGTGCCTATCGCCATCAGGCGAATCGCCGGGGGCAGCGCCATGATTGTCGTGGTTGAATGGACGTCTCTTGCTACATTTGTCTCGTAGAGCTCCTTGAGCATGACGACGCCCCGACTTTCAGAAGTCCCCGTCCTCACCGCCTTCACGACGCGTCTCCTTCGAGTCGCTCTTTCATATGCGCGCCGAACTCGTATCTACACAATTCACATCATACTTCTCAATGATTTAGTGTGAAAACAAACATGTGTCTGACCGATGCAACATGGCTCACGCTGCGAAACTTGGTGCCCTTACCGATGACTTGATTGCAGCCATCAGCCCCTCTACTCCTCGTGTACGTCTGACTGCCCTCGCGAATATTCAAATAACATAGGTACTCATCCCAGCCAGNAGAGATGCCCGACAACTCAGGTACCTCAAGGATTCTGCTCTGAGGACTTTCAAAACACAACACCATGTCCGTGTCAATCAATTCGAAATCGATGCAAAACTCGAAGGCTTGCTGGAGAAGTTTTATGTCCTGAACAATGAGCCCCTAGCGGACGCTCTCAAACCTCGTCTTGATGAGCTGGCCGCTATACCCAACAAATGGAGACCTGAAGTTTTGGCTCTCTTGCTGGCTCTCTCCGACCGCCCAGCTGAGAAGACCAACATTGACAAAGCTCTGGAGATAGTCCCTGATGAACCCGTCGAACAACAACTGACATGGGCCGAAATTATTGCCGATGATCCACTCGACGAAGAGGGCATCTGGGAAGACGTCGAATACGAATCTGATTACTCGGAACATCGCGCACCCAGTCTCAGCGACGAATCTATTGGTGAACCAACCACATCTACTTCTGTGTCGTCTCTTGATGAACAGGATATGGCTAGCTTGGCTCGTGTGTTCATTGTTCCCATGGACCATGAAGTCTTTGACCAGGTCAAAGATCTGCGTGATCGCATGACGAGCATGCATTCTGGCTCAGAGCTCACAGAGCTACAAGTCATCCGACAAGTACTGTTAATGCTCCATGGACTCCCCACAGATCTGTTTGAACTTGGGGCTAGCGGTCGTGTTCGGACAAGACACTCTTGCCGCATAGCAAACATCGCGCCATCAACATTAGACCGCGTTCTGCAAGAGTTTGCCTTGCTTGGGTCACATATCACCGTCGTCCGAAGATTTGTCGCATCTAATCAACAGAGTGTGGTCTTGCAAAGTTTTCAAGCTGCAGTACAAACACGATTGAGCGAGCTCGGTCGAACGCTGTCGGGCGTTGAGCAAGGCTTTCTTCAGCAAGAGAGCTCGACAGTGGGGAGTCTTCTGGATGTGCATGCTGAGGTTGATCGTGTCGCAAAACCATTCGTTCGCCTTGGAAATCTAATACCAGATGATGTTCACAAGCATAATGTTCGAGCACTACAACTGCTCAACAACCTGTTTGAACAAGCCTGTAATCTTCAACTGACTGGCGAAGTTGAAGAAAGCACAAAAATCGCCGATCTTCTGTTCAAATGCCTAGAACCATATCTTCGTCCTGTTAGGCTATGGATGACCGAGGGCAAGCTCATCGCTTCGAACGAATTGTTCTTCGTACGATCTGACGATGGAAATTCTGACCGTGGATCAATATGGCATTCTCACTTCACGCTGCTCAAACAAGCCGATGGTTCCATCTTTGCACCCGATTTCATGCAAAGCCTAGGCGAAAGGATCTTCAGGGCTGGCAAGAGTGTCATGTTCCTTGAGGCCCTCGGACATAAGCCAGATGTTCATGAGCGCGGTACACAAAACCTAGACATCGCTCGGATCATGCAATCAGCGGACAATACCTTGCTACCATTTTCGGAGCTTTTCAAGCTAGCCTTGAACCGCTTCGCCGATGCATTGGAAGGGGAGGAGACCAAGCTCCTGCGCCAGATCTTGATGTCACAGTGTGGTCTTCAAGCAACTATTGGCGCGATCAACCATCTATACTTTGGTGTCAATGGTGCATACTTTCAGAACTTTGCTTACGGCATTTTTCAGCGCATGGATAGGGGCAGTGGCTGGGACGATCGCTTCCTGTTGACCGAATTGGCACAAACCGCTTTCGAAACTGTTGATGCTGTCATGTCTGACCACATTACTGTTCGTGTCAAGCCTGCTAATGATCAGAAACCTGCTTCATCGCATGATCGGCGTGCAGACATACTGAGTCGCATCGTTGTTGATTATTCAGTAAGTCTACTTGACAATCTCTCGACACTGGGTTCTGACTAGCAGCAGATTCCATGGGCCCTACAGAACATCCTCACCAAGCAAACTCTAGCAGCTTGCCAACAAGCATTCACACTCCTACTACGACTCTACCGCGCTCAATTCCTGCTCCACCAACAAGAATGGACGCTAACCATTATAACCAACCACTCCAAAGACCAGAACATCAAAGACCTGCTCTCTCTTCGCCACCACCTTTCTTGGTCTGCAGCGACCCTGAAAAGCTATGTCTGTGAGGTGCTTTCCGTCACATTTGCACAACTATCTCTGCATCTCGAGCAAGCGACAGATGTAGACGCTATAATTGCAGCTTTCCATACTTTTCAACTCGACCTCACCACCAAACTCCTTCAACAGGAGAACTTGGCACCGATACAAGCTTCTATACTGTCTATACTAGAGCTCTACGAGGATCTGGCACTGGAATGGAGGGATGCGGTCAAATCGATCAGTAACCGTGCGTCCAACCCTACACCTCGTCAACTGGTCATACAGCAGAACTTTTCAGCTCGGAGGGATGGGTCTGAAGTCGACGAGACGGCGGATTTGACGGATGATGACGATGAGGATGAGGATGATCTTCATGGACAACATGGTCAAAGATCTGTCTTGAGCATTCCAAGCTTACTCAAGGAATATACCAGACAATTGTCATTTTTACTCGCTGGACTGCGCAGTGTAAGCAGGATCGAGGGCGAGCCGGCTTGGATTATGCTGGCGGAAAGACTGTCGTGGGGAGTTGTGGCTACAGATAGGCGGTGAAAATTGCCTCTCACATAATACTACTGCATGTTCCCAAAAATTCTTTATATGAAGAGCGATATTACAGCTATTGTGCTATTATTCTTTTAAATGAAGCTACACTAACCAAGATCGTCTAGTCTTTGTGGACTTCTCTTACATACTTCTACATGACCGCATTATCCGCACACATCTCACTGAGCACTTCGGCGAATCTGCCAGTCTTGTCCTGGTCTTGCTTGGCAGTCTGGATAGCTAGCAATATACTCGATACGCCGACGTTGATGGTCTTTGAGCCCGTCGTCTCTTCGACCTCTCCAAGAGCGCGGTTGATGTCAGACTCGCTGAATACACCACTTTGCTTCATGATGGCAGCCAACTCGGCCTGTGTTTGCACGTTGGGCACTGCGACCTGTGCGGAGAAGTCGAGCTGGAGTTGTTGCAGCACGCTGCGCGAAGATGTTGTGGCGAAGATTAGCAGAGGTCGGCCCTTTGGCGGCTTGTTCTGCATCATACCCTTCAAAGCGGCCAGCACGCTCGCACTGAAGCGAGGTCCTACTGGTACCCAGTCGATAAGCAGCTCGATGTTGTCAAGAACGAGAACATTCTGAGGACTCTTGTATGCGTCTGTAAAGACCTTTTGAATGTATTGAATCTTCTGGATCTCGTTCATGCCGACAATGTCAACGGGCTTGATGAGTTTGATGAAGGGGAACTCTGAATCCAGTGCCATCTTGGCTGCTAGAGCGGTCTTGCCGCTTCCGCGGGGACCGTAGAGCAATACAGACAGTAGAGGTGTGTCTCCAGAGCGGACTTGGTTGACGAACAGACGGCCACGCTCAAGGATACTGTCGACATGCTTGCCAAAGTGGATGATACCACCCTCAACACAACGGTCAAGCTCTTCTTCGGATACACCGAACAGAGGTTGCACCTCATTCAGGGCAGACAAGAAATCTTGATGCATGACCTTCATGTTGACGATGGTTTTCTCATCGACTGCAGCTAGTGTTCCAACCTTGATATGACGATTGAAGGCGAAACTCGAGGCACTCTTCACCAGACCACTAATCTCGGCACCACTGAAGTTGCGTGTCAGTTGAGCAAGCTCCTGCAGATTGACGTCGTCGCCCATGACGTTGTTTTCGCGCATCTTTGTGGTGTGGATCTTGAGGATCTGAGCTCTTCCGTGCTCGTCGGGCAATGAAATCTCCATGTGTACTTCAAGACGACCAGATCTGAGAAGAGCTTCATCGATCATGTCCTTTCTGTTGGTCATACCGATAAGCAGAATGTTGTTCAGTTGATCAACACCGTCGAGCTTGGAAAGCAGTTGATTGACGACACTGTCGCCAACACCGGTACCACCACCGGCTCCAGAGCCTCTCTGCTTACAAACAGCATCCAGCTCGTCGAAGATGATGATGTGTAGGCCAGACTCGTCTCCCTTCTCCTTGTACTCTTTTTCGGCGTCTGCGAAGAGCTTTCGAATGTTCTCTTCGGATTGACCGACGTATTTGTTCAGGACTTCAGGACCGTTGATGACCTTTGGCTCCCTAGCGTTGAGCATCTTTCCGATTTGTCTAGCGATCAAGGTTTTACCGGTTCCAGGAGGACCGTAGAGGAGGATACCACGAACGTGCTGAATACCGAGCTTGTCGGCGAGGCCAGGTGGGAAAATGCGTGAAGCGAAAGCACGACGGAAGATGGCGGCGAATTCAGTGTCGAGACCACCAATGCCCATGTTCTCGAACTTGAAGTCTGGTCGAACGACCGAGTTGGCAGCTGGGCGACGGTTGGAGCCCTTGATATTGATACCAGTCTTTGCGTCCTTGTAGTAGTTGATTTGTGACTCCTTGGTCAAGATACCACGAGAACGCGGGTCAGGCGATGGAGCTTGAGACTCGGTCTTTTCCATGGACAAGTCAACCAGTTCCACTGTCTTGACTGTCATGCGCAGAGGGATTCCTCTATAATCCATGAGCAGTTGCTGGCCAGGAGCAAAGATTTGATTGCGGAAGTTTTGGATGAAGCCGGCAGCGAGCTCGTCCTGATCGTAGGGTGCTTCGGTTGACTTCTTTCCAGCAAAGCCGACTTCTATGTCAAGGTTACCCAGGTAACTCGAGGAGCCTTGCGAGAAGGGATCGTAGGGTTGAACGTCAATCTCGTCGGTGAGAGCGATTTGCATCCATGTTCGCTGAGGGTCAGACATGCTAATGTGACCGCCAGGGAAGCCTTGCAGAATACGGGCTGAGATGACGAAGAAGCCGTTGATGAGGAGGTAGAGGTCGCTACCATCAGGGCTCGGCGCGAAGTCTTGGGGTGATACGGCGCANNTCTGTTGATCAGACAGAGGTCAGCTTGAGTGCTCAGGCAATAGGAGGGGTGTCTTGGTTGAGGGTGGAAGAACGACTGAGACTGACATGTTGCCGAAGACAAAGGCCGCTTCCTTCAGCTGGTATGGACGTAGTCTCATCGCCCTGCCCGATGGCCTCGAGGGCTTCTGGTCGCGATAGGTTGCTGGGGGTTGCTGGCGTGACGATGGCGGGGGCTGCTGTTGGCCACTTCCGAACGGGTTGGGTATATTGTTGCGATTAAACATGATCGCGCTCTGTTCTTGTATGGGCGCGTAGGCAGCAGGTTAGGAAGGAGCGACTTGTTGTGAAGAGGTGGCCGCTTGGGAAGGAGCGAGTTGTTGTCTCCAGGAGGCCTCGTGGAAGTCGTGCCTGCCTGACAGGAAAGTTCACACACGTCACTCAAAATCTGGGGAAGCTGCCCATTCATGTCTTTGTCGCCAGTCTTTAGTCTCTCATGACCACTTCTACCATAACATCACATGAACCAAGAGAAGAGCAACTCTAGGCATGAGGAAAAAGGTCAACTTCATTTGTTGAAAGCCAGGTGTATGTACGGCTACTGACCAGGTAGCGAGAGAGAAAAACAGAAAGGAAAATACCGCCTTCCGTAGAAGGCCCTCTTGTTCTCATTGTTCACATGCAGCAATCCACCCCAAACCAAAACGCCATGCTCTTAACTTCATACCCTCCTATTGAAACCGTCGAACGTCGAATGCCATGTTGCTTTAGCAAGAGGTTCGAATCGTAGTTGGCTCGATGGTGTCGTTTTAATCTCGATCATCTGTGTCTACGGAGGCACATTAGCCAGCTGCAGATGTAACAGAAACTACAAGTACGCCGTCTCGAGCCTAATACACATCTCTGCGTACATAGTCTCGATCGTCATACATCAAGGGGTCTACTGACCGGTATGTACCACTGCCTCTACGGCTGGGCTTTCTTCTAGGTGCGACGCTCGACTGCTCCTCGATGACTTCGACAATGTCATCTCCATCGACTCTTCTCTCAGGCTCAACGACAAAGCTGCTTCTCATGGGTGGCGGTGCGCGACTCGAGTCTCTGACAATTCTTTCTTGGCGGATGATGCGTTCGGGTCCTCTGCTGACAGAACGCATCTCGGACCTGCGGCGTCTTCTGGGCGAGCGTTCGTGGCGGATGATGACTTCTTCGTCCGGTTGTTTGTTGCGACCGCTTGCGAGGGTTTGGATGAGCCAGACGAGGAGGATGAAACCGGCGACTGATCCGAGTGTTGCGCCGACAACGGTGCCAGCATCAGGGCCGCTGTCGAGGCCGTAATAGACTGTCGGAATGGCAACCATGCTGTCTCTTGCTGTCAAGAACTGTGGCTGGCTGGTTTGACGTCCGACGATGCCTGGCAATGCTCTTTTGACGAGGACCCAGGGTACTGACATGACGTTGACGGCTCTGGCTTCCACTGGAGAGGCGCTATCGTAGATGACTGATGACATCGAGCAGAAATTGTTTGTGGTTCTGGGGTAGAGTTTGAATGATTGTATGTAGCCGTCTATAGGTGGGTTCGAAGATCGCGAGTGAGCGAGGTCCAGTGGGTGCCGCTTGGATTTATGCGATTGGTTCGGGGTGATTGTAGTGACACAGCTAGCTGACGATAATATGTTGAGTGTCGACGCAAAAAGAGTGAGGGAAATTCAGACGATATCGACAAGTGAATGAGAATGACGAGAGGAAAGAAAAATACAAACGACCGAGATACAGGTTCTGCTCTTACTTACGTAGTGTTGCTGCAAGAGGCGGCTGGGGTGGCTGGTCAATCTGCTTGCTAGGCGACTTTTCTTAGAAGCCATCACGATAATCACCTCCAAGGTCACTTGGGTAATTACTTTGTATCGCCGAGATGGTCGCATGTCTCACTGCCGGCTACCATCAGAGAAACTGTTCTTCTCCATGTAACACCACCGAAAGCATGTCGACGAACGGTGTACCCGTCCACAAACAGCTTGGAGATGCTTGACGCGCAGCGGCTGTGGGGTTGGTTCGACATCAAGCTTGGACCGAATGGTGCTCCCGTTCCTCACAACGTCTATCTCGACTCTTGCGGCCGAGGGGCGGAAGTATCAATTCCGTCTCTTGATTCTATCTTCTGCTTGCTCACAACCACAGCCTTATACTATCAGAAAGAACACAGCGTGTCATAGGATAGTATCTACTACGGACCGTGTAAATCACTGGATTTGATACTCGCTGTCTCTCCTCAACCTGGCCATTGGGATGGATCTCATGTCGACATCTGTCGTCACGTAGATGTTGTCGTTTGGAGCAAGCAGGCTGTTGTCCGACGAGGCTCTGGATCCTGTAGTCTGCCCGCCGCTTTGAATCGACGTTTTTAACTTCGAGCTGACTGCTCCNNCCGGACCATAGAGCATCGGAACCGAACTCTTGCGATTTGATACGCCTTGGCCGTACCTCGAATTCGGTCCATGTGAGGCCCCGACAGTACTCTTCATCTGACCATACCACCTGCTCAGTATCGGCTTGTAGCTGGGTACCGACAGAGCAATCAGGGTGCCTCCAATCTCTGCGACCTCGATGACCAGTTGTGGGTCGTAGTACCAGGAGCCATCTGTTCGCCATTGGCCGACGACACAAAGCCAGAGACGTGCGCATGAGATGCTACACGTGAGTCAGTAAATGTTTGAATGTCTTCCTGTAAGTTCGACGTACCCGATGACGAGTGTTCCTGGAAGCATGACAATGGCTAACACGATTTTACGACTCTTCGGAAGTTGCAATATCGAAATCATTGCTATTGGTATGCTGAAAAGGACGATATCGTTGACCAGGGACAGGCCTGAGTTCGTCACATAGACGACACCCCAATTGAGACATTTGTAAGTTCTGTCGGTTGTCTGCCATGCGTATGGCCACAATCCGGTGCTACAGATGCGTTAATGGTTATCCGACATGACTCGTGAGTACCTAGCTACTTACACTGGCAGGCAGTGGAGAAGAATGAGAAGAAACTGCACAATAAAAGCTGCCGTCAAAAACAACCCACAAGCCCAGATGGAAATTCTGAAGGTCGGATGCGTGCTACAGAGGCGTGAGAAGAACGCGAGACCACTCAACCGGCAAAAGTACAAGGTAGCTGTATAGATCAGATGGGCTGCATAGTCGACCACCTCTGTCTGCTCAACCTCAGGCATTGTGAGCACATATTGAATGTACTCAATGTGCCGCCCACTGCCTTCCTTGATGAGGACCAGACAGAGGGCCATGAAGGCTGTATAGCAAGTCCAGGAAAATGCCGCGATGCCGTCATCGAGTCCGAAGCTCTTCACGATGAAGATTCGAGAGGTGAACCTGCAAATGAGCAGAACAGTGGTGATGATGTAGATGGCCAGTATTCCTGCTATCGCTGGTCCATCGCGCGACTCGCTCAGATAATCCGGTGTGATGTAAGATATATTCGTGGGTACCCGTCCATCGGCGTAAGCTTGAGCGACGTCGACGGCGACCATAATGGCGGCGTCAGGACAAGCTGAAGGTGCGATGCAAGACTAGTATCAAAGATGGGATCCACGCGATAGATTAATCATGCATGGAAGAGGAGTTCTGTGACGGGGTGCTGGGATATCCATCTACCTAATCAAAAAAGGGTCCTACTGGTCCATTACCACTGTATTTGGCAACGTGAGGTCCGCGGCCCTATTCGAAATTTCATGGGCGTTAAGCGCAGCGTCGGTGTGAACGATAATCGGCTCGGAAGTTGCCCAAATGCCAATCGCAATGCAGGTCTTCCCAGCCTTGAGGATGTTGGGGCTGGATATCCGATCACACGTCCACACAGCAGCGCAACTGGTTCGGCAAGCTTTACCCGAACCTGTTTAAACTTCGACGGACCAGTTCGACGGATCCTTAGATCCATGTCTACTCGGCGGCCAAACGCGCCGAACAGTTCATGAGGATTGACGTGCTTACCCAATGCTCGTGTCGATCAATAATATGTTGGTGTATTGTCGACTTTGCCGAGTTGACATCTAATTCCCCAAAGCCCACCACACGAGTTCCTCTCTTTCCAAATCATCTGCAGGGGGATTTGGGCTCTGTCGAATTCCATCGCAACGGGGATGCAGATCACCAACTGTTTCGCAGCTGCGGCCGCGCTTGGCCTGGCCAGCGCTTCACGTGCATTCCAAAACGCTTCCATNTGTGAGTCTTCGCAACGACTTTCAGGACGATCGACAAGCTGAACAGAGACATAGAACTACCCAGACTATGGCTTTCCTTTGCTGCAGGATGCCAACAGCACTGAGCTGCTGTTTCCTATGCCAGCATGTCACGGCTTTGTGATTGCAGAAAAGAGCATTGAGGAGCTCCAAGCATACATGTCCTCTGGCAATCTCACCTCGGTCCAGCTAACCACCTGCTATCTACAAAGACTCTTCCAAACTCGCGATTACATCAAGTAGGTAGCCGTGCTATGCAAGATGTCAAACAGAACTGACCAATGCACNAGTCCGATTATCGAGGTAAATCCCGATGTTCTCGACATTGCTGCGGAGATGGACAAGGAGCGCCGTCATGGCAAGGTCCGTGGACCTCTGCATGGTATTCCATTTGCGGTCAAGGACAAGTACGATGTCAGCCCTCCCGTTTTGTGTTCTGAAACTGACCATGTCGCNAGCATTGCCACCAAGGACAAGATGCAGACGACTGCTGGGTCATGGGCTCTCCAAGGAAGCATTGTGCCTCGTGATGCCTACGTAGTGAGCAACCTTCGTGCAGCTGGTGCCGTGCTGCTCGGTAAGGCCACTTTGTCCGAGTGGGCAGACATGCGTTCCAACTACTACTCGGAAGGATACTCTGGCCGTGGTTATCAATGCAGGTCTGCATATAACCTTACCGTCAACCCAGGAGGCAGCAGTTCTGGAAGCGGTGTTGGTGTCGGAGCCAACGTCTTTCCCTTTGCTCTAGGAACCGAGACGGATGGCTCGGTCATCAATCCAGCTCAGCGCAACGCCATCGTTGGTTTCAAACCGACCGTTGGCCTGACTTCTCGTGGTGGCGTCATCCCTGAGTCTCTGAACCAGGACACTGTGGGCGCTTTTGGCAAGACTGTTCGCGATGTGACTTATGTTCTCGATGCCATCCATGGTGTGGATGTCCACGACAACGAAACCTCTGCTCAGGTTGGCAAGACACCCAAGGGCGGGTATGCACAGTTCTTGACGAACAGAACCGCACTCAAGGGTGCCACTTTTGGCATTCCCTGGAACAGCTTCTGGGTTTATGCTGATGCTCATCAGCAGGAGGTCCTCCTTGACCTCGTCTCCTTGATCGAATCTGCTGGTGCCACCATCGTCAACAACACTGAGCTTCCTTACTACAAGACCATCGTGTCTCCCGATGGTTGGAACTGGGACTATGGTAGCACACGCGGCTATCCCAACGAGAGCGAGTACACCTACATCAAGGTCGACTTCTACAACAATATCCGCACCTACCTGGCCGACCTGAACAACACAAACATTCGCTCGCTCGAAGATCTCGTGCAATTCAACTACGACAACGACGGCACCGAAGGCGGCTACCCATATGCCAACGGCAGCGGCATCCCAGCCTTTACTTCCGGCCAAGATGGTTTCCTGGCCTCGCTAGCCACCAAAGGAGAAAAGAACGCAACGTACTGGTCCGCACTCAACTTCTGCCGCTACACAACCCGCGAGGCAGGTATCGATGCCGTGCTAGCCATGGGGCCCAACAACACCCAACTCGACGGTCTCTTGGTGCCTCCAGATGTCGCCCAAGCACCCCAGATTGCCGCTCAGGCTGGCTACCCGATGCTGACCCTGCCCGCCGGCACGCACGAGAACGGTATGCCTTTTGGTCTGGCAATCATGCAGACGGCGTTTGCAGAGGACAAGCTTGTCAAGTGGGGGTCTGCGATTGAGGATCTGCAGGTCAGTTCCAACACGCCTCACAAGAGGACGTTGCCTCAATGGCGTGACTATCTGGTCAGAAACATTCCCGTCACCTAAGGACAATGGCGAGACTTGTGTTCGAGATGTCGAGTTGCATGTAGAAGCGTGTCATTAGATAGAAAAAGTGAGCATAGAATTACTAGTAAAAACGAAGACAAAGGTCTCGGATGTCCAAAGTCAATGCGAATCATCAAAATAGCGTGATTGCAAAAGCCAAAACCCCAACAACCTCCTGATATCAAAAACTGTCCATAGCCCCTCCCCAAACGCCTCTTGCCGTGCAGAGAAGACAGCAAAGATGAGCAAGAGAACCAGAGCAACACTCCCTTGTGCCTTGCTTCTTCCGCAACCATCCGCCTCTATCCCGCAAACATGATGTTGTGCAGCACATCCACAATCCATCTAGAACAAAATGTCCAAACAACAACAACATGCCAACGCACTCAACACACCGGCACAGATACCCCCCGCACCACTACCTGAATGCTGCTGCTGCTGCTGCACATATCCCTGCGGCGGCGGATATCCCTGCTGCTGATAATACATGGGTTGACCTTGCTGCGGATATCCTTGCTGTGGTGGGTATCCTTGAGGTGGGTATCCTTGCTGTTGGCCTGGGGGCATGAAGCCGCGACTCGGGTCAGGGGCTGGCGACGCATAGCCCTGCTGGGGTGGGTAGTAGGCGCCTTGGGGTGCGGCGGGGGCAGACGAGTCGCCGTAGTAGTTTGCTGCTTCGCCGTGGCCGGAGGAGGCGGCGGGAGCGGAGTAGGTGGGTGGTGGGCCGGAGGGGGCGTCCTGTTGTTTTGAGTGTTAGTTATTGTTTGCTTGCTGATGGGTAAGGCGAGTAATGGTTCGCGCAAGACGTACGTATTGACCCATGGCTGAAAGGTGTTCGGTTCGGAGTGTTTGGATGGTCAAAGGCGGTGGATGCTCTCCTCGGATAGAAGGGAGTTAAGCGCTTTGCGACAGGTAAGATTTAGATGCGTACAGCAGTAGTTGGAAAAGTGCAGGCGACAATCGACAATGTAGTGTCGAGGGTCAAAAAGGAATGCGCAACGGATAGAAGAGTGGAGAAGAAGGGAAGAAGAGAGCAGATCAAGAGACAATGTCGTTGTCTTTCCACCGTCGTCGGCTTTGATATTAAGCTCCAAGCCTCTGGGCGCAGTCTACCAAGCCCTTTGCTGGCCTTGCGTCGTTCTGGGCCATGAGATTATGCTTCTCTCTTCCATCGTGCCATTTACCACACAGCCACCCTCTTTCTTACGTGTTTCTCCTTCTTGAGCTCGAGCAAATTGATTTGTGAATACTGCACGCTGTGCTTTTGCCACTTTTGGAGACGAAGCAGCGTCATTGTCATGAACGATGCCGCAGTCTTCCGTTGCCGCCAGCCGAGCGAGCCTGCCCTCGTGTCTTGGACGAACGCGCGGCGCCGAGCTCAAAGGACGCAGACAAAAGAAAGAAATAATGCAATTAATTCATATGAATCCCATACAGAAAAGGTATTCGTACAATGATGTAAACAAAACTATACTACAGCTTGCTCTTCCTGGTAAAGTAAATCTTGATGGCCTTTCTCGCTCTCTCGACCACTTCCACATCTTCAATCGTCGCTGGGACTTCTGCCTTCTTGTCAAAGTTGCCTTCGCTTGCGTCTTCTACCATTTGCTTCAATACTCTGCGGAGCGTCTTTCCACTTCTTGTGCGAGGTATGACGCCCTGTGCTATGATTACACCTCCAAGAGTAGCGATGGGGCCAACGGCTGCCCTGACGCGTGAGTTGATGGCAGAGAGCAATTCGCCTTCTGGGATATCTCCCGCTGAGGGTGAAAGGGCGACGAATGCGAATGGTACATGTCCTTTGAGAGAATCTGGCGCTGGAATGACGCAGTTGTCTGTGATTGAAGGGTGTGATGATATGGCTTGCTCGAGTGTGGCNNTAGAATATAAAGTCAGCTTGTTGCTTTTGTAACCGTCTTTGTCTTATAACGTACCAGTGCTCAACCTGTGTGCAGCAACATTGATCATGTCGTCGCTGCGACCGTGAATATGAACATAGCCATCTTTGTCGATGATACCGGCGTCACCTGTGTCGAGCCACTTGCCTTCGAAGCGCAGCATGTAACCATTGTAGAAACGCTTCTCGTCCTTCCAAAGTGTCGTGAAACCGGTAGGTGCCAGAGGCATGCCGAGAACGATGTTGCCAGTCTTTCCTCGTGACACTTCATTGCCGTCATCGTCTACAACCCTGATGTCGAATCCAGGCATCGGCTTTCCAGCACTACCTGGTCTTGTCTCCAGAGGTCTGATCTCCTTATCACTGCCACCGTTATGCCACGAACATGGTAGCTGTGCCAGTCCGGTCATCGGTGACCCTGATTCGGAAGACCACCAATTATCCACGACTGCAGCTCCAGGGGCGCCATACTTTTGAAGCAATTTGGTGTAGTCATTGACAACAGCTGGTTCACTGCGTTCGCCAGCCAAGAACAGCGCTCGCAGTGACTTGAGTCCGTTTCTCTCGCCTCTTTCAATGAAGAACTTGTGCTGTCCGTCTTCACGGCGGATGGCTCGCAGGGCTGTTGGTGCGGTGAACATGACATTTACCTTGTGCTGTTCGATACATCTCCAGAAAGTGCCAGCGTCTGGTGTACCGATAGGCTTGCCCTCAAACAGGACCGTGGTCGCACCTGCTAATAGTGGAGCATAGCAGATGAAGGAGTGACCAACCACCCAACCAATGTCGGATGCGCAGAACATGACATCGCCAGCCTGGATGCCGAAAAGGTAGCGCATACTGTAGTTCAAGCCGACAGCATGACCACCGGCTTCGCGAAGTACTCCTTTTGGTGCTCCTGTAGTGCCACTGGTGTATATGATGTATAAACCATCGTTGCTCTTGACTGGGACATTCTCTGCCTTCAAGCCACGGTTCTTCGCGCTCTTGACGAGTCGTTGCCAGTTGCGCTCGCCGTCCTCTTTGATGACAGGATCCCATCGATGCTGTTCACGCTGCCAAATAATGGTCTTGCTTGGCTTGTGCTTTGACTGTTCGACAGCACCCCGTACCAGAGGTTGGTACGGCAGTGGCCNCTNTGCACCTTCAATGCCACAACTGGCAGTTAGGACCACTCGAGGCTTGGAAGCATCAATGCGCTGTGCCAGACTCGGTGCAGAGAATCCACCAAAGACAACAGCATGGATAGCACCAAGTCGTGCAGTGGCAAGAATACCGACGAGGGCGGCAGGTATTTGAGGCATGTAGATCAGGACCACATCTCCCTTCTTTACCCCCTCTTCACGCAACACACCAGCAAGTGTCGCGACCTCTTCTGCGAGCTGGGCATAGCTGATCTTCTCTTGAGTACCTGTCACAGGCGAGTCCCATATGATTGCCGTACGCTGTCCATTTCCAGCATCGACGTGTCGGTCGACGCAGTTGTAGGAGGTTGAAATCTCGCCGTCTGGAAACCATCTCCAGTGTTGGTGTTTGGTGCCAGATTGTAAAGTTTTCGTGGTGCGCTCGATGATGGTCTTCGGAGGTACGGCCCAGCTCAGTTTCTCGGCTTCGTGAGACCAGAAGGTTTCTGGCGATTCGAGTGCAGCCGCGTACGCTGCATCTTGGGGGTGTGTGCTCGGCATGGCGGTTTCGGTATTCGTTGCAGAGGTTGAATATGAGGACACAGAATTTGATCGACCTAGAGCAAGGTACAAGTATTAGATCAGATAGCCGCGCCTACGTTCAAGGTTATTCGGGTCAGCGGGATGGACTTGGATTGACCTCTTCTTGACCAAAAGCTACCCCACACCCCCACGTTCGAGGACAATGCGGGGTTCGGCATCATGACTCGCATTGGAATGGTCAACAGTGACGCAGACCGAAATCTTGGTCTCGACCATCTGGTAGAAATAGAAAAGGCCGAGTGACATGCAGCCATCATAGCGAGGTGAGTGAGCTGGTGATTCAATCCTCGTACTGGAACAAAGTGATGGTCTGTGTGTAAGTTGGTTCGGCCGAAACGACGAAGGCAGCAAGTTTCCGTCGTGTTACAGTGTCTTCGGAGACTGCGCGTAGTGAATAAGAGGCGCAGTGCCAGACGTGACTGTGGTTCGTTATATTTCCTGTGCTGAGTGGGGGTGTTTTAGACCTCGGATCAGGATTCAGCTCTGGGGAGCATATTCGATCTCCTGGTTTGGCCATTCGAGCCAGGCATGGTACTCCGAAGGTATCGTCGAGTATACTGAGCTCGCGACTTTAATTGCTGGTGTTCGATTCCACCAGAGATTACCCATCCGCTTTATCAGAACTGCTTGATGTACTAGCAGGACAAGAGCGACAGTTTTGTGTTGTTCTAGCATCTCGAAAAACTCTATCGGGATCTGCACGAACCAGAATAGACCGGCGACGATTGGTGAGATGCATTGATGAGCATTTTCTGTATCTGTAGATTTCTTGTAGCACCATGTGCAAGTGTTTTGTGGTGCTGTGGCTCTGCTCATACGACCGTAAGCTTCTCGCAGATAGTGTAAGGCCTCGTCGTATATGGCTGCCTCTTCGCTACTGGTTCCCTGTATGGTAGAAGGACTACCGGGATGCCAAAGCTGTTCGAGGTTGACGAGATATTCGTCTTCTTTCTTGGCCTTTTCGTCCATGGGCTGCGTGATCTGACAGAATTGTGCATCTATAAGGAAAGGCGCAAGAGGACCATCCTCGAGCCACATCTTACCACGACGGGCAATGTGATCGGTACCTCTGAACAATCGAATCCAGTCTACCACGGCACCGAGCAGGACCTCGTTGAAGATACTTCCTGTGCTCAGATTTGGGTTGAAACGCGTGCCTGACGAGGCGATGATGTAGCACGCGACCAGTATCGAAGAGGCAAACAATGCCTCGCAATTTTCCGAGTTGAAGTTCTCCAACGCGGATCTGAAGCNCTGCAAGCCTAGGTCCTGGTGATTTGCAGCCAACATGGAGAGATCTTCTTCATCACTTTGACGCGTGACTGACACGTGAAGACCGGCGACCGCAAGGATTCCATGCATGAGGAACTTGTGCCTGAAGGCGACTTTGACGACCGTGGTTTGCCAGATGTTTTGATGCTCTGTCTGGTCGGAAAGCGTTTTCGCCGTATGAGTGACGAAATGATGCAGTAGTTCCATTTCTTTTAGAGTAAAACTCTCTCCAGCACGAGTACTCGTGTCTGGCTGAGGATTCTGGAAACTGCATTCTCGTGATGTCCTTCTGCATTTCTCACATATTGGTTTGGCTTCGTCGCACTGCAACCCAGTTAATCTGCGAGTCAGCCTCGGGAAAATCAATAAAAACAAAAAAGTCGACGCAGAGAGGACCGACTGTTCGTCTTGCTTACCTTNTATCCGGCGTTTCTTGCACTGTACGCAGCCCGTCCGCGTCTTTCTGTGCGTAATCATCTCCAGTCCAGCGAACTTTGAGTTGCTCCTTCGTGGTGGCTTTAGTGACGGCCCACTGTCCTGGGATTGGCGCGTTGCCAAGTGCAGTTTCTCTCATGATGAGCGAGGGCAAAGAGCGAGGCGGATGGCTGGAAGTAAAAGGGTATGGCCGGTGCGAGGCGGTACGGACGGCTGTGGCTTGGCGACGTGCTGATCTTGACTCAGGACAGGGTTGCATATCTAGCACGGATGTGCATCCGGCCGACAGGGTGAGACCAGCAGCATAAATTTCGACAACTCTTTATCTTGTTTCTAGCACCACGGCTTCCACCTAATAGAATATGGTACTATGACTTCTGCATACTATGCAATAGTAGCTTCTCTTATCTATGTATAAGTTATACATGGTTCTGTATGATGTTGATTGAGATTTTGCTGAATCTATGTTTCCAGATATGCTTCATCTGAAATGCTTACTAGATCTCTCTTAGAAACCATCGACATGTATCAATTGATTACAACGACTGTATACATCTCGGCAAGGGAAGTAGATAGGCAGAATGCTCGCTCAGATATATATGTACGTGCTTCGTCATCCAGAGAACTTGATACGCCAATGGATCAGACAGCGTAAAGGGTAACATGCATCGACTTTGTGAGCAAGACAGGGTGGCACCCTAGACATTATGGACTTCCTGTTATACGTGAATCCCAAGCTTCTCCGCTGCAGAAACGAACCCTTTCTCATCAATGCTAACCCAACCATCCACAAAGCCTTTCTTTCTAGCTTCTTCTTCATTCTTCTTCTCTTCCTCCTGCGATCGCTCGACATAAACGGTATGGTAACCACAACCCTTTGCTGCTTCAAGGTCGCCCAGATGGGCAGCGACCATGACGCACTGACTCGGCTTCAAGCCCAGCCTCTTCGCAGCTCCCAGATAGATGGCCGGATTAGGCTTGTAAGAATTGAAAAGCTCAGAAGAGTATATATGCTTGAAGGGCATCCCACCATGCTGCTGCATGTCTTTGAGGAGAGCAATGTTGCCGTTGGAGAGTGTGCAAGTTTCGTATCTGGTGTTCAAGGCTTCAAGACCAGCAACAGTGTCAGGCCAAGGGTCGAGCTTGTGCCAGATGAGACTCATCTCCTTGACTTCATCTTTGTTCCAGAGACCTCCGAGGTCGCCATCCTCGCGACCCAGGCCATGCTTGACTAGTAACTCATGCAGAGATTCGAGGTGATGGTCATCCACTGTCTTCCAATTGAGAGATGAGTCTGCTGCAAGAGATCGGGTGAATGTATAGTAGCTGCTCCTCCATTCTTGAGCAAAACTGCCCCAGTCTTCGTTGCTCATAGCACTTGCTTTGGCCCGAACATCGTTGGTTATGATTGCTGATCTTCTCATCAAAGCCACTCGGCATTGCTGAACTAGGGCATTGGTCACTGTCGTTCTCCAGTCGACGCAAGTGCCAAACACATCGAAGAGGAGTGCACGAATGTCTTCCATGTTTGAGTGATGGATGGGTTGACAGTCAAGACGAATGGATTATAGAAGAATATATACTGTGTAAGATGCTCGAACATCTCGGTGAGAGCACACGGCGAAGAAGCAAGCTTACCGGCAGCCTCGGACGTGCGGAGGAATATTGTCCGCAGCGACAAAGTCGCCATCGCGACAAGAGACGCGACGCGTGTGAAGAAGACAACAGTCACAAAAGATCATAAAGAAAGGACAAAGAAGTTGCGTAGCAAAAATGTTGAGGATTAAACTGGTATCATTGCATTGCATTTCCCATAAACTCCCCTGCCTGTATGATTGTACATCGGCATTGACCCCAAAGTAGCAGAGTGATTTAACACACTTCCCATCCCGAAAACCCATTGACGATGATTGATAACGATCCCGGTCCGCTGGATGAATGATGCGGCCAGTAGAGCAGTCGTGAAACCCATGATGAAGAAAGAAAAACGCTTAACCACCGAAACCGTAAAGGGTACCTGAGAGACAATGTCAGTGACTGGATGAGACGAGAATAGGCAGCGGGATGACTCACGGCCCTGGCGCTTGAGAGCGTAGACAACGTCGAGCGAAGTAACAGTCTTGCGCTTGGCGTGCTCAGTGTAGGTGACGGCGTCGCGGATGACACCCTCGAGGAAGGTCTTGAGGACACCACGGGTCTCCTCGTAGATCATGGCTGAGATACGCTTGACACCACCACGACGAGCGAGACGGCGGATAGCGGGCTTTGTGATACCCTGGATGTTGTCGCGCAAAATCTTGCGGTGACGCTTGGCACCACCCTTTCCAAGACCCTTGCCACCCTTGCCACCTATAGAGGAGATGCGTTAGCTGGATGAAGATAGACGGAAGGTGAGTAGCTGTCAAGCGGGGTAAGGACTTACGGCCAGACATTGTGATAGAAGTTGTTTGAAGGTAAAGTTGTTGAAGAGGAGTGGTATAGACACGAAGTCTTGATGTGATAGAGTCGCTGGGTGGAGAAGAAGATGTGAGTGGATGGAGATGTAATTCGTGCGGAGGGACGAGGTGTTTATGGGTTGCGACGCGTGAAAGGGAAATCGGAATCACGACTTCCAAGATCACGGAAGGTGCGATGATCTGGAAAACGGCTGTGATTGGTTGCCGAAGATCACAGAAGGAAGCCGCGACCAGCTAAGCTGAATTCAGGAAGGAGCACGGGCCAACTTCTCTCTCTCAGATCTGACGCCAGGCAAAGCAAGCAAAGGAAAGGACGCGCTTCGAAGTGACAGAATCCAGCGTTGCAAAGCAGGCCCCAAACGAGCGTGATTTTGGCTGCCTTTCACTTTTGATTTTCCAACCCGCAGTCGACGCCCCCATCGCTATAAATCCACCTTCCCCACCCACCACTACTCCTTCTCTCTCATCATCCAACAACCATCTCTTCTATCCACCACAACAACATCTTCTCAACACAACAAGTCATCTACAATGGCTCGCACTAAGCAAACTGCCCGTAAGTAATCACTTGCACATCATCCTTCCTCATCACCGCCGCCGCCATCTGCGCGTCGCTCTCACTGCCCGGGCGCGTTTTGACGCGTCTCTGGTCTTGACGCCACCGCATCTTCCATCAACAATCATCACTTCACTCCATCGTCTACCATCATCAGTCGCTTACATTCATTCACAGGCAAGTCCACTGGTGGCAAGGCNCCCCGCAAGCAGCTCGCCTCCAAGGCTGCTCGCAAGTCCGCCCCCTCAACCGGTGGTGTCAAGAAGCCTCACCGCTACAAGCCCGGTACCGTCGCTCTCCGTGAGATCCGTCGCTACCAGAAGTCGACCGAGCTCCTCATCCGCAAGCTCCCCTTCCAGCGTCTGGTTCGTGAGATCGCCCAGGACTTCAAGTCGGACCTCCGCTTCCAGTCCTCCGCCATCGGCGCTCTTCAGGAGTCCGTCGAGGCTTACCTCGTCTCTCTCTTCGAGGACACCAACCTCTGTGCCATCCACGCCAAGCGTGTCACCATCCAGAGCAAGGACATCCAGCTCGCCCGCCGCCTCCGTGGTGAGCGCTCTTAAGCGCTTCCATCATGACGACTTTTGATGCTCTCCCTTCCATCAGCATCATATACCACCAACGAGAAGCTTGAGGATGGATGGTCTGGGAGACATCGATGGGATGGCCGGCGTTGGTTTCTGACTTTCTTCTACTGAGTTTTCAATTTTATCAAGCAAGGGAATGACATGGGATTCGGGGTTTACTATCATGGGAGTGCACGAAAGCGTGCACAGATTCAAGCATTGATTGTAACATAATGAAATGCAACCAGCAGAAGTGACCGGCCGGCACTTTTGCTTCAACTTCAACAACTTTCCCCCTCTTTTCATCTCTTGTGACATGTTTTTGATAATCCTCTTGCTTGTAAACCAATCGAGTTCCTGGCTAGTCATATGCTTCTTCTCCTCTCCGAGTTTGTCGCTTAGTTCAAGTTGTTTTCCTACTGGCGCGCCCGCGTTCGGCTTGAAGCTCGGTATGTCACACAACGCTGATGGTCTGATGTAAGTGCTTCTACCTTGTGTTTCCTGACCAGCCTCGCGCTCTTCCAGGGATGTTGAGCGTTGTATCTGGCGTCTGTTTCCTTGACTATAACTACCATCATCATGGCAGTAGGCTGAAGCCATATCCCATCACCAACAGCCTCTCGGGCGCACGCCATAGCGGCTCCGAAATGTCGCGGACCCGAGCCGACTACCGAGCTCGCTCAACAATGTTGCTCCCTCTCTTCTCAAGACGACACAATGTCTCCTAGACAGAACCACCCAACATGAACTCCTATACCCTTTCCGGAAGAGGCAACAGACTGCTATTGCGACTCCGATTGAACGGCCAGCGACGACTCAACTCGACAAAGCCTCAAGACCAAGCCAAAGATGTACCGTCACGGTCAACAACAATCCCAGGACCTGGAATGGCATGGATAGAGCCATTGAAAGAGCCATTCAGGGCATACGGTCGCATGCAGCACCGCTCGCCATACATGACACAACTATCTACGACACTGATCATCTACTTTTTGGGTGATCTGTCGGCTCAGAAAGTGGCCAGCGATGAACCGTACGATCCGTCTAGAGGCCTGCGAGCGCTGGTAATCGGTGGCATATCGTCGATACCAAACTACAAGTGGTTCATGTTCCTGGGCAACCACTTCAACTACAAGTCGCACGTAGCCTCGATTGCGACCAAGATTGTCATCAACCAGACCTTTTTCACACCATGCTTCAACACGTACTTTTTCGGCATGCAGAGTCTGCTGTCTGGACAGACGCTCGAGCAGACGAAACAGAGAGTCATCGATACTGTGCCGGTCAGTTGGAGAAATAGCTGGAAGTTGTGGCCGGCTGTCACGGCGTTCAGCTTTACGTTCGTGGCGCCGCAGTATAGGAGTGTGTTTGCGGGAGTGATTGCCATTGGGTGGCAGACCTATCTCAGTTGGCTGAACATGAAGGCTCAGGAAGAAGAGGATGAGAGGGCTGCGACTTCTGCTGCGGCTGCTCCTGTGACGGCGCCGTCGACAGCACTTCCTGCTGCTTGAGCATGAGGGCAGAAGAGAACATACTACGACAAAAGCATACGCACAAGATGCACGACACTACTTCGCCAGACACTATCTGGCACTAAGAAACCTCTGGCAGCATGGCACAGTCTTGAACTTGCAAGAAGGGTCATAGTGAAACCCTGAAATCACCTTTACAATCTTCAAGGGTACTCGACTCAGAGGTTGAGGACAAGACGCGAGAAGGCTCGGAGTCTGAGGAAGCAACACCTTTCACTCTCGCAAGCTGGCGGTTCGTCATCTTCTGATGCTGGGTTTATGCTTCTGGGCTTTTGCAGCAGAGTAGCGACCAAGGACAGAGATGTGTCCGTTCCGAGTTTGGCTTACTAGGCTCTAATATTGAGCTACTTCGGAGGGCATACTCTTGAGAGATTGTGCATGATGATGCTGAAGGAACGAACAGGAGTTACTAGAAGCAGAGGGATGTTGAGAGGCAGATCAAGCATCTAGAGAGAAAATGTCCACAGAGAGATAGATGACTGTAGACCGACAGAACAGATAATCAGACAAGGAGTGATTAACAAGACTTGAATGTTTGTCGGAGAATGGACAAGTCAAGTCCGCAGGCTTGGCACTTCTCCCAGCAGTGATGGCATCGATTCGAGCTGTCCACGCCTGAAGCACCAGCTCAATCACCCAAACATCCAACCCTCCCATCGCCGCCTTTACTCCCCACCGTCTCTCTCTCTCTCCATCTCAAACATCGCTCCGTCTCCAGCGATCGCCTCTGTCCTCTTCCCAGCATCTCAGTCAGCGTCCTCTCGCCTCACATCGTCATGGCGCAACAAGACAACGCCGCCCGCATCGCCGAAGCAAAGAAGCAGGCAAAGGACCACCCGCAACAGGCCGAGCAGACGTTCAAGAGCATACTGGAACAAGGCCCTGGCAAGTCCGATGCCGCTGCACGCGACTACGAGAATGCCTTGATGGGTCTTGGTGAGCTGTACCGCGACCAGCGCCGCACCAACGACCTGGCCGAGCTTGTCCAGAACATCAAGGCTGTCCTGTCGTCACTGGCAAAGGCAAAGACTGCAAAGCTGGGTGTGTATTGTTCTCACATCTCGTTCTTATCCACCATCTAACCCGCTCGTGTGCCAGTGCGCCAACTGCTCGACCTCTTCACACCCATCCCCGACTCGCTCGAAACACAGATCTCCGTCACAAAATCATGTATCGACTGGGCCGTCCAAGAACGCCGTGGTTTCCTGCGCCAGAACCTCGAGACACGGCTGGTCTCGCTGTACATGCAAAAGCAGAGTTACTACGAGTCTCTTACCCTCATCAACCGCCTGCTCAAGGAGCTGAAGCGTCTCGACGACAAGCTAGTCCTGGTCGAAGTCCAACTGCTCGAATCAAGAGTCTACCATGCTCTCGGCAACGTCCCCAAGGGTCGTGCTGCCCTCACCTCCGCCCGCACATCCGCCGCCTCGGTCTACTGCCCGCCGCTGTTGCAAGCCAACCTTGACATGCAGAGTGGCATGCTGCACGCCGAAGACGGCGACTTCAACACCGCCTACTCATACTTCATTGAGGCTCTTGACGGCTTCCACGCTCAGGACGAGACCGAGAAGGCAACCGCCGGCCTCATGTACATGCTTCTCTGCAAGATCATGCTCAACGCCAGCGACGACGTCAACAACCTCATGCAATCAAAGCACGCCCTCAAGTACGGCGGCAAAGGTCTCGACGCCATGAAGCAAGTCGCCAAAGCCCACAACGACCGCTCGCTCGAAGAGTACGAGACCGCACTTGCCGACTACCGCCACCAACTCGCTTCCGATCGCTTCATCGCCACCCACCTGCGCCGTCTGTACGACAACATGCTCGAGCAAAACCTCATCAAGGTCATTGAGCCCTTCAGCCGCGTCGAGATTGCACACATTGCCAAGATGGTCGGTCTGGATGTGCACCAGGTCGAGCACAAGTTGAGTCAGATGATTCTGGACCGCGTCATCATTGGTGTCCTTGACCAAGGACAGGGCTGCCTTGAGATCTTTGACGAGCCTGAGCGTGATGCCCAATACGATGCTGCTTTGAACACTATTGACAAGTTGAGCAATGTTGTCGATGTGCTCTACACCAACCAGGCCAGCCTGCTGGAGTAAGAATTGCCTGCTCTGATACTGCATTGGCGTTTCTTACGGATATGAATCGGGGATGCAGGAAGTTGTACCCATTAGAAAGCATTTGACAGACAGCGAAAGCGAATATTCTGAATCCTTTCTTTCCCCTTTTCGATGAAGAAACGAGGAAAGTTTCTGCACTGATCATCTTCGATCCGCATGTTTATCAGTTGATGTGTAGACGAACAAGGCAACTTTTGTGATCACCACTTTTTTTCTTCCCTCTCGTCATGTTTGAAGGAATTCATCGCAACAGCCCCAAGCCCATGATCAGAACGAAGCACATCAAAACATGCAGAGACAAAGAGCAACAATAGCCACAGAACAAGCATACTAATACAGACTAGACAGTAGAAAGCGAAAACCCAATTATCAAAAGATCGAAAAAGTGCAAGGACAAAGGCCGGCCAGGGATGCCAGTGGTCAATCAAACACCTTCTTCATCAAACATCAAACATCATACATCAACCATTCTTGAGCAAAGTGACCCACTCGAGTAATAAGATAAGAAAAAATCAATCTTTACGCAAATGAATACCAAAAAAAAAGCAGCAATCGTCTAATCATAACATCAATACTGAAAAACAAAAACAAAAACAAAAACCTGGTCTGTGAATCCCAAGTCAGAAGAACAACAAAAACAAAAAAACAAAGGTGCCTCCAAGAGGGACGCCAAAGGTATCCTTCAAGAGAAACATAACAAGGAAAAAGAAGAAAAAAAATCTTTCATCAATGCCAATGCGCCCATTCTTCCCACCCTCGTCATTTCATTCATTACAACGCATGTTTTCCTCCAAAGAAAGAGAAAAAAAAAAGAGAAAGGAAAAAGAAAAGGAAATGGAAAAGAAAAGTAACGACAGCCCAAGCGCTCTATGGACATTGACCAAGAACGCACAACTTGCTCACAGCCCTTGTTGCTTGCGGACAGATCAAGCAGCCTTTTTCTCATCCACGGTAGTAGGAACAACAGCACCGGCAAAGTAGTCGTCGTGGCCTTGGAGAGCACCAGTGGGAAGATCTGAGCCAATGCCAGAATCACTGGGAGGAGCATAAGGTACAATGTCCTTGGCAACAGCGGCATCGACAGGCACAGCAGGAGTCTCGGGCTCAACGTGACGCTCACTCTCAAGATCACTGTCGTAATCTTCCTCTTGGATTGCGGAGCGGTCCATGGTACTGCGGATGGTGCTGCCAATGCTGGTACGGCGATCGATGTCGCTGCCGGTCATGTAGCTACCAGTTTCATAGGTGCCTAGTGTGCCCAAGCTAGTGCGACGGCCATCATCAGTCATGCCGGACTGTGACTCGGTCCAAGCACTGTGGCTTCCAGCGTAGCTAACGCTGCGTCTGCTGCTGTTGTAGTATGAAGAGTCGAGACTATCACGGCTGACAGGGCGAGAGTCATAATCACGGCTCTGAGGGCGGTACTCGGAGTCTCTGCTCACAGGTCGAGATCCACCATAGTTGCTCTCAATCTCAGTGACCTCCTCAATATCGTTCTCCTTGTCGGCTGCAGCACGGGCGGTACCCCAGGAAATCTTGCGAAGCTTGTTATGCTTGAGAGATTGACTGCGGTTGATTGAGCCTTGAGCCGAAACCAGGCTGGGAGCAGCGGCTGCATATGCAGCAGCGCCAGAGGGTAAATTACGGCTGATTTGGCTGAGAGACATGATGCGGCGCTCACCGGTGTTAGGAGTGGTACCAGTCTTCTTAGGCATGCCACGAGTCTTCATAGCCAGTGCATGACTTTGAAGAAGGCTAGGTGTGGTGGGAGCAGGAAGTTGCGTAGTCGAAGCATCACTGGGAAGGCGCAGATCGCGCACAGGCTTCTTCTTGGGCGACGTCTTGGGTGTCTTCTGCGTGAGAAGCATGGCACGGGAGTGGTCAATAAGGCCCTCAAGGATGCGACGTTCCAAGACATCGGCCTTCTCATCCATAATGTGCAACTCCTCACGTCTGATCTCCAAAGCAGTGTGGAGGGAAGAGACATCACCAGTAAGACGAGCCTTTTGCGCGGCGAGGGCATCCTTCTCAGCACGAAGGGCCTCAACGATGGCTTGAAGGCTTTCCTTCTCTTCATTGAGCGAGGAAATGTCAGACTCAATGTTGTCCTTCTGCACTTGGCGACGCTCAAGAAGAAGAGCAAGCTCTTGAGCCTCAATTTCCTTGCTCTCCTGACCATTGGTGATCTGCTTCTGCTGGATAGCAACAAAAGCGGAAACTTCGGCGGCAGTAGCCTTGACTTGAGCATGAATCTCATCCAAGCGTTCCATCTGAGCTGTGGCTGCTCCAGCCTCACCAGCAAGATTGACAAGAGTATCGAGCTTCTCATGGACTGCAGTATCGTTGACAAGCTTGTCGAGTTTCTCGTGGACAGCAGTATCATCGTACTTCTCGACGGGCTCAACAGGTACAGGCAATAAGGCAGGAAGGACTCCCTTAAGCTCCTCCGTCTGTGCACTGAGATTCTCAGAGAAGTGATTCTTGAGATTCTCGGCAAAGAGACCTTCGATGTGAGTCTTTGACTCCTCAGTGGCGGTGCGAATGGTATCATGGACAGTCTTGGCCTGCTCCTCCGCGGTCGCGGCAAGCTGTTGCGAGTGCTCGTAGTGAGCGCTAACCAGAGCATGAAGCTCCTTGAGAGACATTGAGAATTGAGGATTGTACTCATTGGACTCCCCCTGAAGGAGAGCAATGGCCTCGACAACCTTGACAATCTCATCACGAGTGGTCTGGTGCTCAGTCTTCAGACCATCGTTGTGCTCGTCCATCTTGAGCATAGCACCCTCGACCTTCTCGAAAACAGTCTTGGAGTCTTCGGAAATCTTCTCGGTAGCCTCGTTGAAGGAAGGAATGAATGCCGTCAAGGAGGTGCCCAACGTGTCGATAGAGAGTTTCAGCTCATCAGTCATCTCCTTTGTGCTGTTCAGCATCTCCTTCTGCTGCTCAACCTGCTCTTCCATGGTCTTAGCCTTCTCATGTGCTGCAGCTTGAGCATCATCGTACTTGCTCATCAGACCGTCAAAGCAAGAATCGACCTTTTCAGTGACAGCAGCCACAATAGCATCCTTGTGCTCCGCGTGCTTCTCGAGCAGGGTAGAGCTGTTCTGCTCGTGATCAATCTTGATGCCGCCCAGTGATTCATGGGAACGCTCAAACTCGTTCTTGACAGTCTCCAAGAGCTCCTTGATGTCAGATCCGATACCTCCGTCGCCAGCGACCTTGTCGTCGATTGACTTGATGGCTTCTTCGATATCAGTCATGCCTGGTGTACCTTTCTCGACCTTGGCAAGAATCTCGGCCTTGACCTCCTCTAAGAAGGTCTTGACACCAGAGATAGCCTCAGACATCTCTTCAGCCTCCTTTCTGCGGTCGTCGAAAGCCTTGGCGGTGATGGCGATGTCGTTCTCGTATCCTTCTCTGACCTTGTCGTGACTCTCGCGGAAGTCATTGATGAGACCAGTAATTTGTTCCACATCAGCCTTGGAAGGGAGTGCTTCGGGGTCAGGTAGGTTGAGCTCCGAGATCTTCTCCTTGATCTCAGTACAAAGCATGCCAAGAGCATCGAGATCTGCCTTGTCCAAGCGAGGAGCTGACTCTTCGTCCTCGTCTTCTTCAGATCCTCTGGACTTGGAGTGTTCGAAAGCAGTGGCAAGGTCTTTGAGAAGAATTTCGACAACAGCAACGTCCTCCTTAGTAGCAAGGCCATCGATAGCTTCCTTGGCACTGCGGACGACCGCTTCGACATCGTCCAACTGTTCTCTACTAGCGGCGGTAGCAGGTAGCTCCTCGAGCTGTGCCTTGGTGTTGCGTAGCAGAGTCTCAATAGCGTCAGTATCTTCCTTAGTGACGGCATTGTCAAGCTCGGCTTTTTCCTTCTCAGCCATGACCAAAAGAGTGTCTTGAATCTGTCGGAGTGTCTCTTCCATGCCGAACAAGTCTTCCTTCATGGCAGTACCTTCAGCAGGGGCTGCTGAGGTGGTAGGCATGTCGCCGATGCTAGCAGCCAGGCCCTCGACCTTGATATGCAACTGGGCAAACAGAGCTTCCATTCTCTCCTTGAGACTGACCGGATGAGCAGTCTTGTCGTCTTCACTCAGCTCTCGTGATCCTTCCTCGCCAGGTGTATCGGCAAGAATCAGCTCGCTACCCAGAGCTGTCGAGGGACGATCGCCACCAGATAGCTTCTCCATGTCAGCGCGAAGACTGGCGACGCCCTCCTTCAAAGTCTCAAGAATCTCGTAGCTGACGGTCATGTCGACAGGCTTGTCCATGATCTTGGAGACGTCGGAGCGCATGTTGTCAAGACCTTCGTTTAGGGTGTCCATAAGCTCATTGTTGAGGTTTCTGTGCATCTCGGGATTGTCAATCTTCTTCTCGAGGGAGGACTGAAGATCGTCCAAACCAAGCCTGACAGCATCGAGGACCTCCTCTGTGTCGGCGCGAGAGCCACCTGCGCCCATGGAATGACGGATCTGCTGGAACTCGCCCTGAATAGCTTCCAGAAGAGCTGTGTTGACGCCTGAGCCACTGCTGGCAGCAGCGATCTCATCTAGACGAGTTCTTATCTCTTCTAGAGGTGCTTGAGGATGTTCTTCCTCGTCGTTTTCACCGGTGCTGAGAACAAGGCCCTTGGTAGTGGATTCACGGAGACTCTCCAATTGCTCCTTGAGGACCGTCAGAGTCTCGGCATGAGCTTCGCCCTGCTCAGAGCTCATTTGCATACGGATTGTATCGACGGCTTCGCGAACAGCCTCAATCATCTCGTCTCTCTCGGCAGCAGCACCGGATTTCAGAAGAGTGGCGGCTAAAGTCTCGCGCAGATGAGCCAGCTCATCCTTCATAGAAAGCAGAAGTTCGTTGTCAGAAGTTCCGTCCTCGCGATGGCCGACCTTTTCATGAAGGGCGTCCAGACTCTCTTGTAGAGATTCGATGACTTCGGCCTTGTGGGTGTTTGATCCGGCAATGACAGCATCGCGAAGAGCCTCGAATTCGGCCTTCATAGCTTCCAAAACTTCCTCGTTGGTCTCGTCAAGAAGACCACGGCTGGAGGTTTGATTCTTGAGTTCCAGGAAACCAGCTTCGAGAGCCACGAGGATTTCAGAAGTACTCGAAGGGCGGCCCTCTTCGCCATCGCGAGAGCCGAGGCCGCTAACTGCTTCATGTAAGTGTTCGAACTCGGCTTTGATGTAGTCTATCATCTCGTTGCGACCGTTGGATGGGCCTTCAGCACAATAGCCTTGAACATCACCACGAAGCTGTTCGAGACCAGTTCTGACGACATCGACAATTTCGTCCTTGCCAGTGACATCCTGAGCGCGGTCGACATAGGACTCGACCTCATGACGCAAAGACTCGAGACCATCCTTGATGGCGTCCAGGACCTGCTCGGTATCGCGACCATTGGCAGCAGAGTACTGCTTGAATTCGACCTTCATCTCTTCTATAAGATTGCGAAGTTGATCAAGAACTTGCTCGCCGAAACTGCCGAAAGGAAGGGTCGATCCATCAAGACTGGCCTTGACAGCGTCGAACAAATCATCTCTGCTGATCTCGAATTCGCGAGGAGCATGGGGTCCGTGGTTTTCGAGACCTTCCTTGACTGCCCCAAGAACAATCGCGTGAGTGGCAGCATCGCCTGGACCAGCAGACTTGAGTTCCTCGATGGATTCACGGATAGAAGCTAGTAAATCTTCTTTGAAGGAGGCCATCTCATCGACTGGTCTCGGGGGATTGAATTCTTGAAGAGCACGTTGCATGGCAGATTCGACCTCCTCGATATTGGCAGGTGCTACAGACGGCTCCTTGGTGGACTGGTAGTCATGTAAGCCTTCCTTCAGAACGGAAAGGATCTCGTCACGCTCAAGACCGAATTGCTGAAGCTCAATCTCAGGTCTGAACTCTTCAATGGCGTCCTTGACTGCCTCAAGAATGCTCGCCCTATCAAGGCCTTCTGATTGAGGTTGAGCCTGAACAAGAGCCGTGCTGTGTTCTGTGATGGCACTCTTGACAATGTCGTACATGTCCTTGTTCTTGTTTTCGTCTTGGTGGTTGGACATGATGAGTTGCTGTGAGTTTTGCTGGATGATATGCTCCATGTGCTCTCTGAGCTGAGACAGGCCCTGGTTGACGATTTCCTCGACACCAGTCTTGATCTGTGAGCCGTCTTCGGCAACTCTTGCGGTAGAGTTGGCCTGGTCAAGCTGACGCCCGAGCTCACGACCCATGCCCAAGACCTCACCACGAAGGTTCTGGAGGAGCGCCTTGATCTCATTGCTCAGGCCACCACTCTGAGAGGTGCTGTCCTTGATCTTGTGGAGAAGTCTCAGAATATCAGCGCTCATGGCGTCAATGGCCTTTGACTTTTGTTCATCGTCTTGGGCATCTGACGAGTGACGGACAAGGGCATGACTGCCTGACTTTTCCTTGATGAAGTCTGAGAGCTCGGCCACCTTTTGAGCGGTTTCGATAGCCTGGACGTTATCCCTGCTGTGCTTATCGAGCAGCTCTGATAAAGTAGATAGGAGGCGGTCCTGACCGTCCTTGGTAACCATCTCACGGATAATCTTCTCCAGCATTGCAACACTAGCGGCACCGTCCATAGAGAAAGGGTTGGGACTGCCAGGATCAAGGAAACTGCCGTGGCTGTTCGAGCGAGGCAGGGATCCAAACGGTCTTCCTCCAGCAGGTGGTGAGGTCAAGCCTTTGTTCTCGAGAAGACCTAGACCGAAGGCAGATGATCTGCCACCGAAGACGGAGCCAGCATCCGAGGCACTCACGTTGGAGAGCAAATCGCGCAAGTTTCTGCGGATCTCTTCGTCACGGCTGTCAGCAGCCTGCTTCAGACCAATCAAGTCGGCGGCGTTGTCCTTGCTGCGACGGTTCAGCTGCGCCATCTCCTTTTGCATGCCCGAAGTAATGCTCGTAATATTCGTAAGTTGTGCCATCATCTCGTTCAACGTCTTGGGTTCGCGTGACGAGGTAGAGTTCGTGACGTCGTGGAGGGAAGGATCGGGATCGCGAGCAGCCATGGTCTGCAGAGCAAGCATGGTGGCGGATGGAGGAGTGTTCTCGCCGAGAATGGCCCTGGGACGAGAGGCAGGACGAAGATTGGGTGCATCTCTGAGAGCATTTCTGTCGGCGGGGGTCGGTGTCGAGTGATCTTGAGGAGGGCTCGAGAAGTAATCGGCTTCGGCAGGGCGAGTGGGTGAGCCTTGGGAAGTAGCGGTAGATCTAGAGGTCGGTCTCTCGGGAGAAGTGTTGCGCATACCATCGAGGTAGCTGCGAAGGTCTCGGACACTTCCTGTCTGGAGAGACTGTAGGCGACGGTGGTGAGCACCCTTGATCAACGACTTGTCGGGCGAAGTGGAAGGCGGCGGGTTTGTGGTATAGACGCTGGCGGGCATGTTCTCGCGGGCACGCTCGGTCAGCCTCTGAGCGGTGGCCTGGATGTTAGCCGAAGCATTGGACCGTGTGGCCAGGCCAGGCGAGTTGGGCGGAATAGGCAGTGGTGGAGGGGCTCTGTCTGGGTCTGAGCTGTCCCANNCCTGAGTTTGGAGAGATGGCGAGTCAGTCCCATTTCTACTTGACCAGCGTTTCAGGACTTACATGGGCACCGACTGGCGGCCAGAATCGATGGACTCGCGATCGCTGTAGCTGGGCATGCTGAGGAATGTGAATGTGCTGTGATCTGATGGGAATAGGCAGATAGGTGCTCAAGAATGCACGCCAAACGGAGAAGGGCGTCACAACAACAATTGCATTGTACGCCGACGGGATATCTTGAAGAATTCGCAAAGAGCACAGAATCAGGTACTGAGAGACGCAGGTGGGAAATTGAGAGAGGGCAAAGACGGTTGGAGAGAACCGTTGTGGTGAGTTAGCGCAGGGCAGGTGTAGATGATGGCAGATGTTTAAGCGCGGCACTGGCAGTGTTTACACAGCACAACACCATGCAGCCTCTCTGCGTTGCTACGGGCCTCTTAATCCCGTCTCGCCGTCCCTCGCTCACCGCTGCAAGCTTGGCAGATCCTCGCGACCAACTTTCGCAGCTTCCATCCGACGCCGACGCTTTCCTTGGCGGGCGCGCTAGCCGAGGATGTCCCGGCACACTGCGAAATTCGCGAAGCTGTCCGCCTCTAGATTTTGGTTGCCAGACGATTTTGACCGACCAGACATACTAACCGTCCCAACCCAGCAGCCATGAAGTGTACGTCCAGCGCACATTCCTGCAGTCTCGATTGCGATATGGAGATTGCCAATTGCGCACAGCAAATGCTGACAGTGTCTGTCTAGTCCTTAAGGTCGGCCGTGTTGCCATCATCAGCCGTGGCAGATATGCAGGCAAGAAGGTACGACTTACAATTCCACCCGCGGATCCATCGACGAGACGGAGCGACACATGAGAGCAATGAAGGGACGCTGCACATGCACACAGAAAGAGCCAGGACTGTTTTGGGATGCAGAAACATCAAACCGCACAACCATTTCCGACCGTCGAACCGCCATCCGCACATGCACATGCATCACCGAACATGCCACTTACACAGTCTCGCTTTAGGTCGTCATCATCCAGCCCGTTGACCAGGGCACCAAGTCCCACCCCTTCCCCCACGCCCTTGTCGCCGGCATCGAGCGTTACCCTCAGCAAGTCACCAAGCGCATGTCCAAGGGTCGCATGGCCAAGCGCTCAAAGGTCAAGCCTTTCATCAAGGTCGTCAACTACAACCACATCATGCCCACCCGCTACACTCTTGAGCTCGAGGGCCTGAAGGGTGCCGTCACCAACGACACCTTCAAGGAGGTTTCGCAAAGAGAGGACGCCAAGAAGAACATCAAGAAGGCCCTCGAGGAGCGTTACCAGAGCGGCAAGAACAAGTGGTTCTTCACTCCTCTCAGTATGATGCCGCCCCAGTCCAACTCACATCTGGACACCCGACTAACATGCACTCTCTTACAGGATTCTAAACGACTCGACAATGCGTGGTGCACTTCTTGGTTGGGGGAGTCTTCAAAAATTACTTCATGGACACGGGGGACTCAAGACTTAGCTGTCTTTTAACGCATGATCATGGGACATAGCGAGTCAAAATACCAACGTCTCGAAACCAAAAAAGGAAAAAGTTCAAAAAATTTCTTCCGACCCTCTGTTCAAAAAGTCTACAGGCAACAAGTGCAGGCATCTCTGGTCAAGAGTTTGGGAGCGATACCACCGAACGACAAAGTACGAACACCACCGATCCTGCGACGAGCTGTAACGAAGGCCGCCCCTTCACCAAACGAGACAACTGCGAGCATGGGCAATGTTTTGTGGAATCATGGCCGCCGACACATATTGTTCACGACTATCCTCCGCGCTCGACGTTAGCCTTGTCTCTTACTCCTGAAATGCAACGAAAAGTCATGCCTCTAAATCTTCTGTCTCACTGTGGCTGTCTGCATACGTAGACTCGTCATTGTTCGTTCTAACCCGAACAAACTTCTCCCTGCCTCAAGATCATTATACCGTGTGACATGTACCACGTAGGAAACGCCAGGTAGGTCTACGTCTTGTACGAGCCACACCGGCTATGACTCCTCATTGATTGCTCGCCATGCTGCCCAGTCTTTCCGATTTGATGTGTATTCTCCCAACCAAGGCCTAAGCAAGTTCATACAGTATTGCTCAGCTAGTGGTTCAGCATATCACATCAGTCATACTTTTCTCAGTTGTCCTTTCTTGACCCGCGTCAGGATTGGTATCTCGTTGTCTTTCCCATGTGCCTGTCAAATGACACCGAGACAAGAGACTGTGCGACACCCACGTGTATTGCTCTCTTCTTCACTGCATATGGCTCTTGCCTCTTCAAGCTTCCCTACTTGCTCATCGGGGAACTCGGTATCGCTGGTGTTACTCTAATAGACTTCTTCAGACGATGACGCCCATGTCTTTGAAGGCTGGCTACGATTTGGCATATGCGAGAACGATGATGTGCCAGCTAAACCAAACAAGACCGAGAAGATGGAAGAAGTATATCGAATCATTATAGTCCGCGCATGAGAATACAGTCATGAATATCGGACATGTACATAAGACAGCATAAAACTCGCCAATCTCTCACATCTTGTTCTCTCTCGCCTTGTTGGCTTCCTCCTTGTCCTTTTCATCCGGGAAGTCCTTGAGGTAGTCCATGAACTTGTCGACTGGTGCCGCCATCAAGCCAGCCAACATTTCCAGATAGTAGCTTGTTGGTGCGTTGGGATGGCTCCTTGTTGGGACAATCTTCTTTGTGCGTTCGAAACTGGCTGCCAATGCCTCGCTCTCTGCTCTTGACAGCAAGCCCTCGAGACGAGGCATGTCTTCGTTCTTCTCGTGTTCGATGTGGTGGTGTAGCAAGTCCATCAAGGTGTCGAGCAGTGGCATGAACTTGGGGTCCACAGGCGTCATGTCTTGGAGTTTGTAGAGGTAGTTCTTGACNNCTGATCATGACCTCTCGTCAGCATGTTTGCCTCGTATACCAAAAGGTCATATCACGGAAGAATCACTTACACCTTGGTGTTGCTCCTTGTCTTCCTTGGACAGTCTGACGCCTTCCTCGCCCAAGTGCTTCTCCATGGCGGGGTACCAGGTCAATTCCTCGCTGATGGCATGACGGGCAACGGTCCATGTGAGTTGGTTCCTCCAGCGGACCTTTGCGGCATCGTCTTGAGCGTTTTTCAAGTTCTCGTAGAGGACGTCGAATTGGTCGTGATCGGCACCGATGGCTTCTGAAATTGATTTGCCCATGATTGTTGTTATAGTTGAGTATGCGTTGCTATGAATTGAAGTGGTTGTGATTGTCTAGGCTGGGACAAATATAGCAGCGAAGGAGAAGCGTACTTGGTCGCCCCCCAAAGTAGCGTCTACGAGCATTCGTTGACGACATTACGGTTGACATGGAGCTTGATTGGGCACATCAGGTGCATGCGTCCAATACAAGTCTGGTCGCCCTGCCGCGGCCGCTCAGGGAAACTTGGAGATGTTTGTGGAGATATGCAGACGATGCGCGCATGATGACGGGCAGAGGTCGCAAACCCGTCTCCTGTGATTCGTTCGGGGATTATACCTCCATACCTCCATACCTCCACATTCGACCCTCAACTAAGCCTCCACGCATTCGAGAAAGCCTCCACTGTGTTCACTGCTTTATGAATTTGAAGGGCTGACTTTTGGTGTCTATACTCTGGCTGAGAGACACACTGCTGCTCAATCTCTGTCGCCAGAGTCCAAGCACAAAGAAGCGACAGCACGCACAGGGTGCCAAACTCATTTCGATGGTTAAAGTCAAAAGAATAGCGTATCCACCTCTTGACAATATCGGAATGTGTTTTGCTCAAATGTCTTTCCAAAGCTTACCAAGTCTTGCTGCGAATCTTGAGATATCATCTATATCGTTCATGTCATTGTGCAAATAACAGACAAAGCACAACCACATGGGTCCAGTGATCGTGACAGGGTCGTCCTGTATACTATCAACCGGTTGAACCTCGGTTTCGAGACTCGCGCTTCGTACAAATCGAAAATCTTTGCAGCGCTTTCCCTTACCATCATTGCAACATGCGACAAGCACACATCTCTGAAGTGCATCAATCGTGATCCGCAGAGGCGCTTGTTATATGCAACAAAAGATGCCTCTACGACCATGATCAACGCACTTTTCAACGACGTTCACGACTGTCATGAATAACGACCTGGTACCAACCTCGACCTCAACATCATGTCTCATGGTAAGTTTTTACTTTTCCCTCATATATTTATCCCCCTACAAGTCAAAACAACAACATGATGAATATCCGGTTTGGAGACCTGTTCCGATTCTTGATGATAGGATACTTTGGAATAATCTGACACGTTGTTTTGATCTTGACTTGTTTTGTTGTTCAATCCACACGTCTCTCTGTTTAGAGGAGTCAAGTGCTAACGTGCGCTTTAGGAAATCATATATGCTGTTTTTCTGCTTATGAAGGTTGAGGTGTCTAGATAGTTACTTATGGTATAAGAATAAATTTTGTATACTTTACACATACTGAATTGTCACAATCGTGCTGTTCCTCATCAGATTGTTGCAATGTGAGAGATTCATATCTTCTCGATTGTCTATTTGGCCGGAAGACATCTGCTTGATGTCTGCCAATACTTGTTGACAGATGATGCCTCAAGCGTCAAGGCATGTGTTGTCAACCAAGGGTACTTGCAACAGCGACACGTGAGTGATAAGATCTCTCGAATCTTCACGTCCTCAGACCTGGACCAGACGATACTTTTAGCATACCATGTCCTCAGCCTTTCCTATGGAGTCTGTCTCAGAGTGATAGCATGTGAATGATCGTGTTTGGAACTGCCAGCCAGGATGATCGCGGTGTTCCTAACGGTCATGGATACGATTACGCGGCACGCCATCGCACCTCATCTATCTCCTAGTAAAAGTGACCGATTCGCGAGTAAGTAACACCACGAAGCCGGCTGTAGATAGTGGAAGTGATGCCCGTGTGAATTGCTGCTGACTTGGACCTCGAACAATCGTCCGACTTGCTTGAGACATCTTGCTGCATCTTTCAACCAACTCCACGTAACCGAGGTCAGCTATCGACACACTACATGAAGGTCAATCTGCTCGCCGCGTGGGCTCCTTTAGCCAGCTATGTCCTGGCCAAACAGCCAAACATCCTCTTCATTATCACTGACGATCAGGATGGACACATGGGCTCTGTTGAGCACATGCCTCTTCTCAAGAAACATCTAATCGACAAAGGAACTTCCTATGAGAACCACTTCTGTACCATCGCCATCTGTTGTCCTTCAAGAGTAAATCTCTGGACTGGAAGAGCAGCTCACAATACGAATGTCACTGATGTTGGACCGCCATATGGAGGCTACCCCAAGATAGTCAAGGAGGGCATTAACGACGACTATCTCCCTGTGTGGATGCAGGCTGCGGGCTACAATACTTACTACACTGGAAAACTCTGGAACGCCCATACCATCAACAACTACAATCAGCCTTTTGTCAAGGGCTACAATGGCTCTGATTTCTTACTCGATCCTTTCACTTACGATTACTGGCATGCCAGAATGACCAGAAATGGTGGCACGCCAAAGGACTACTCGGGTCAATACTCGCCTGATATTGTGGCTGACAAGGCGTATGGCTTTCTCGAAGAGGCCATCGAAGGCGATGCGCCTTGGTTTGTTACCGTCGCGCCCATCGCTCCTCACAGCAATATCGTTGCGCGCCCACCCAGTGGCCCTCTCAACGAACTCGAAGTCCTCGCCCCTGGACCGGCCAACAAGTTTGCAATTCCAGAGTATGCTCCTCGTCATGCGCATCTGTTCACGGACTACAAGATCCCAAGAACAGAAGGCTTCAACCCGGAAGANAGTAAGCCAGAAACCCTGATTCAAGAAACGAAAGACGAAAGCTGATAAGATGAACAGCCGAGTGGAGCAAGCTGGATAGCACAGTTACCTAGACTCAACGACACAATGATCGAGTACAATGACGAGTTCCAACGTGCCAGACTACGCGCACTACAATCAGTCGACGAGATGATTGAGCGTCTCGTCAACCTGCTAGACTCCAAAGGCGTTCTCGACAACACCTATATCTTTTTCACCACCGACAATGGATTCCATGCTAGCCAACATCGCATGCATCCCGGCAAAGAATGCGGCTACGACACCGATATCCACATCCCGTTAGTCATTCGCGGACCAGGCATTCCCGCAGGCGCAACCACAAACATCGTGACTTCCCACACCGACATGGCACCCACTCTCCTCTCTCTCGCCAACGCCACTCGCACCGACTTTGACGGCCTCGCGATCCCTCTGCTCTCCACCAACACAACCACCCGCGGCGAACACGTCAACGTCGAATTTTGGGGCATTGGATTGCCAGAAGGCAAATTCGGCATCGCAGAACCACTGGGCGGGTTATCCTACCCAAACAACACTTACAAAGCTTTACGTCTGGTCAGCGGCAACTACAGTATCTATTACTCAGTGTGGTGCACCAACGAACACGAGTTTTACGATTTACACACCGATGCAGCTCAAATGCATAATTTCTTCTCTGATCCACAGTTGACCAAGGACTTTTCTCTTGCGGGACGGCCATGGCAGCAAGTTGTTTATCGTCTCGATGCTTTACTGCTCGTACTCAAAACCTGCAAGGGCCAAACCTGCATAAACCCTTGGGCTTCTCTTCATCCCTCTGGCAGCGTGAAAACGCTACTTGAAGCTTTGGATTCAGGATTTGATGCCTTCTACCAAAAGTACCCCAAAGTGGGCTTTTCTTCTTGCGAATTGGGCTACATCCCCAGCGCCGAGGGAAATGTTGATCACATCGAGTTTGCGGCAGGTGTGGAGTGGATGACGGCAGCAGAGCAACCCGTAGCAAAAGGTCAGGAGCCTTTTGTCTACAGAGGTAGCTGGAGCGACTGGGTTTAAATTACCTTTACAGCCGTTGTTTGCCCAATCCTGTCCATCTCACATCCAAAGAGAGCAAAGGTCAAAGATGTGTACATATCAAGGGACGATGAACCCGCTTGCTGGAGGAGCATAAAGTCTCATGAACTGCAAAAAGTTCCATGCCCGCAATGACAACAACTAGCAAAGACCCAAATGCATATCCATCACCTATAAAGTCGTGTTTGACTCAAAGAGAAACTGTCGTGTCTGAGACTCCTATAGACCGAGTAGATGTGCCTACGCCGTCGGCCCCGTTGTCATATCGAAAGCGCTCGAAAAGCACAGCACAAACTTCATCGACCGGTGAATACGATGCCGCGAGCATGCAATTTTACTTTTCGCCGATCTTGAGCAAGTACGAGACGAACTTAGTTTCAATCAAGTCGTCGCAGTTGGGGTAGCAGTGGTGTTGGAGATACTGGAGGCGGGGGTTGGAGATGGAGACTCTGATCTCCAACCATTTGTGCTGGCCATTCTCGGAGAGTCTGTGCTAAAGAGTAACTACTGGTAATATATGACTGATGATCTGACAGGTATTGACCTCTGAAAATGGTGCCTAGCACAGCAATTAAGTCAACAGATCCTTTGTAATCGCGTCGAGTGCGAAGATTCCACCATGAGACACCGAAAAAAAGGCGAGATGAAAGTGTTGTTTTTGTTTGTCAAAGCCGTAGAAAGAGAAGAGAGAAAAAGGAAGAAACCCAGATATATAATGAGTTTTGCTTTTTTCCCCCAAATAAGAAAGAAAGACCTTTGTCCATACCCAAACAGATGTCCGTCCGTATTTTCCCTGTCCCCCCTTTTTTGTTCTGCTTCTTCTGGCCACCCACCGAACCGGTTAAAGAATTATATACGCCTTGAGCGCCTCGCTGGACAAAATATGACGATGAACATCGAGAGAAAGGAAAGATTGTGGAGACACAACAACAGCGACCATCGCGTGCCATCGTACAAGAGAAATACGTTTTGAAAACGTTTGTACATAGAAGTGAAATGTGAACAGGCCTGCTCTCTTTTGACCCTAGCTGGACCAAGTGGGAGTAGACAAGGAGTAAAGTCGCACGTATAGTGACGGCTTACATGAGGAGATCCATCATGCAAGTTGTAAGGAACATCCAAGAGAGCAGACATCGATTATGAGATTTCGGATGGGCATGAGAGAAGCGTCGGTAGGATGAATGTCTGTCACGGTGAAAATGGAGCCTGAAGAGGAAGGCAGGAGACAGCTACGCTGTCTGGCACCAACAAGTGGTGTGGAGTCTGCTCGTGTGCCTGACACGTTTTCTGACTGGTTGATGAGCGTCGACTCTTCAGCGGCCTCGGCGGGGAGCTCGACAGGTCTGAGACTCTCATCGGTCATCATGCCGGATGTCGGAAGAGAGGAAGGAAGGAAGGAAGAGGGGTGATGGTCAAGGAAAGAGGTCGGTCGCCGTCATGGCGATGCAGCAGGCAAATGACATGGTCGAATGAAAACAAGGCTCTGCAAAGTCGTATGGTCGTCGTTATGATGCGCAGAAGATGAAAGCGGTCGGCGCTCAGAGAATGACACACTTTCCGCCGGAGCGTTTGGACTTTTTGACGGCTCCACCACTGCCGGTATGCGAGCGTCCAGAATCCTNTTTGCGATCACCGCTTCTACCACCAGCAGAGTTGTGTCGTTGACGGCGTAATTGGCGGACGACATCGTAGAAAGCCTTTTCGACATTGACGCAGTTCTTGGCTGAAGCCTCGACGAACTCACAGCCCAATTCGCGAGCGAGAGCGGCGCCTTCCTGGGTAGAGACTTCGCGCTCGGTGACACGGTCGCACTTGTTGCCCACGAGCATGACAGGAGCGGGACCGGATGACGCAGGGGAGGAAAGGCTGGGAGAGCCAGGGTAGGTGGGTGAACCGGCTTGTGCAGACTCCTTGACGCGTTGGATCTGGCTGTAGAACTTCTTGATGCGTTGGAATGAGGCGCGCGAGGATATGCTGTATACCAGTACGAAGCCTTCACCGTCGCGAATCCACTGATCTCGCAACGACACATATTCTTCCTGGCCCGCCGTGTCGAGGACCTCGAGCATGCATGATTGGCCGTCGATCTGGACCTGTTTGCGGTATGAGTCTTCAATGGTCGGGTCGTAGGTTTCGACAAAGTGGTTGAGACAGAGCTNGTGCAGGTGGTTAGTCAGAGGGTCACCAAGGAATGCGAGCTGCAGCTCAGCACGTACCTGGATGGTGAGGGCGGTCTTGCCGACACCGCCATCTCCGAGCACCACCAACTTGTACAAAGTCATTTTTCCCGCCATCTTGGCTGTTCAGACAGATGCAGGCTACCTGGGTAGGGGTGTGAGAGGGAGGTAAATGTAGCTGTGGTGCGTCGTGTGCGAAGGATCTGCGAAGCTCAATCTCGGCGGCTTGACTTTGGGTCGATCAGCTTTCGCGCGCGTGTGCAGAGTGGAAGCAGGTGGCGCCAGAGATCGCTTTGTACGAGATGGAGAGCTGAGTCGATCGGGAGCCTTGACGCGCAGCAGACAGGGCAGGAGCAGCAACAGAAGAGAGACTGAAACTTGACACTGAGGGATAGAGCGAACGCACGTAGGACGCTGGGGCCAAGGCTTCAAGGGGCGGCAGGAGCGACGATGGCGCAGGATGATAAAGCCAAACGGCAACGGCAGGACAGCAACAAGAAGCTGACTGTGTATAGAGACAGAGGTCGTCGAGGCAGGTGCGAACAAGAGACTGGCGATGGAGGAGAAGAAGAGGGTCTTGTTGCCTCTAGTTAGCCTCCGACAACTAGCAACTACCTAGCAACTAGCACCAAGAGCTTGTTTCCCTGAAAACCGCAACCCACGACCAAGTGCACTTGCACTGGCACTTGCAGCCCGACCCGAACAGCAAAGCGGGGTGTCCACTTTTACCAACTCACCCAATTCGCACATCCCGGAGCGACATTCCTCTCATCCTACAAGCCCACGCTGCTCTGCCTCTCACGAGCACATAGCCAAGGACTAAAAGCATTTGTCTCCACTGCCCGCCTTGAACCTTGTTTTCAGCCAAACGCGTCCACCACATTGGTCCACATTCCGACATGCTCAAACCAACAGAGACATACGATAGATACCTTCCACACAATCTGATCTCGTTGCTTGCATTGGCTGAGCAGAGACTGCTGTTTGTTCTCTATTAAAGTTTGACCCTCGATATGCCTACCTGTTCCCCAATCCTCCCGCCTTTTCAACCATCGTTCAATGCTTCGGCGCGAAACCCTGATAAGCCAGCCGCTGGGATCCCCAAATGAACATCCTCTTCTGAGCAATGTGGGACCTCGACAGTACCACTCTTTGACCACTAAACAATCACATCGTGGCGTGCTACTATTGTCGTGAGGACTGCCATGCCGACCACCTGTCTTGTTTTTTGACTTTGGCCCTTGGCCATCCGCTGCCTTCTGAATCAGGCCCTCCTGCCTCGCACCTTCACGGATGTGCTTCATCCTCTGACTCGGGCTAATCATTTCTCACCCAAGCTTCGTTGCACGACAAGGTAGAGTTTCGATCCTGATCGGCAAAGAATGGATCTGATTAGATTTGTCTTGTCCTTTCTGTGTTTCTTGCGAGTCGGAGTCGTGATCGCTGCACTGAGCCAGAGTTCGACCGAGCGATCGCTCAACGTGATTTTCAGTGCTAACTGGTGGAATCACACATGACCACACACCTAGAATCCAACTTCTTGCTGAACAGAGTCACGAGTTGAATATCACACCTGTCAATTCCAAAAGAAGAGCCGCAGCTCCGCAAACCCGCAAGATCTCGACTGCCGCAGCCAACAGATCTGCTTTCGACATCTGCCGAGTTGCTGATCAGCCTCGCTTGATGGCACAAAAGGGTATCAAGCAGACCTATCGGCTGTCGCTCCGAGGCAACTCGAACCTCATCCTGCCATCTTCGCCTGCTTGAATCTATCTGAATACACGCGATCTCACGCTTACATCACATAAATTCATGTTGCTAAGCAAATGGCTCTCAGTCTCGACGCACACCGCGATGTGGCAAGCAATAGAAGACCGTGAAGGGGCAGTGCCTGGACTGAGCCTGCTATGCGATAACGCAGTTGACTCCGGATATGCACATGTATCGAACTCTAATCTAGATATGCATTTCGCTTACTTGTATAAGCAGCTGGAAGGATGCTGCAACATATCCACCACGCTCTCCTATCTCTCATACGATGTACGATCAGTCTTGGATCGCGTTGCTAGACTACTCTCGTTGAGCTTCAGTCGATGACTCGCTCATTGAGGCAGTTTGATACGCAGCGTTGCATCTGCCTGGCACGAAAAAGACGTTGCGACCATCATTTCTACCTACTGCCGGGCGCAGCACCCTGGTCCCTCGCCCACTCTCATGCATGAACGCACGATACAGGAGTTCAACACTCTGAAGACATGCAAATGGCAGATAAACAATAACGTTGGAGAAAGGTACTCTCGAAGATTGTTGTGCTGACTTTGTAGAGGGAAATGCCCCCACAGCCATCACGTCAATGATTCCCTGCCAACTCCCGCCTTCGCGGTGAAGGGCCTTGACACACGTATGATCTCGACCACCTGACGGCTTTCATCTTGTTTCTCGTCTTGGCTCGACATTTCGGTCCTTCAATTCAAAGATCAACACCAACAGCTATCTATAACTACTTGCAAGAGGAAAGGATGTCCATTGATCATCAGCGATTCTACATATCTTACACCTTGACTCTGGACTGCAAAACACTGACACATCGATGCCTAATGCTTCCAAAACAGACTTCGTACGGCTCATGAAGACCTGCGCAGTCCTCGTAAGCATGACTCTCTTCAAGATCAACAAGACTTGCTTCTTGTCTCCTCCTCACAACACGATTCCCGTGTATCTTTGTACCCCGAATGGTCCCACTTCCACTAATGACTCGAGACGACTTCATCCACTTCCCCACATTGGCGCTTTCTTCCAATCAGAGGTTCAGAAGCAGAACCATCTCCCGAGGAGGGCAACAACACATTTGATACTCCACCGAGTCCATTTCTAAACCGACTTTTGTTGTTCACCATGCTAGAAAATTGAGATTGTCATGAGTTAGGGCGTGAACACGAGAAGCCCTAACTTTCTAGCAGCACAGTCGTTTTCGGCACTGCTGCTACATGGCATCTCCTTTGGTGCGCTATGATTTTGCATATCAACCATCAAGCAGTAATCTTCAAGGCATTGTGGATTGTGTTGGCAAATCTATACAATTGCGAAAAGGCATCTTGTCAGAGAGTCAGCCGTCTACTTGTACAGCAAGACAAACACACTATTCACTGTTTTGCTGTCTTATATGCTAACACTATAAGGGTAGGACAGCTGTATATAATGATTGCAAGCAGCAATTATTGCACGTACGGCCACAGTCAGCTGAAAACTGGGCATCCCGTCCGCTCTGCCATACATAAGCAGTTGAACGGCAGATTAGTACTACGGTGGGTGACCACGTGGGAATCCCTGCTGCTGTACGTTTTTGCATTTCTTTTCACGAAACGACTACAAAAGAAGAGGGAACGAACCTTGGAAGTCTCAGAGATGGCAAGGAGCGATTGTTCTGTAGCAACTTTATGCTGGTCTTCACCTTTGGCTTTTTCTTTCGGATCAGCATGATAAAACTCCTTGTCCTCATCATAGGATTATGTACAAACAACAAGAAAGTGGGTGAAAACGAGAAAAGGAAGGTGCGATCGAGGTAACAAAAGTGGCAGGAGCGGTTGAGGGACCAGAAGGGGCAGGAGTTTGATCAAAAGGGAAAGAACGACCAATGTGAATTTTTGAAAAAAAGGCAAATAAATGCACAGAGAATAGAAGAAGCAACTCAAGACCAAGAGAGGACAAAAGCGATATATAGTAAGCGCAAGGAAGCAACGAGTCTCGGTTGAATAGAACAACTCCAGAGATACGAAAGAAGGTGTAAGCTGATGCGGCGAGAACAAGACATATATGTATGCATCAGATCATGAAAACGCATTGTCGAGGCATTTGAGTTCAGGGGAGTGAATAGAATGTATTTTGAACTCACTCCTGGCTACACCGGAGTCAAGAAAAGTACTATGCAGTAGCAACACGAGGAGATGCATCTAGCCTGATTCGTACACAGAAAATCGCTCAACTCAACTTATCCTTGTGGAATACATTGTTGGGCGAGGTGCGTCAAAACCCTACCTGCAGGATGCCACGGCTAACTCACAGGCATGGTTGAATGTTTGCTGTAAAAGCACGTGGTAGCACTATTCAGTCAGACGAAGAAGCTTCAACCAATGCTGGAATGTTGGTAGCACTTCTCTGATTCGGGCCTGAGCATGCTCTCACGTCGTTGTTCGAGCAAGGAGATGTGGCCGATACGGAAGCCGCAATCGAGATATCAAAGATCTCCTCAACATCTTCGTTGCTCGTGCTGGTTGCAAAATAAACCATCGACAATGACGTGGCGTTGGCTGGAGTTCATGTTCTTCCATACCGATATCGATTCCATCTCGCCAACTTGATGCCGTCTATTGCTGTGCTCATCATCCCAAATCGTCTGCACCAACTCATACCGACGGCTCATCAACCTCATCCAGATAGTCGTCGGATGCTTCAGAGTGGCTCTCGTCTGGCGACAGACAACAGATCCCGGCGAATTGCCTGATACCGTTTTCGTCAGGCAGAGTACACCATGTCGCCAATGAAGCAGCCGTCGGTCGCATCTTTTGGTTGTGCTTGAGCATCTGTTCAACCCAAGTCAGCACCATATTGTCAGAAACTGCTGCGATGTTTTCGAGTTCGACAAGAAGGCTGTGAAGAGCCTCGTTGTTTTTGCGAATGACCGAATTCTTGGAACCATTTCCCCCAAAGTAGGATTTCATATAATCAACCGAGTGACCTTTGAGGACGACGATCATCTCCAAAAAGACAATGCCCAGGCTATAGATGTCGGAAGATGTGCTCCGAGGCTCTTCTGCAGCAACTTCTGGCGCGCAGTACATGGGAGTCATCCAGTTGACCATGCCCATAGTCGTGCTGCGGCTGGCCTCTGTGAAGTCGAGTGCCAAACCAAAATCCGTGAATAATACGCCCCGACCTGCTTCGAAGAGTATGTTTTGCGGCTTGATGTCTTTGTGTCGGACATTTTGCTCGTGCAGAAACTCCAGTGCTCTGGAGAGACACCCAAAGAATGTTCTTAGCTCTCGATATTTTGTTTGATCTGCGCGCCTCAAGTATGCGGTAAGATCCATATCTGCAATCGGTTCCATGAGCACCGCAATGTATCTGTGGTCGGTATAGCTGCCCACGAACTCCACGACATGCCAGTGAGACAAGCGTTTGAGGATCTCTATCTCCTTGATGAACGCCTTTTGAGCCGTGGCATTTCTGCCATCGAATGCTGCAGTTCTGAGCACGCGTTTTCTTGCATATCTCTTGAAGCTGATCAAGCTGAGAACCTTGTCTACCTGACCAAATCCACCGGCTCCCAGGAAACCTTCAGGTTTGAGTGGTATGTACTCATTCTTCCTGAAGAAGCAGTGCCGGCCACCCTCACGTTTCTCCAGATTGAGTGATTTTGTTGTGACCATGGCTTGAGTTTTGACAAAATCAGAACGGGCCTTGGGGCTTAGGTTGGGAGGCAAACTTCTGGGCGTGACCGGAAAGTTGTAGTCGGAGAATCCAACATCAACAAAAGTAGGCATAGCGTGCAGGCAGCCAATTATGCGGAGGATGATGTACACGCGTGGAAGTTTGCTCCATGACGGGTCCAAACGTTGCAGCAGCCGTGAGATGTCGCTGATTTCTGTATCACTATATTCGACCCGAGGCTCGTCGTGCTCACCAAAGTAATGCCCTAAGCGTTTTGTGAGATTCTGCTGGAGATCAATTGTAGGCACTGCTGTTTCACTACTCATCATAGTGGGTTGGCCTTCTAATTTCTCTCGAGTGAGATTAGGTGGATGTTCTGGGAGCTCATAGTATTCGGAAGAATCACTGGAATCTGCACAATCTGGTGCCATACTCTGGACCGTGACTTCCTTCTCATGCTCGGCATTTGGTGCCATGGAGAGACTGGTCGTCTTTGGCGGTTTCACATCCAACAGGGTGGCAGGAATAGTCTTGCTAGAGTCACTGTCTTCCTCCGGAATATGTTTATATGGGTCTTCCTCTTCAGGGAGCTCATAGTATTCTGATGATTCATCAGAATCCGCGCGTTTCGGTGTCACACTCTCGACGATACCTTCCTCACCATGCTCGACAGCAGTTTCCATGGTGGGACTGGTCGCTTCTGATTTCTGCACAACATTTGATGTGGCCGACAGATGCAGAAGGCTAGCAGATCCGAAGGTGGTAGGGGCAGTCTTATCAGACTTACTCTCTTCGGCAAAGTCAGCTAACTCGTAAACGACAAAATGCGGAACATGGCGGTTCGAATCAAGCCAAACGATGCTTGCATCTCTAGATCTTTGAGGGCCCTCACGAAGCCATTCGGAAATTTCCTCAGTCAAGATGCTGGAGGACTGAGATCCACGCTGGGCCATGAAGTCATGGACTTCCTGATGTTTGTTCGTAGCAAGCTCAGAGGGACGAGCGGTGGGTTGAACAGCAGCAGAAGAAGAAGAAGAACTGACGCCGGCCTCTAGGTGATCCCTGTACTGCCGCTTTTGTCCAGAGTTGATGCGCTGGGATCCGTCCCCAGTATTGGTCCAAAAATTCGTCCAAACGCCTGTGGTGCCAGAGGAAGGCAAATTCCAATCGGGTGGAGTGTTCCTCTGTTCGAGGGGCGAAGAAGTCGTCGGCTCCGACGGCTCGACTCGAGGTTTGACCAATGATATTGAGCTTGAGGCCGTTCCAGGCATATTGGTTAAAACCTTGTCTCGATGATCGATAAGAAAAATCAGCACGTTCTGGCTAATCCGGAGCATATGAGGGAGTACGTGGAGGGGATGCGATAGGAGGCCCGGCTGGAATATCGCGGCGAGATTAGCTGTTTTCGTCTTGTTGAGTTTATGGTTGTCAACAAAGACGGCCAGAACCAGAAGAACGTACAGGAATAGGTGACCATTGTTGGTGGGCAGTTCGGTGATAAGCATCTGGTAGCCACGGATCGTGTCTTCGAGGGGTAGAGGTTCGTCCTTTAGCACTGGAGAAACCCGGTATTGGGTTTCTCTCAAGGGCCGGCAGAACCGTTCGTAGTACGTCAGAGGAATGACGGGTTCGGGAAGCTCGTTGAGATATTGGAGCAATACATGACCGATCTCATAGGGTGTTTGAAGACCAAAGGAGAAGTTGAATTTACTTCCATAGGAATGTGTAGGCGAATCAAAGACGGCTCTGATTTCTCTGACAATGGATTCAGACCCGGTATCTGAAAATATATTTTCAAGATTGCCGTGCGTAGCTGTTGTTCAGTGTTAATGAATTCGCCCTCGAAGACAGACTATACCTACCACATACCTGCGCTTCTNTAGGAACGACCCACACTTGAATACCACAAGTGGTATCTGTCCATGCAAGAACTCTTCGCCATTTCTACTTAGAGAAAATGTGCAACTCGCATAGCTTATACTAGTCTGCAAAGGCACGCCAAAAACACGTTCTGGAGAAGTCTTATCAGTACACACGTATGATTGACCGGGATAGAGTCTGTATACGAAAAAGGGACCATCTCACCTGCCCTGTCGGACTGGAGCACCTCGGAATCAGCGCCGTGCATCTTCACACGCAACCGGTTGGTCAAGCCCTTTTGTGTTGCCGTGGTTGATGTCTGTTCAGTCGTCACGGGAATAGCGACCCATATCTTCTCTGAGATCGCTTGCGCCATGACTGAGGCTGCTGTTGAGCCGGTGATGATGGTTCTAGGTCTGCAGCAGCGTTGCGGTCACTATTGCATCATTCAGAGCAGTGGATATGGATATTGAAGATATTTGTCGACATGTCCAAACATATAATCCAGATAAAGTTACCAAGTCGACGAACTCCACTTGAAGCAAAATAACGATGTTGGGTCGTGATATGGTTGCCAAGTTGGAGAAGACAGCCTCGGATCCTATTTAAGAAACGCCGCAGAGCAGGCTGAAGTTGTATCTTGTTCGACGTAATCGTGGCCGATTGGTGTGCGGTATGGATACCTCGCGCGCATTGCACTGGGAAGGCTAGAGGCGGGGGTTGCATGAATCTGTACGCGAGATATGGCACCTATTGGAAGATAACCATTGTGGCTGGCGACGCTAAGAGATCCTGTGGTCAGCAACGGAATGATTTGAACCGCTCGAAGAGGCTGAACACTAGAAAGCCTCAGTGCCGTTGGCCTGGAAGGAAATATCTTAAAGCTCTTTGGTTTTGATTTGCATATTTCCGCACAATGATTCCCATCGAGCCAGTCAGTTTCACCATCGGTTCAGTATCGCTTGCTATTCAACTGCTTGGTGGCTGCAAAAAGGTAGACTGCTCCAGACACACGGAAGAGAGTAGGGTAGCCTGACTTTCCATAGGATATCTGTTTCTCTTGGAGGTAACAGGAATGCCTGAGAACTACCGATATCTTCGGACTCGTTTGCAGTATGAACACCTTCGTTTCGAAGACTGGTGTGAGGCCGCTGGGTTTGACGATGCAGGCTACCAGAAAGCAAAAGATCTTCCAGCAAGCGTGAGAGCAGCCAGCTTAGTGCTGGTCGCAATTCTCACAGAGCTGCAACTGGTCATGGACGAACTGTCACAGATGACNAAAAAGTTCGATCCGAGTGGTTTCACCAATGCTGGTGAAACCGAGGTCAGCGATCTACAAGTGCTGGAAAAGCTTAGGAACATTTCTTCTAGAGACAACGAGGACGCCAAACATTCCGGTAACAACTCTGTACCAGGAACTGAATCCCGAAGACAAGGACGATGGCTGTCAATGGTGACAAGCCTAAAAAGCATCGCNAAAAATCCTCGCCGCTTCGTCTGGGTAGCCTTCAAGGGAGAAGAGTTCGAGAAATTCTTGGGACGTTTCAAAGAACTGAACGAGAATCTCTATCAACTTCTCAATGGGGAACAGTCCCGCCATTTACTGGACCTCACTCGCAAGACGCAGCTCGACATGGTCCTGGTATTAAAGTCTGTCGAAGAACTAAAACATCTTCAATTAGCAGCAGTCTTGCAGCCTGATCGAGCACCAGATCCATCGTCATATTCGAGAAGCGACCAGATTCTCGCATCCTTGGCTAACTTCAAGCAGCTCAATACTGCTTCTGTTCTATCTCCAGAGGCTCAGCAAGGGAAAGCCGACAATGTTCGGAGAGATACATTGCTAGTTCGTTCTCGAATCACATTGTCAGACGAAGATGATGGTTCAGACAGCTTAGTGACCTTTGATGGCCGCACGGCCGGGATTCTGGACGAGAAACGACCAGGACACCGGAACATCTGGGTGGAATGGCGAGACTACATCCCTCATCATAACAACGAGGGAAACGAGCTCGTTGCGCCAGAAACCAGCGTCAAACGTGTCCAGGATCTAGTTACTCTTCTCAAGCTGAATAAGCTTGATGAATTCTGTGCACCAGTTTGTCACGGATATTTCGATGACAATGACAACCCAGTGCATGACAACCGGACCTTTCGGTTCGGGCTTGTCTTTGAAAGCACTTCTACCTTGCAATCTCCCAAGGTTCCGGAAACCTTGCGTTCGATGTTTGGTCGTTCACCTTCGTCTCTCAATGCTCGAGTCCGGCTAGCACAGAGACTTTGCACATGTGTGCTCTATCTTCATGCAGTCAACTGGCTACACAAAGGGATCAACAGTCGCAACATTGTCTTTGCTGACCCGCAGGATCCCTCTGAGCCTTGTGTTTCTGGATTTGAGCTCGCACGCCCTGACACTGATCAAGACAAGACCCAGCCTGGCAGACATTATGTTGCTGATCTGACAGACGACATATACTGTCATCCATTGTACCAAGGCGTTGAGAAGAAAACGCATTACCAAAAGACGTTCGACGTATATAGTCTAGGACTTGTGCTGTTAGAGGTTGCACTTTGGAGACCAATCGAGTCAATTATGGGCCTTGAGGGCGGCTTGCTCGATAGAAAGTCTGCCGCCTCACTCAGGAACAGATTGATGCGGGAAGACTCAGAGCATATGGGGGAACTCAGAGCCCGAATGGGCGACGGTTACCAGAGGGCTGTCTCAGTCTGTATTGTAGGTCGTACGGCACTGGATATAGAGGAAGATGCAGACGAGACAGATGTACTCGTGGCTGCTAGGCTGCAGCGAGCTCTGATGGAGCGAGTGGTCGATGTCATAGGAGTTATTCGCATCTAGTCGATTGCTTCCGGGAGAACGAATGGATCGATATCTCGAGGTCTCTTCCCACCGCACGCTCCATCATGACCAGTCAAGCTAAGTGTTCGATCTTAAAATTGGTTGAAGATCAAGCCTTCTCAGCTCTTTGCATGAGAGGTCGCAAGAAATCCAAAACACAGCTTCGAACTCCGTCGGCTGAGTGGGCAACACCATCCACAATATCAAGACGAGCCTCAATACCTCGATCCTTCCAAGTCCTCTGGAGATCCTGCAAAGTGCCTAGTCTGCCTTGTCCAGTTCCCAAAGTCTCGATATTGTTGGTCAAAGCAACTTCCTCATCAGACCCAGCATCTTTGATTTTATTCTTCATCTTCTGTTGCCATTGCTTAAACTCATCGCCACCATGAGCGCCTGTGTCTTTGCTGCCGACCACCATATGAATGTCCACAGCTTTGACCAGATTCAAGTCAATCGTTCGGTCAAACACCTCTTGAACATTCCCAATACCTCTGGGCCATTTTTGCTGGTCATCAAGAATTGTCACTTTTCCAGGAGCTCCTATACTAACCGCAGACAATCGCTCAGGATGAATATACAAAACCCTCTGTGCGAATTGTCCACCACCAGAAAAACCNNCCATCAGAAAGATTTCGTCGGTGTTGACATGCGGCCAACGCAAACCAACCTCATCAAGCATTGACAGCAAAGCTACATCGGACGACAAACTCTTGGATCTGAGTTTCTTATACGCGTCCAAGTCATTGGGTCCTTCGATGCCAGCTGCAAATAGAGGTTGCAACACCGCACAAGGTGTAGAATCTGCAAAAGTTTTTAGGTCGCCGTAGATGGCGGAGAGGTTTCTTCTTGTTCCGTGGATGTTTACTAGTATTGGTAGTTTATTCGTGATGTTGGTTTCGGCAGCGGCAAGTGCTTTATATGGCGAGGGTGGGATGTATAAGGAGTAGGAAACGCGTGGATCAGATTGTAATGCCATGTGCGGAACATGGCCGACCAGAAATGCAGCTTCCAGGAATTCGGGAGGCACGTCTCTGGTTGTGAGGGCTTTTTTCGTTTTCGGCATGGTTGCGGATGATGTTGTTGTTCAGATGCTCGTGAGCTTGTGTCTCCGACTCTGGAACGGGAAGATGGAGTTAGGGCTGTAGGTGACAAAAGTCGTGGCTTTTGCTTAACAATCATGCAGTGAGACGGTCACGTTTCTTTCCTCGCGAACGAGTGTCAGCTTTACTGTGTGCATGGGACTGATGTCGGATTTAGGAGCATCGGAGTTTTGCTGGAAAGCGGTCCAATGTTGCACCGATGGAGGGAAGGGTGGTATTTAAGTACGCTGACTACGAGGATCTGATAACGATCCGTTACCATAAAAATCTAGAAAAACACATCCATCACATTTAAGGAAAAGCTCAGATTGTCAAAGACGTACCATCACAAGAAATCATGTCGCTATCAACCTCGCCCTACCTCGTCAACACCGCCGGCGTAATCGGCCACCTCCTCGTCCTGGGCGGCTCAGGCGCAATCCTCAGCCCTCGCAGCGTAATCAGTGCATTTGGCCTCGACCAACCCTCCACCCCAGAAGCCGCAAAATTAGTCGATCTACTCGTACCCTTATACGGCTTCCGAGAAGTCTCGCTTGGATTGTCCATGGTTGCTGTCTGGCGATACGGCAATATCAAGACTCTGGGGTGGACAACGATGGCGGTTGTGGTTACTGCGTTGGGTGATGGGTGGGTAGCGAGGAAGCAGAGAAGAGGCATGGAGTGGGTGCATTGGGGGTTGGCGCCGATTGCATTGGGTTTGNNGGGGGCTGGGTTGCTTGGATATTTTGATTGAATCAGTACCTTGATGGGGATGATGAGCGTGTGGGCGTCGGTCGCGGACTTGTGATGGCAGGGCAGCATCTGCCTTTTGTAGTTTACAGTATTCTCTTCTCTTGTGACATTATGTCAGATCGACTCACATCTTCTTTTGACGAGCTTTTCAATTGCCATGCAGAGTGATGATAGTACATTCGGAAAGATGTATGTTTGTTCTCGTAAAAAATGCACCTGCCCTTCCCAAACGCCTCGCCAGCAAGACACAGACAGAAACCAAAGATGAGTAGAGTACAGAAGACGGATCAAGAAGAGAGTGGAAACGAAGCTAGATGGACAGAACCCTTCTAGAATTCTCCACCGGTTCTGCCACCACCTCCGAGGGCGGAAGCACCCCAAACACCAACCAAACCCCACATGCCAACTCTCCATCCTCTCCACAAGCCACCGATTCCCTGTCCCTTCTTCTCTCTCCTTTGCGCGACCAGACCAGGTCTTGCAGGGGTGTTCATGCGGCTTTGTGGAGGTTGTTCGCGAATGCCTTCTTCGGCCATGATGCTCCAGGCAGTACCGAAGACGCCCTTGTACGGACCGACAGGGACGATTGTGTCCATCTCTGGACCACCGACAGATTTGCTACCGCGGAAGGAGTTCAAGGCGGCCTTGTTGTATGCGTGCTTGTGGGAAGATTTGAGATGAGAAATTTGAGCACGGCGGAGGACGGTTTCGAGAGGGAGTTTGATGAAGAGCTCAGTGGTTGAAGTAAGGAAGGTTGCCAGGGAGTAGGTGGCTGGTGTCGAGAGAGGGTCGACGCGGAAGTATTGGCGGAGGACGAGTGGGGTGCTGGTACTCAACAGGGTAGGCAGTGTCGAGTGGAGGAGGGTGATTGGGAAGAGCGAGGTGGGGATTGTGAGACTCGGCAGAAGGCGAAGGTTTGGTAGGATGGCACGTGGTTGTGAAGTGGTTGGTGTGAGGATGAGTCNTGGAGAGTATCAGCATGAGGACAAAAAGGAAGATGAGTAGATGACATACCTCGTGCGGACAAGGTCAAGGGGAGCCAGCAAGAGTCCAGCAATGGCAGAAGCGGCGACTGCGATACCCAATGAGGCCAGGGGAGAGGGACTGTCTGCAAGGTCAAGACCACCCATTGCACCAGCAACGACTTCTGCAGGCACAGAAGCCAGAGATGAAGGATCTGGCAGATCGAACAGAGCAGACAACAGATTCCGTGTCCAACCTTCGACAGCCTTGAGTAGAACATTGTAGATGAAGGTGGCATTTGTAGCCTTCCACATGGCAGCGGCACCAGCTTGCTGCCATAGCTGTGACAGGGCCTCCATGACCGAGTCCGGCCTTCGTAGCTGCAACACATGTGGAGCAGGCGACTGTTCTCTGGACGAACGCGAGGGAGGGGTACGAGGACGACGAGAACGAGATGTGTCAGACTCGGCTGCTTTGGCAGGCTTGGTGGGAGTGAAGTAGCTGGGCTCATCCGGGTCCGAGTCATCTTCGCTTGGAGGATACTGGTCGACAGCAAAACGGGCAGAGGTTCTTCGTCTCAGGGTGGATTCGGCGTCGAGCTGAGTGGCCAGGCGGACCTGTAGAATCGTCTTTGCGACATCGAAAGGTTGTGCCAGGAGGACGGATGTGTATTTCCACAAAGCCTGGTCGAGGACTTTGCGACCCATGTCGGCGACCGAGGCCGAGTCGCCATCGTTCAGGAAGGAGGAATAGTCGAGGTCGTCAAAGACATGGCGAGCCGAGCTGCCCAGGCTGCTGCTTGGTCCGGCCGACGAGCTCGTCGCGTTTGCGTCTGCAGGCGGTAGACCTATCGAGGGAGGGCGGTAGTATGGTCGTAGCGGGTTCGGAGTGTCGCGCGACGTCGACAGCTGTACTGGATGTGCCATGTTTGTATGTGTGTGTGTGTGTGATCGTATGGCAGGAGTGTGGTGGCAGAGAGGGCCGTGGTCGGCGAAGCTCCAGACTCCCGCATTTTGTTGCGACTTGCTGACCACTTTTTGGCCTCGTCATCCGTGACATTTCCAGTCAATCTCAACAAAGCAGTCACGCGTGGACCATCGCACCTTCCTCGCAACCAATTCTCGAGAGCAGGCTCAAGTCACAATGTCCATCGCCGCTTCCAGATGCGCCGCCAGATTAATACAGCGCTCGCTGCGCTCTCCCCTCTCAACCTCGTCGCCGCTTAGATCCGCCATCCCGCAATCATCATACCGATCTACCCGCCTCTCAATCGCTTTTTCTACACAGTTCCCCTCAAGGCGACCATTCTCTTCTTCATCGTCCTTGCTGCACGGCCACCTCGACCCTCCCAAGCCCGGCGAGGAGCGCAAGGTTACGTTTGTGGACAAGGAGGGCGATGAGTACACCTTTGTAGTTGCCGACGGCGACAACCTGCTTGACATTGGTGCGTCTGGACCACTTGTACCAAGAGGACAAGACTAACAACTCTCCNNAGCACAAGCCAACGACCTCGAAATGGAAGGTGCATGCGGCGGTTCATGTGCATGCTCGACCTGCCACGTTATTGTCTCGGACCCAGACATGTTTGACAAGATGGAGGAGCCCGATGATGACGAGAACGACATGCTCGACCTGGCCTTTGGTCTGACAGAAACAAGTCGTCTGGGCTGTCAGGTCAAGATGTCCAAGGAACTCGACGGCTTGGTCGTCAAACTCCCCACCATGACCAGGAACCTGCAGGCCAGCGACTTTGCCAAGCGATAGACTACTCTCGACTCATGTTTGTATATAGACAAAACCCCTTCTGTATTAACACTCTTCAAGCATACACAATCTGTCAAAGATTTTCGTTCCTCATCTCATCTCTGGTCAGCACACCCGATCCGGTAACCCAAGTCTCTAAACTCGCTTACCTAAGATTCCCAATACTCTCTCTCAAGGATTGGGAGGTCGCAGGTTCGACTACTGCCCACGGTGCTACTTTTTGCTACCTCCTTACCCTTTTCCTCTCTTCACGCACAGCCTGCTCACGTTTTGTGTCCCGAATGTCTTGTGTACAATGTCGAATCCTTCTACCTGGAAAACCCGTATACATCTCCTGCACCTTCCGCCATTTTTCGTACTTTGCAACCATTGTTATAGTGTCCGATGGTGTTTTTATTAGTACATTTCCTGAAGAGAAGAGGGAAAAGACGATGATGGTTCCTAGACTTAAAGGACGACTCAAGCATCAAGCAAGCCTTCATCCTGTCTCCCAGAAGACGCCTCTGAGCATGTTGATATCCAACAGTTTTGTGTACGGAGCTCGCCTACAGGAACTCAAAAGATGATGTGACAAGGAAAAGTCCAGGGGTCTTTTTGCTTGGAATGTGAGAGATAGGGGATTGAGACAACAACCGCGAAGACGACGCGGTTTGAAAACACCTCACCAAACAAACTTTGACAGTGAGTAAACGAGGACAACAAGTGGACCGAACATTCTAATCTCGAGTTCGGCAAGAAAGATGGCCCTGGTCATCTCACTTCTTAGCATCTTCTGGTCGATCTGACCCACGTGTAGAAAGAATGTGTACCGTACCTTAATCACAAGCGAAGAGGGATATAAAAGTACGTAGACGAGTCCCCGAAGGCTAACTGCACCTCCTTCATGCGTGTTTCCAGAGAGACTGTCTCGTTTGCAGAGGCTTGTGCCATGAACCCAGCAAGACTGGCAGGAGAAAAGGATAGCAAAAAAGTGGGGTCAAAGACATAAGAAAGTACACAAAAGATGGCGAGAGATCTCGAGTCTGTCCGGATACCAAAATGGTAGGCAGCAAGAGAAGACATCGCAGTGAAAGACAGGAAAATTTAGCTCTTTGCTTTCTTGGCCGTGTCTTCGGTGGATGATGGTGTACGTGGCCGCCGTGACGACCGATCCTACTCAGGAGATGTGGACTTCAGACGGCATGATAGGACGACAGGTTGGTTGAATGTTGTATTGAGAGTCCAGGCGAGCAAGTAGAAACAATCTTAAGCACTGCCTACAAGAAACAAAGCAAAGAGCATACCTTGATGGCCAAGGGGCAGTGCAAAGGCTGTCCACAGATGACATCTCGTCAAGGCTACTCCCAAGCGAGTGAACAAAGTTAACGCCGGCTCCACGGCCACTGTCAAGCGACACATGCGTGGCATGCACAGCCATTATTCCATTCGAGAGCCTGTGATTCGACGTGATATAGACACTAGCGAACAGAGCGAGAGACGACAAAGTGTAACCAAGATCGACAGATGAACAGCATGGGGGAGAAAAAAGGCAGAAGAGGCCAAAACCATCTGACCGGCACCTCAACAAAACGCCTTTGAAGAAACAAAAAGCAGAAATCTCCTCAAAACGCCTCCAACAATATATCGTTTTTAACGTTGATCATGAGCAGAATTATCGCACCCGGGTCAAGATTGACGCTCCATGCCAGACCTGGTGTCTTGTCGCGACAGAGCGGCCAAAGCATGAGCCGCGTCTTGAGTATCCATTTCCATATAAGGAGAATGCTCGGATCGACTGTCAAGACGATACACATGCTTGATTTGCTGGTAGTCGTCTCGTCGAAGCCTGACATTCTTCTGCTGTGCTTGTTGAAAGAAGTCAGAGCAGGAGGTGCGCTCATTGTGCTTTACTGAGTCGAGCTGCTTGAGGCGTCGAAGGGTGACAGTGCCCATATCCTTGGAGCCGGAATCCTCTGAGCGAGTTGAAGCAGCCTCCTTCTGTTGGAAAGCAACCTCAGCAAGCTCTCGGCATTGTCTTGCTTTTTCGGGGTCAGCTAGACACATATCGCAAGTACCAGGACCGGAAGCTTCGGTTCGCGCCTCAAGAAAACTGGGGGTGGAGATATCAGAGGGCAGTTTGGGTTGAGCGGTAGCACGCGATGAGTCAATAGGCGGAAGGCTGGGAAGGCTCTTGTTGTTGAGTTCCTCCTGCTGGCGACAGATGCAGTTCTCGACATCACTACAGAAACCGCAATGTTCGTCTGTACCGAGTCCAGAAGCAAACGCAGATGGTTTGCGTGTTGCGTAGATGTTGGTGAAATCAACCTCATACTCGTCGTGCGGATCATTGTCCGAGGGTGGTGTAAGAATTTGATGGACTGATGAAACAAAGTTTGGAACAATGACAGAACGCTGGGCCAGGGTAAGCATGATGGCCTTTACGGGGTAGTAGGCATTGCAACAATTACCTGAGGATGAGAAGCATGGGCATTGGCATGATGGGCTTTGGCGGCATCTGAATGGACAAANTCAGTACGGTTCTCATCCATTGGAAGAAAGGCTCGAGGAGGTTTCACATGTGAAAAGGTATTTCGTCTCTTGGAAGACGCAGGGCAGGAAACGACGACGTGGCGGGAGAGGAATACAAAACGTACCAATTTGCCTCTGCAGCTCCATGTTGCGCTCTCTTTCCTGTTGGAGCTCGAGGACGGCTTGAGCCTTTCCAGCAACAGCATCTCCTACCGTGGCCGCGAGTCTTGCATTATCAGCAATCAAGGTAGACTCCCTGGCTTCAGCTTCTGCCTTCTCTGCCTTCAGCTGAGCGTTCTCTATCTCAAGCTCTTGGCACTTCTGGGCACGACGGTCGCGGAAGTTGCGTTGAGCCTGCCTGTTCTGGTTCTTCCGCTTGTCGGTCGAGTCGTTCTGGTCGGCCATGGGCTTGCGGCCAGGCTTTGGTCGAGATATGAGGACGACTTCCTTGCTGAGCGGACCATTGTTGACGGTCGAGTCGTTGCGGGGACGCTTCAAGGCTGGGATCCTCATTTTGCCGGGTGGTGCGTCTTCGGGCGACGCTGCTGAGACGGGCGACCTGTAAGTGCTGTGTCAGTCACCCTATCTCTGTTCACGAATTGACCGGGAAGAGATAGCGACTTACTGCTCGTCCATTGCGCTGTCGACCGAGCTGAAGCCCCTCTTCAGCTGAGGGGCGCCTTCTCCAGCCGGGCGGAACCCAGCGACAGATGGGCCATCATGGATAGTACTGGGGTAGAAGGGCGAGGGTTGTGGCTGCGATGATGCCAAAGTCGTCATGTTGAAGTCGTGGTTTGGGAGACCGAGGGTAGATGGATAGAGAATGATCTTATCTGATCGTTGGAAGTGGCCTGTCGTGATTTGTTCCTTGGCGGCCGAAATCGCTCCTGTTGGTCCATGCGCGATCGGCCGCGCCGGTCCAAACTCATCTAGCACGAACTGCTGTGCTGGGTACGGATACACTGTTCGATTGTTAGCAGAAGCGCCTTCGATATTGCTATATACCTCACCTCGATCGTGTTGAGCTTGCTGTGGAGCAATCATGATAAAATCTTGTTGAAGACTCAAATCAGGACCCGGAAAGTTAACCGATTGGGAGCGTGGCTGGCCGTATATCAACCAGCCTGGTTGTGGGAATTGCTGATCGGCTGGCTGTTCGAACATTTGCGACTCTTGCGTGAGATTGTGTGAGCCTAGGAAGCTTTGATTCATGGTAGGATATGGACGTCCCCAACCAGCGCTGGCAGGTCCTGGATCACTGTTCACACGACGAATGCCAGGTTGAGCTTCTGCTGTAGCATAAGTCGGTGGAACATCACACGAATTTGTGACTACTCCTTGAGAGGGAAGATCTGATGTCGATTGCCGTTGGGTGCCCATCGCCAGGATTGAAGGATTCCTAGCTGTTGTATCATAGTCGGTCATCAAGTAACAAGGATGCCATGGTGCTCCGACCAAGACCTACCACAGAGCAGTGGACAAGGATAGTCTAGAAGCTGCATCCCGAGCTGCAATGATGACAAAAGTCGAGGGTTTGAGAGGATGAGAGCTCTGCTTTGAATTGAACTCCAAGACACATCGAGCCCCAAGACCTCGAGCCAACTTGCTGGACTTCCTGTGCCTATCGCAGCGTGCGGCGATGGTGATTGAGTTCCTGATCCTAAAACATACAGCTCTCACTAAACGGCTATGAGCTTGATTGATTGGACCTGATCAATCGCCTTGGGCACGGTCGGCGGATTGGAGTCTTAAAGGAAGAGCTTCGAAGGTTTACCACGTGGGTCAGACAACAGCTGGTGCGAGTTCTCTTGTTGCGATGGTTGGAGAGCCGACAAGTCTAATCGGTGCGCGCCACCTGCGCGCTCCTACGAAGAGTTGCTAGAACCCGAGAAAGCCATCATGTTGTGTCTCTTGTGGGTAGACACCTATGCATATGTTGTTTATATTCTATTGAAGACATATACTGCCTCAAATATACCGCTCTCCGTATGCTAGATCGTAGTATGATAGGCTGCGATGCTGCAGCAAATGTCCAAGCTATCCCATCCTTGACCTGCCCTCCAGCAAGACTGGGCAGGCTTGTGCTCAACGATGTCATTTTACTCGTCCGCAAATGTCTCGTCGTACGACAGTATCTCAACTCAAATTCTTCATCTCTTTTGCCAGACCATCGATGCTGTCCACGGGTCCCTCACCGAACATCAGGTACTGTACTCCAAGGTACGAATCGCAGCATGCCTGGAAGATACCGCAGAGCTTGAACGACCAAGGGATCGTGCTCTCAGCAAGGAAGAAGAAAGACATCTTCATGGCATCACCCAGCAGCCAGTTTGCGAGAACACTCAGACGGAAGCCTTTGCAGCTGCGGTTTTTCTGGTTCGACATGATCTGGGGGAGGGGCAACGTAGCTTCAATCCCCAAAGCCACGTAACCTTGAAGCGCGACGTAGGAATCCATGCGGCCGAACAGGATTTGAAGAACCAATAAGGTTGCGCTGAAGTACGCCAGGAACATCCAGTATGGTTTTGCTTGCTTCCATTGCCAGAAGTCGAAAGGACGCTTGATGTGAGTATCACCTTCTCTAGATCCTGCAAATGGCTGATGGATGTTGTTGGCAGCACTGGCGAGCGGACGGTTCTGCAAAGCAACTCGCAGGAGGACAAGTTGGACCATAACCATCAAACCAGCTTGCAAGAGAAGAGATAGATCAAAGCGCGCTCCAAGCCAATAGTATAGNNTCTGTGACCCACTGTTAGTTACCTGATCTCTTGTGCTGAGTGTGTTCAAGCTCAATTTTGACACATATTAGACTTACTTCAAGATTGACGCTACCAGCATAATGAGAGGAATGTCGAGGGAGAACCCGGCTGAGGACCTCGTACGATGGATAGAATAGATCTGATCGGCATAACTGGTCACAGGCGACGTTGCGAGGAAGACAGGAGCAAGATGTGTGATCAGCCAAGAGATGAGACCCATGGTAGCTGGCTCTTGTTTCGTATTGATGAGGTGATTTCTGCCTTGTCCTTTCCTTCGGTGTGTGCTCGTCTGATCAGGAGGATACCAATTGTCGAGGGTCCAAGAAACTAGTGCTTGGCGTAAGAGCTTGTCGTTGACTATTTCTCAAAAGATGGACGTCGAAATATGGTGAGGAATTGATCGTCAGATGACCGTCATTGAATTCCTGGACAGAAAATCGAACAGTTGGCCGCTAATGAGAAAATTTGGGAAAAGGGAGAATATGGAAATGTCGCAAATTTATCAGGGGTCGTCAGAGAAAGGTTGTTGTTGGAAGTCGAGAGCGTTCAGCCCTATACACAGAGCCTCATGCACGCCACATTGAGCCACAGCTTGGCGAGCATGTCTTATCGCTGTGGGTCTTATCGCGGTTCTACATCTTGCTACATCATCAACAAAGAAAGTCAGAGACAACGCGCAACATCCATTGTAGGTCTCTAGTTTGCTATAAATCATATTCTTTGTGTCTTGAGAATCTGGTGTTTGCTGCGTCCGGCATCTTCTAGAAGTGTTGATTAGCTCCTTCTTCAACATATATCAATGTAGGTCTTCCTGTGCACATATCTCTCTTCCATCCTTTTCCCATCCATCGGGAATATCTCCGTTCAATTCTTTCGATTACATCCATATCCTGACGTCATGAAGTTTTACGGAAACCAGGAAGACGACTTGCCTCTCGACTACACCGAGGAGGGACGCAACAAGGAAGACGACCTCCCTATCGACTACACCTTCGAGGAACGCATCGAGCGCGCTCAAACCAAGATGGGTGATCGTACTGCTTTCTTCTACGGTGAGAATCCATCTGTCTCCATCAACATTCTAGTTTTCCACAATCTAGAAGTTACCCTGACTGACATATCCAAAAACAGGCACCCTGATGGCCCAAGAAGTCCTCTACAACGTCATCTTCGGCACCTCCTCAATCAGCCGCTACAACATCCAAACAGTCACCCAAACCCCCGCTATCCTGCACCACCACAAGCGCTCCCGCGTAAAGCACTGCGACTACCCTGGCGTCATCCCCGAAAAAGGGCACTCGGTTCGCGGCACCTACGTGACCGGCCTCACCGATGGCGACATCTACCGCTTGGACATGTTCGAGGGCAGCCAGTATTCTTTACGCACTGTGCGTGTGAAGCTGTTGAAGTCTGCAGGCGATGCAGCAACAGGAAGCGGCAATGTCGAGGGCGAGGAGGTGGAGACGCAGACCTACATCTGGACTGCCAAGGTCGAGCAACTCGAGGACAAGGAGTGGGATTATGCGGCTTTCAGAAAGGAAAAGCTTGCCATGTGGTCGGGCGGCGAGCCTGAAGGTGAGTGCTTTCTCTTCACAGTCACACACCATCAGAATATTCTAACGTACCTTTGCAAACANGAACAAGGCTGGGACGACGAGGAGACCATCGACCCCACTGGCGGTAGATTCGGCAACGGTCAGATTGCCCAGGATCTCAGCAAGGAGCACGAGAAACTGAAGCAGCAAGAGGGCAACAACGGCGAGCCTCTGAAGAGCGCTGTCTAAACATCCAGACAATCACTCACACGACACATAACGATAACATCAAGAAAGCATGAACACGAAGGAGATCATGATTAGACATTTTTAGATCCACACAAGACATTAAATACATTCTTTTGCCCACTCACACTTGCTTACCTTCTACGTTGCATCAAACTGTAAGACCGACTGTCTTTTATAAGCCCTTTACTCTGATGTACTCCATACTCCTTTGCCTCTTTCTAAAGTCGAAAACGAGATTGTGAGGGTAAAGTGACCTGAAGTCTCGTCTATGAGAAACCTGCTCAAGAATTAGTATTCGAAGCAACATTCAACAGCTCCTCTCCTCCTTCCAAGTCTTCGTAGTTACTGCTGATGCAAGATTTGATTCAAAGAATCGTTTAATGTACAGGAAAGCACAAGCGACAAAAGTTAACTTGTCATCAACCCTTGTGAGTTGCAGCACATGTACCTGATATTCGGCCTTTTATAAAGACGTGTTTTCAAAGACTCATGGATTAAGGGTGATGTGATCGTGTCCTTGGCTCGCTTACTTGTAGTTTCCTCTAGAAATCTCAGTACCACTGTATATCATGGTCGGACAGCATGATGGCACAATTTTTACAAGCGTATAGCTTTGCAATCACAAGACACGTTACTCGCCTAGTGCATTTCGCATTCGAGACCCGAATTACGCAGAATGGAAGGAAAATGTATGTTCATTCTCTAGCAAAAGTCGTCTCGATATGGACACAGCAGCAAAAGTTTCGGCTCTGCAGAGCCCCAAGAATGAGAATGCGATCATCCCTTTCTTGATACTCCATGGAAATGCCGATGAAACGCAGTATTTGCAGGAAAGGTTTTTCTCAAGTCACTTACCACTAAAGCTCCTGTACTCCTTCGCAGTCCGCCTGGGGAGCAGATTGGACGGCCTGCCGAAGCTCGTCTTCAAATGCCATTGGCGATCTGAAGAAGTTTCGCTGATCGTGTGTCATGCCATTTTGGCTATAATTGTAGTTGCCATGAGCGTGAGATCTGGCATGCTCACTGCTTTCGTCTTCGTTGTCTTCATCACCGCCGAACAACATCTCATCTCTGATAGATCGCTCCACTACTGGCGGAGATCTTCGAGCCAATGATGACTTGTAGGGATTTAACTTGTAAGGGCCCGGCTTGTGCATTGGCGGCGGCGGTGGTTTCATGGGCGAGCTCTGGACCATCCTAGAGTCTGTTTGCGCCTCGAGGGGTTTCATTGGCGAGCTCATCTGCTTGAGAGTAGGAGTTGGACCNNTGGAGCTGGGCTTGTGGAACTGTTGTCCTGGCTGGTCATCTTCAGCAGACGCGCCTTTTCTTTCTTCCTTTGCTTCTTGGCGGCACTNCTGCTCTTCTTCGAGCTTGATCAATCTCTCGCGAATCTCTGCTCGTTTCTTGGACGGATCAAAGTCGGCAAAGTCGTTGTTGTGATCAAGTTCGCGAGACATGACCTTGCGCACAAACTCAGTAGGATCGCGCAAGAAGGCCTCCATGTAACCAATCAAGTACACGCCGCAATCACAGAAGTTTGTTTGCTGAGGCAGACCGCGAGCTGTCAATCCTCTGAGTTCGGTATACTCAAATTCCAGACCCCGCTTGTCGCGACCTTCGTGGACAACGTACTGCTTCAGGTTCTTGATTTCTGAAGCGTGTGTGCCGCCCAAAGAGTCGAGGAGAATGAGGGCAGGTCTGTGTGTTGTCAGCATAAACGTATCACCTCGAGCGACAGACGATGATACATACGTGTCTGGGTCCATTTTCGGCAAGGGCGGCGCCTGCTTTTTACCCTTGCGTGGAGCTGGCTTCAATTTGCCAAGAGGAGGAAATTCCTCTTCCTCTTCTTGAGATGCGTCTAAAGAGATGCGCTTCACCCNCTGCGATAGACCATCATCCTTGGCCTCTTGTGGCGATTCGGGGATCTCAATGTCGTTCTGCACTGTCGATTGAGAATGTGTAGGTTCCTCAACGGTCGGTTGTGGTTCAGCTTCAGGTTCTACTTCTTCGTCTCCGAGACCATCCAGATTGAGTTTTCGTTCAAGCTTGTCGAGATTGCAGATGATGATTAGAAACCAGTGGTAGTTAGTGTTGATAGGGACGGCAACAAACGGATGGCTGAACAAATCGAGTTGCCTTGTCCAGCGTTTGACACCATCGTAGTTGAACCCTCTCTTTCCCGATGGTAAATTGGTTAGAGAGGAATAGAAGAACGAATTGAATATGTGAGCTTTGCCCTTCAACTCTGGATTGTTCTCCTGCATCTCTCGCAGACAGAATGAGATAATATTGTCATTGAGTAGCTCGCCATCGTCCAATCGAGCAATATCATCAGCATCAACCGTAGTTCTGTTTGACCCAGCAGGAGGATATGTTAGCGGAGCGTCCCACTTGGGAACACCATGTGTTACAGTCCATCGTTCGACCTCCGGCTCTGAAGCATGTGCGACCTTACTGCCATCTTTGCTCTTGAGTCTTCGGCTACTCCTCACAGGCGTGCCTTGGTTAATACGAGGTGTTGGCGGAGGCAAAGCAAGGTCGGGTGCTGCTTTGTTGGTGGATTCGTTGGCATAGTCAGATTTCATTCTGCGAGTCATTCGTGGTGCGAGTGTTTGGCTTGGAGGAAGGGGCGATCCGCTCTGTGCCGCCAATGTCCGTTCTCGAACTGAATTTCTGCCTTGACGACGGCTCATGGCCTCTAATTCGAGATCAGTTGTCTCGGCTGCTGGCGTGAGATGCGTCTCCGAAGCCTTGCAAACATTTGCGAATTTGTNGCCTGTAGGATTCTTAGCAGTGGATATTAGCGCGATTAACATGACTTACACGTCCAAATTTCTGACTGTAGCTTTACTGTTCATATGATCAACAGCTCCTAGAAACAAATCGCAGTCATCTATGGTAGAGAACTCAAACCAGATCCGACCGCGCGAGACTTCGTTATCATTGGCTCCAACCAGAATGACGGCAGCTGAGCTGTCTGTACTGCAAAACACTTGCTGGGCGTGTTGACTGCCGAGCTGGATTTTCACACCGTTGTGTAAGAGCGCCTCACCGTTCTTGTCGAATTGCATGGCCTTGTGTTCCCAAGAGTAAACGAGATAAAGGTGCTCCCAATTGCCAGCTCTCATCCGTAGTGACGACAAGAAAATTGTGATGTTCTCACGAGTTTCGGCCTTTCGTCGTCCCTTCGTCGTAAACTGTGTAGGATTGATAAACTTTGGAGATGGCGATCGCTGGGTCGCAGGGCGCCTCGACTTTTGAGCGGACGACTGCAACGTAGGTTCGCGTGACAGTTCATCTTCACTCGAATCCTGTACGGCTGGTTGATGTTTGACGATATGGGCAGTATTCGATGTTGGCTGCATCCTGTCTCTCATCTTTGATTGAGCTTGGTGCGGCGCTGGAGCCTGATCAGATTCTTCCTCGTCTCTCACAAAAGTCGCGGCCAGGCGCGGTGAGCGAGACGTCGGGACTTCTATGCGATCGAGAACCTGCACAGCAGGCTTGGCCTGTACTCTGGTTTTTGGTGTCGTTGTAATCTTGCTGAAATAGCTACTGACCTCGTCACGAGGTGACTCTTGAACAAATGTCTGGAGGGTAGACCGAGTTGGGTCACGCGGCCCTTCGAGAATCTGAACGTCGTCGTTATCGTCGACAGAAACTGGGTCAGTGAGGGTTCCATATTGGTGTGGCGGCGAGCTCGGCTGTGTTCCACCAGCTTTGGGCTTGCGACTTTTCTTCCTGCTATTATTCAGCGTCCCGTGTACATTTCGAATTTCGTTATGCTGGAAAGCATTGTCTCTTTGACTGGGAGTCTCTTGACTGTTTAGGCTGATGACACTCGGCTGTCTTGCATGTGTGGCTGGGGGTTGTCCATGCGTATCACGGTTCCAAAACTGTTGATCTGACATGTTGTCAATGTCGCCTTGCGAATCTCCGTGACTTGTCTTTTGACGTTTGGTAGCGCTTTCAGAGACATTTGCGCCTCGACTGGTCACAGTGGCCAGAGGATAGGAACCAGGGCCCGATTGGTTCAAAGTGTTTCCAGGCTTGAAATTCCTGCCACCTGGAGGTTTTCTTTTTATGTTACTCGTCATGTTACTCGTGGGAGCCCAGTCGTCCTGCGGTACGCGAATTATGGTAGAAGGTTCAGTTGACCTAGACGGCGTCAGTCAAGGCAGTCATCGGGCACATTTGAATGCGCATACGGGTATGATCCTGGAAACAATCTCTTCTCATCGGCACTGGGCACTGCGCGTCCTTGGTTTGCTCGTTGCTGGCCTCGTCCTTGACGTGGACTTGAATGCGCGTACGTCTGTCGAGGTCTGGGCTGTGGTTCTAGGTAGCTGGAATATGGTCAGACGGTGCGTGTCGACGAAAGATCGGACGTGGCATACTCTTCTGACGATGCGATCCGTCCCTGGGGAGGGCTGATTTGTGTGTGGTCTCTTTTGCTTCGCGGATGTTCCTCTGGGCTGGGATGACTGAGTCAGATGGGCAATCGGATATGCTGCGGGTATGGCGTACTATCTTAGCGATGTGGGTTGTCTTGGTTGCGTAGCGAGTTGTGTGCGTAGACGTTTGGTTCGGGACTGGACGTCTAGACTGTCGAAACATTGTCAGGATGTGCGAGTCGACAAGATTTCGGGTGGGGCGTACCTCGTGGTCGACGTGCGGTATGTCGACTCTGCTCTGCTGCCTTCACTCGGCTGGGCATCATCCTGTTTAGAGTCTGGGTCAGTGTCCATTGCATCACTTCACTCGCAGCACGTCGTCCTACATTCGTGTCGTTGCCTACAAAGGTGTCGAAAGTCCGCTTGACTCCTCCGATAAAGTTAACAAGTCCGTCCATCGATCATAGCGGGAGAAGGAGCACATGTGTGAACGATTGTCGCAAAGATGCTCAGGTTTGGAAAGCGCCGTGTCTGTGACTGCCCGCGCGCGCAAACTTTTGGAGTCGTTGTTGATGGATAGATTGTTCTCGACGCCGCGTCCCACTCTTTGACTGGCATGAACGTTGGCTGGTGACTTCTATTTTCGATTCGAGTACTATTTGAGCACATCGCAGCTACCTATCATTCGTGGTTCCATACGCTTCTCGACATTGGCTCTTTCCTTGTGTCCTTCGCTATCGCTCGACACCTCGGGCCGTTGCTATCCGGATGCGGAAGTCATTGATCTTCGCTAGTCATGCAACGAGCTCACAAGCATTAGTATGACTCGTAACAGATGATCGAGATAAACGTGGCCGGCTCCAGCAAGATAACATCTCTCCAGACTCAACAATACAATTGCACAAGTCCCTCTCTGAGAGACTGTCTCTGATGGGAGCAGAATGTATGTGACCTTCTTGTTGGCGCTTTGTGGGTCAGACAGTACGTCTCCACTTCATGCAGCCTGTCTTCAAGTACGTCATAGGCTCCTCTCATCGTGTCACAAATCCATTCAGCTCTACAAGAGCTCAGCAAAACATCGCAGGCGTAGGTAAATTGGATGGTAAGTGCAATTACAGAGCGTGGTCCTTCAAAATTGTTCTCTGTCAAAAGTTACGGAGGTCGATATGGCATTCGAGAGCAACATCAAGGCACGTTCTCGTTTTCACGCGTCGTTGAATATCATGACTTAGGAAGCAATCAAATTCTGTGAACGCGTCTCGTATCTCAACAGCATCTTGCTATACCTTATCAGAGCTGACTGAATGCATCTGAGCCCAGAGGTGCTCATAGCTAGCAGGGTCGTGCCCGGCATGAAGTGGAAGTGGCTTTGGTCTGAGGGTCCATGATCGGCAGCCAAGAATGTCGGCTCGTGTCGTCTTCCACTCAAAACCGTTCGCTCAGACTCGTGGCAGTCGGCGGACTAAAAGGTGTGCGTCGGTGCACCTTCCTCAGGTTTTCTGTCCAGGCACGTGGAGTTTCTCATTGGTCTTGCCTCCAAAAAGCGTCATTCTGGTTCAATACGCTTTCCTATCGATCTCGCCGTCCATCTTGAAGCCGCAATCTGTGATGATATAAGATGCAACCTATTCCCTCCTGATTATGCGCCCTCTCATCAAAGCATTGTTAACCATTCTGTTATCGCTAGCCATCATGTTTGCGACATTATTCCTTCTTGCGGCCCCGTTCGCTCTTGGCCAGTCAGATATTGCTCTTTCGCAGGATATCCAGAATGTCCTCGCTGTCAGCAACAGCTCTCTGTATACCTATCCCACCGATCTGACTCAGGGAATTATGCCAAAGAACATTCATTCTCACAATGACTACTGGGTGCGTCCTGATTATGTCTGTCGTATATACAGTCCCATTCCCTAACCACTTTCCAGNCGTGCTAAGCCATTCTGGACCGCTCTTTCCAATGGTGTCGCCTCAGTGGAAGCTGACGTGTGGCTTTATAATGGTACCCTTTATGTATGTTATCTCGTTCAAGATCGATACACCTACATGGCTATAGAGCTATGACTCTGATTCTCTGGATCACTACTCACACACAGCAGNGTTGGACACGAGCAGTCTGCATTGACACATGCACGCACGTTCGACTCCCTCTACATTCAACCTATTCTCTCTGTCCTCAAGAAGCAGAACCCTAGCTCTCCCTTCGTGACCACACCTACTCACAACGGCGTCTTCGACACAGCAGCCGGTCAAACTCTTTACCTGTGGGTCGATGTCAAAACCAATGGCAGTGAAGCCTGGCCCTACGTTGTCAAGGCTCTTGAGCCTCTCCGTCAGGGCGGCTGGCTCACAAAGTATAACGGAACCGGAATCACCAATGGTACTGTCACTGTGATCGGAACCGGTAACACCCCTAGAGACCAAGTCGAAAGCCAGAACAACCGCGACTACTTCTTCGATGGGCCTCTATCCACCCTGAACAGCTCGGCAAACTCGAACATCACTCAATTCCTTTCCCCCATTGCAAGTACCAGTTTCTTGCAGTCGTTCGGTTGGCCAAAGGATGGCAAGCTCAACGACACCATGTTGGCCAAGCTGCGTGGACAAATCAGCTACGCGGCTGCCAAGGGGATCCAAACCAGATACTGGGTGAGTTTTGATGCGTTGCTCATGTATTTACATGTACTGACACTTTCTAGNGAAACTCCCAACTGGCCCATCAAGGACAGAAATGCCATCTGGCGTCTTCTCTGGGATGAAAACTCCTACCTCATTAACGCTGATGATCTTGTTGGAGCCGCAAACTTCTGGGAGGGTGATTACTAGGTATGTAGGTAGATTCCACTATCTTAACCAATTTGAAGAGGCGATTTTCTGTTCTCACTGCGCTTGGAACGATGTTGTGTTTAGAGACATGAGTGCTCTACGCAGAATTCTTCACATCACGTGAACGCGTAGAAGTCGCAGTGGTTTAGTGGTAAAATTCGTGCTTGCCATGCACGAGCCCCGTGTTCGATTCACGGCTGCGACAATTTCTTTTGCATATTTTCTACTGCTTCCCAGCCTTTTTGTTCCAGTCTTCTCACATGAACGGAGAGAACGGTCACAACACTGTAGAATGCTACTCAAGGCCATTACTGCTTCATGTTGATTACTTGATGTTGATGAAGGTCTAATCATGGTTTTTTTCTCAACAACTGTCCCGATTTTAGTAAGTGCAGATTGACGTAACGTTTGAAGGTCTTACTAGACTTGCGCAGCCTTCCAGATGCCTCTGCTGTAGTCCTCCACAGTCCGAGCAGAAAGATCCATGCTGTAGAAAGGAAGCCGTTGCTTGTTGAAGAAGACGAAGAAGAAGAGTTCTACGCGATGAAGAGGGAAAAGTGTTGTATGTGGCGAAACCCAGAGATTGTTGCAGGTGATGGCACGGACAAGGTGCTATAGGATCTGAAAGTAATGGTGAATCGCAGAGTGACGCCAATGAATCCCAGATCTTGACAGCACGTGCTATTGACTATCTCAGCAGTGATGGTAGTGCTCAGCCGTTTGGTGATTTACCTCCACACCAAAGCTTTAAAGGAAGTGTTTGATTACTGACGGATATCGGTAATCTCTCGGCGCGCAAAGAAGTATTTGGCGTGTGTTGCAGTCCAGAAGATCCAAGATCTTGGTCGATAAAAGGTAGAAAGTGTTGGATGGTGTTGAGGGAGGAAGTACAGATTTTGGAAAGAAAGGTGTACTATAGGTGTTAGAGAGGAGAAAGTGTTGTGAAATGTGAAAACTATCATAGATCACGGAGTGTTACCAGTAACTGGGGTCTTGACCACCTGTGTAATTGTCATTCTAGTAACGAAAATACCTATTCAGTTGACTTGTAAGATCCCAAGGCGATTAAGATCGGTGCTTGAGTTGAGTGAACATGATTTCCTCCACTTGTGTTATTCCAGCTATGTGAGCAATAGAAGACCTCAAAGCAACTATGTCAGTATGATTCACTTCGCGATGATTGGTTGCCAGACTGTGATCTAATAGAGAAGATCCGGGGTCTTCTCGCAGAAATTGATGAGGAGGAAAACGTCATGTTGACGAAGTCGGTGGCTGCCAACGGTGATGGCGTCTGCGATATACGATCGGGAAGTAAGTAACAAAATGAACACGTGCATGATGATCAAGTGGAAGCTGCAACTCTCTCTGCTGCTTCCTCTTCCATAAGGCTCTTGCCGTTCGTTTTGAATTGATTTCATGTGTTTTCGAACCATCTTGGATAGAGTTGCGAGAAATCAAGAAACGAGGCCTCTGTGCAGCTATACCCGACTCGCATATATGGTATTGTAGCGAATCGTCAAGTCTACCCGTCATCCTCATGGTCGAAGATTGCCCACACAAAACGTCGACCAAAATCCTACAAGCAACGCCGATATCCTCTCCTTCTCACCCTCACCCCCAAAAATCGTATCTACAGATCCTCTACAAAGCTCCACTAATGCCGTCTTATCAAGGTCAAAATTGATCGCAGCAAGCATATACTCATTGCTAAGCGTCGACTCGAAAATGCCTACATCGTCGGTAGACAAAGCAATGGGTACGCCAGCACTCTTCCACTCGCCGAAATGGTGAGCTGCATAGCCACCTTGACTTAGACCGCAGAGAACATTGCAGCTGAGGCATAGCTCGAGTCCGAGTCTGTTGTCTGTGATTGTTTTGCGTAGTGATGAGGGGACGTGGATGACATGACCCAGTCGTTGTGGTTGCCAGGACAGCATTTCTTCCAGCTCGCTAGGATCCTCTTGGGCAATCTCTGCAAAGTGCAACGTGATACTCAGTCCTTGGGCTCGAGCTTCGGCAAAAGCTGGTGCGAGATGAGAGATAGGCTTCTTCGCTGGGTTGCCGCAAAGATCCACTCCCACGATTCCCAGGTGGCGATACTTGAGAGCCAAACGCACGACTTCGGAAGCCTCTTCGAGCGTATTCTTGCGGTCTATCGACAAGATGAGTTTTGCATGCAGCTTGTCGTAACGAGGAGCTCCCTTGATGTCCTGCTTCAACGATGCCTCGAACTCACTCATGGCTTGCAAGACAGTTTTAACGTAGTCTTCTTTACTGATTCCAGCATCCGGGATTGCGCGCGGCGTAGTCCGAAGCTCCAAGTAGCAAACTCCATCGTGTTGAAAGTCTTCCAGGACAGAAGTGGTCGCATATCGTATGCTTTCGTCATCCGAGATTAAAGCATAGATATACTTGTCGAAGATCGGGAAAAAGCTATACGTTCATGTTAAACCATCTTCGCAGTGGAGATGCCGCTTTTCTCCATACCTGACAACATCAATTTCGCCATCTGCAGCGCTCGGTATAGTTGTCAATGGGTCTTGCAAATTAAACGAGGGATGTTTGGTTTNTTGCCGCAGCCATATGTTGTGGAGACATTTTCTACTGATGCTACCTGACAGATGAGCATGGAGCTCTACTTTTGGTAATCCTTTGGCGAAGGCAAGATCAGGTGGTTGCGACATTGTTCTGAGACCGATGCGGTTGGAAACCAGGAGGCGAGGTTAGAGAGCTTGCAGGTGGTAAAGAGGAACCGAGGCACCTCTTGTCCACATCTGAACCGGAAGGATTAGCCGATCAGCATAGCATAATATAAGACCACGACGATAAGTATCATTTTTGGAAATCAATACTTTATTGAAAATGATACTGGAAGCACGAAAACTAAAGCCCGCTTGAGTACAGATAAAACCAGTGGTTCACCAAGGGTAAGAACCAGCAGAAGCGCGGTATTCTGCTACCATCATAATAATCATTCATCGCGTGAGTCGATCATCCCCACAGTGCGTCCTTGCCGCGACCACTACCATGAACCACAGGAGGAGTAAGAATCTTGTGGCTCCACGCTTCTTGGCCGTCAATGAACAGACGATACCTCAGCTCGGATTGGTCAGAAGTGGGTGGTGTACTGATACTGAGGGCGCCAAACTTCGAGTTGCCGTCGGGCATGTANNCCTGTTACGAGTCAGCAGCTGCCGACATTTTAAATCGTATTCACGATACTCACTTAACACACACGTCGTCGTTGTCGGTCTGCTCGTACGTGCGGACGGGAAGATAGAACATGCTGAGCGGGCTAACGCTGAACTCATGAACTGTCGCGCTGACTGGCCACTTCTTTGTGCTCAGCTTGCCTGTCGTTGCATCGAGGCCGGTGACTTTGCCTTCGGTGGGTGGGGGAAAAGAGGTGGCAGCAAATTCGTGTCTGTCGCCACTAAGGACGACGACTCCGACACCACCGCGAAGGCCGACATCCCACATGGCTTCCAGAATGATCTGTCTCTCGCCCAGATATCCACCCCAGGTGTCTTCGGTTCCGAAGCGCCAATTCTTGGTGAACGGAATGCTGGAGACGACGACCTTCCATCTGACACCATTAGGAACAGGAGCTGCAAGCCAGTCGAGAAGATCCTGGAGCTGCTGGTCGCCGAGCATACTCTTTTTGTAACCAGTCTCGGCTTGAGTACTGTTGTAAGAGCCGTCAGTGCCGTCGAAAGGTTCACGGTAGCGGCGAGTATCGATCATGAAGAATGACGTGGGTCCTTGGTCGAACTTGAAGTAGGTCGCACCAGGACGAACTGGATCGGGATTGACAGAAGCTTGATAGTGGTGCCATGGGTCGACTGCAGCTTCGTAGACTCCAGTTGTGTTCTTGTCCCAGTCGTTCGCAATCTCATGGTCGTCTAAGACATGGATCCAAGGTAGCTTGGCCTCTGAGCTCACCGACTCCCATTGGGGCGAAGAATACACCTGACGGTACTCTCTGCGGTATGTCTCGGCATCGGTTCCAAATCGTTTAGGCACGTCGGCGTATATGAAATCACCCATGAAGACCATGAAATGAGCTTTGAGCGATGGCAGAAGCCTCGCCAGATGCTTGAAGCCGGGTACTTCGAGAGGGTGTTGCATCGGACTGTATGGGAATCTGGGCTTGATGCAGGACGAATGCAAGAAGGTGAAGACATCGTTGTTACGAGGAGCCGTGCGTCCAATTCTGGGCGCCGTGACGAAGAAGCCAGTGTGGTTGTTTGATGCCGCGTATTGGTACGTGGTGTCGGGTCTGAGCCCGGTCAGATGGAATATACCCGTGTAATCGGTGCCCTCGTCGACATCAATGGCGTTTTGAGGGTGCTTCCAGCTAGCGTCGTGATCACGGATGCCATCGTCGGGAGATTCACCTGCGTATCTGTAACTCATGCGCAGAGGGTGCTCAGATGTACGTGGCTCTCTGACTAGAAGCTTTGCACTGTTCTCGGAGACGTGGCCAAGACGTACGAAGGAAAGATTGTGAGAAGGATGGAAGAGCGGTGCGCGGTAGACCATGTCAGCCACCATGGCTAGCAGAGCAACGTTAGTCAAGAAGGTTACAGCAGACCAGAAGAGAGAGCTGGGGCTCGGCAGCCCGGTCAATAGACTGCGTAGAACCCTGGGGTCCTTCTCTTCGACCACGATGGTTTCTTGAACGTCGATATCCTGAAGAGGCTCTTCGGTCTCAGGGTCGATGAGCAACTCATCATCACTGTCGTCGCGATCAATCGTGTCCCTAGTGATGATGTCAAGCTCATCTGCCACGACTTCATACGGACTTGTGTGAGTAAATTGATAGAAGAATGATGTGACATAGATAGCGAATGCGGTCAGAATGACAGGAGGTGCAACCTGAGTGTGTTAGTACTATACTTGAATACCATTCAAATTGGATTGCAACGAACATGGCCGGGAATCTGGGAGTACGGTCAGCGAGCGCCCGGACGATCAGAGCTTCTAGCAAGAGTAAGCNNGAACCCAGCGGAGAAAGACATAAGTGGCCAAGCGCAGCACTGTGGAAGATAGCACTGTTACCGGACCTGCGATGCTAGTCGACATGATGGGCGCGCTTCTGCGGGCGTGTTACGATGTGCCAGAAAGTTGTAGAGATAGCATTCCAAGTTCAGCAAGTAAGAAGAACTGAATGTTGTGTGAGCGAAAGACAAGCTGGAATGGCGAGACGCGTTTGTCGGATCATCGTCATAGCTTGCATGTGACTTCGCGGGGAAGTTTATGCACGGCTCATGCAGAAGATGTGACATGGTCGATTGCGTCTATCAACATGCACAATCGCCATCGAATGTGTCGACAAGAAATAAAGATCTGGATCCAAGTCCTATTTTTACAGGTTTACAGTAGTAGAAACACACCCATCATACCCCCACCCAATGTTCCGATATTGCGCCGTAAAGTGCAGAGAGTTTTTGTCGTATATGTACAGTTGACATGGCTTATTTCTTGTTGTACTTCTGCCATCTGCGCTCGTAGTCTTCGGCGCTCTTCATGAACTCGGTAGAGCGTGTCTTACTCTTGGGCTTGCCGGATGCTCCACGCATTCTGACGACTTGATCGTTCATGCTCTGCTTCATGGCATCCCAAGACTTGCCGGCGTTGTTGAAGAGACCGAATCCCTTCTCCTTGACGCTGTCAAAGGGACTCTGAGGGGCCTGAAGAACGGCATCGGCGGATGCTGTAGATGAAGCTGTCTTCCTAGCAGGTGCAGAGCTAGTGGAAAACTTTACGTTGGGTGCTTGGTATATAGGTCTCTGATCGGCAGGGTAAGATTTTGCTTTGACGTCGATGGTCTTGGGCTCTTCTTTGACAAGTCCAGCGGCCACGGCATCACGGTGGGCTTGCTCAGCATCAACCATGGGGGTCAGACCGAACATGCGACGGATATCAGCACGCTTGAAAAGGTGGACCTGTGCCACACCCATGATACCAGTGGTACAAAGCCAGACATTGAGAGCAGCAGGAAGCCAGGCGGTGGTAATGAAGACGATACCAGGGAAGACATATAGCAAGAAAGGTCTCATGGATGCAGTCATGGGAGTGCCAGTTTCACCACCCATGCGCATGACCATATGCAGGGTGCCACCCATGATGGCGGGAAGAAGGAAGTATGGATCGGTCTGGGTCAGGTCGGCAATCCAGAGAAATCCGCCAGTCTCAAGACCGGGGACGGGGAGGTTGGACATGGCACGCAGCAGACGGAAAGCGCAGAAACCAAAGACACCCTGCACAACACTGGGCACGAGCATGCCGATAGTGCTGACACCAGCAGCCTTGTTGATGGCCATCATCTCCTGGCGCATCTGCATGGCAGTAACTCTGTCGCCGTTTCTCATGGCATCCATCATCTTGTCGTTCATGGGCTTTGTGATGGGCTGCATTGCGCGCATCTTGGCACCGTTCTCGCTCGCCTTCATGAACATGGGAACCAGGGCCAGGCGATAGAGGAAGGCAGTTGCGGCGATGGAGCCCCACCAGGGCATACCGGAGAGGACATGAACGTGTTCCAGCGACCACTCAATCACCGAAGTCGGACCCCAGCCGTAGTCCAGACCGAGATCCTTAAGGAAACCGAGTCTCTCGGGCAGGTTGGCATAATCGGTAGCGTCGCTAATGTCAAAAGGGTTGCTGTCGGTCGCGAGAGCATCCGTAGCAGGTGTGGGTGGAGGAGCGATCGTGGCGGCAGGAGCTGCAACAGGAGCTGATGTCGAGGCAAGACGAGCATGTGCGGGGAGCGAGATGACGGAACCTTGCAAGATGCGACTTGTCGAGCGCGAGTTGAGTGCAGCCAGCGGCCTCGAAGGAGTGGACANTCTAGCCCGTGTAAGTCCATATCATCGCCCTCGCGCGCGTTCATGACATACAAATCTGCGATTGAGACGAGCGCCTTGACGGACGGCGCTCGCCAGTCCTCTACTCGGCATCATCATGGCTGTGCGGGTTGATGTGATTGCCCAGAATCTTTTTCCAGCCTCCACCCATCATCGCCATCTTGTCTACCCCGGCATCTTCCGCCGACGAGAGACGCTTCCGCAACTCACCCCCGAGGCTGCTTAAGTATCGAGACTTTGCCAACCACCATCTTACTTCTCCGAGTCGAAGATAAATCTGCAATGGCAAGACTGCATCATCATAGAAATGCGGCACAGTTGTTGGGGCTTGAGCGACCAGTATTACTATCTCTCATGCCCATCCCTCAACAATTTCAAAATGTCTTTCTACGGCGACAGCGGTGAGGTTGTAAGTCATCAAAGGATGCGATCGATTGGGTATCAGTGCTGGTATCACAAAGATGATTGTAATCATGTCTCTTCTTGAATGTCGCTTCTGCTCTCGAAAGTAGGTATTGTGCATCAAGCTTCAGACCTCGGCATCCCTCTTTCTCCACTTCGACCAACCTGGCATTCTTCATCTGTTGATTCATGTTTCACCTTTTCAATACAAACCTCTGACTACCGCCAAAAGCTATGGCTGAAACGCCAATCCTCGTTGGTGTGGGAGACATCATCAACCGTAATCTTGCAGTCCATCATGCCGCAGAACCTGCTGAGCTGATACTCGATGCCATTTCCATTGCCTTGCGAGACACCGGCCTATCGACTCAAGTCATCGCAAACCTTCAATCCAATATCGACAGCATAGATGTTGTTCGCACTTGGACATGGCCATATCCGGACCTACCTGGTCTGCTCGCTGAGAGACTCGGCACACGACCTAACCACACCTATTGCTCNCCCCATGCAGGTAATCAACCTGCCAAACTGGTCGACGAAGCAGCTCGCAGGATCGCGAATGGGGATACCAAGCTGGCTGTAGTCACTGGAGGTGAGGCATTAGCATCGCTGGCTGCTTGTGCGAAAGCAGGAGTCATACCACCGCCGAACTGGACTCCGGTTGAGACGCCTGTCACACAAGTGTTCGCTCCCTCAACCAGAGAAATGGCCAAAGGTATCGGAGCGAAACACACGATCGGAGCACCCATCCAAGTATATCCCCTCTTCGAGAACGGTCTTCGTGCTCAGAGGGGCCAGTCTNNTCTGGAAGACAACAATACTGAAAGTGCGAAACTGTATGCTGAGTTTGCTCAAGTTGCCAACAAGAACCCACTTGCTTGGAACTTTCCTCGAGCGCCAGAAACAGAAGATACGATCGGTCGCGTCTCCAGCAAGAATCGCATGATATGTTCTCCANNTGTAGGTTCAGTCAACCCTTCGGCTGTGCAAGGCTGACTTTGAGCAGATCCTCTGTTAATGAATGCTTTCAACACGATCAACTTGGCCGGAGCAGTGATTCTGACATCAGTCTCATATGCTCGCGAGTTAGGCATTGCCCAGGAAAGATGGATTTATGTGCTTGGAGGAGCAGGCACACAAGATAGCGCCGATTTCTGGGAACGACCAAACTTTCACTCTAGTCCTGCCATCAGTCGCACTTTGGACGCCGGACTCGAGGCGTGCGGACTCAACAAAACCGACATAGACATGTTCGATTTCTACAGTTGCTTCCCGATAGTACCCAAGCTCGCCTGCCTACATCTTGGTATGGACATTTTGAAGCCTGAGAAGCCCACCACTCTGCTTGGCGGTCTAACAAGCTTTGGAGGAGCAGGCAACAACTACTCTATGCATGTGGGTGCCTTCCATGATCTAGCTGCACTACGTTCAGCTGACCTCAAGAATAGNGCAATCACAGTCATGGCGCGGAAGTTACGTGCAGGCAACGGCACTCATGGTCTCGTGCTTGCAAATGGAGGTGTCTTGACATACCAACATGTCATCTGTCTATCTTCTCGACCACGGACGGATGGTCAACATTATCCTGCTCGTAACCCTCTTCCTCCCGTGCTCGAGGACACCACAGTACCCAGGATCGATGAGACTGCTGAAGGTGAAGCCATCATTGAGGTGAGTTGTCCATAGTGCTATGGAATTGTTCGAGTACTAAGGCTTCCCAGNACATACACAGTCGATTTTGACCGCAAGAACGAACCTTTGCTAGGTCATGTTGTAGGAAGGTTGAAGAAGTCTGGGCATAGGTTTATTGCCAATCATGGAGATGTGGCAACGTTGAAGAGGCTTGCAAGTAGAAGCGAAGAGCCCATCGGTAAGAGCGGCTATGTACGGACAGATGGCCAGGGTCACGGAAGAAACTTGTTTTCTCTGGACGCGAGCTCTAGGCTGTAGAGAAACGGTGGGCAGCTGCCGCGGGGAATTGTCTTGAGAGCAATGACTTAATGAAGGCCTACTTGATTCCTAAAATATCTTGAGCGTCAATGTGTGCATGCTACATCGGGAAAGCTGTCAAGTAGAGGAAGCTGAAGAGGTGTCAAGGTAGGGTTGCATGTCTTGACGAGCAGGATTCAGGCGGACAACGGCGTCGCAAGCGAGCAGATACTAATACGGCCAGGTGCAGATAACGATGATGCTGTATAGAGACGGCAAGATGAGGAGTATATGCTGTAGCTACAATTCCGGTCGGCATGTGATAGGGAGATTGCTGTATTTGTTTACTCTCATGCAAGCGAAGCCGAGCAGAAGTGATCAGCAGTGAATGACGTTGGTCATTGGCAACCCCCACCTTCGCGCACAGATAATGAAGGCTATTCTCGTCTGCGTCACTCACTCTAACTTTCGTCCTGTCGTCTTCAAATCGATAAACACAACGTCTCTGACTGTAGCCTCATACACTCCCTCGAGCGACTACAACAATACTCACATTCCATACTTCGACACCCTATCTATCCTTCAGCCTACACCTATCTGCAGCAATCATGACCGCTACCAACTCTTCACCCGAGGTTCCTAAGAGACCCAAAGGTGTGTTGCGCTGCTCCTACTCTCACCACTCAGCTAGCTAAGTTGCATGGCANGGCATCTTGAAGAACAACAGCTCGTACATGGGCGAGAACCCCTCCCAAGGTCCTCCTTCGCCAACAAACACACATGCCGCCATCCACACCGACACTCCCAACCACCCCGACCGTCCCGCCATGAACCGCGAAATGTCTGAGAAAGAGGTTGTCCAAATGAATACTGAGATAAACGCCGGCGGCCGTCGCAATTCGTCGAATCCCCGTAGCAACATCTCGCGTCGCCAGTCGGCTGCTGATGGAAGCCACCAAGGAGAGCACCCGTCGCCGAGACTGAAGTGGGATGAGGGCAACCTGTTCCTCAATGAGAGCCAGATGGGCGGCAAGATGAAGATCGATGAACCAAAGACACCCTACGTCGGTCGCTACGATCCTGATGAGGACGAGGAACCACAAAACATCAATCCTGACGATTTGATGGTCGACGAGCTCGACAAGGCCCAGGTGCTCGAAGGCGATGGCTCTAGCAAGAGGAAGCCCCGTGAGGTTGATATCCCCGATCTCGACCTTGGAGAGCCCGAGCAAGACACGCTTGAGCGCAGACACAGCGACTCGGAGAAGAGAGTCATGGTCGACCCTGATCAAATGGACATTGACGGCGCAAGACATGGCGAGACTCCCGAGAACATTCCCCAGGAGGAGAGGGAGAAGCATGAGAAGTTTGAAAACATGAGAAAGAAGCACTACGAGATGCACAACATCAAGAACTTGCTTGGGTAAGTGAAATTTCTTAAGCTTACCTGGTCTACTTCCACAGCTGACATTTCCTCTAGACATGGTGCTGAGGAGCTTGACGACGAGTAATCGAGTAGACATTACGCCGATTATCACACGACCAAAGATTGGTGTTTCTCTTCTATTTCCGTATTTCCGTGTTGCATAGCGGCGTTATACATCTGGGATGCGTGCATGGATCACTTTGGGAACTTGGGCGACGGTGGCACGGATTTTATGACTTTTTCCTTTGCAATCAGAACATATGCCGTTGATTCGTTCGCATTGATCTGTTCTTCTCTCATGATTTGCGCAGGTGGTGGCTCTTGTCTCATTCCGGACTTGATTACTTCTGTATTATGACTCTCGCTCTGCGCGAATCTACGTCTAAACATCACTCAATACTGCAATGACAAGTCATGGACGAACATCCTCAAGCAGGGTTAGGCTTGAGACCAATCTGCAAACGCAGCTTCTCCCTCTTCATCATCTCATTTCCATCACGATCAGCCTCGAGAGCACTGAGCATGGCGTCGACAACAGTAAGTTCATTGCCAAGCAAATCAGCAAGTGTTCGTAATGATTTGTTAGATGGTTGCAGGTAAACTCACCGCTCAGCTTCGCCAACACCTTTAGCGTCTCTGAAACTTGTCAGTGGTCTCCCATTCTTGAGCGAAAGCAGGGGATGCAGTTTATCGTCTGCACTGACTAGTTGACTGTTGGCTACTCTGGCAACATTGTTTGCATTNNTCTGTTTTGTTTTTTAATGGCGGTCAGCGGAACAGTTTGCTAGATCGTGTTTACATGTGCAGCCGTTTGGGCCAAGGCGACACTTGAGAGAGGCAAAAGGATAGACGTACACGGCTTTGGTCTTGATGTCTAGTTTCTCGATCATGCGGACGGGGTCCTTTTCGCTGCCGGCAGCGGCTGGGGCTTTGGCTTGCTTGATGGGCGTGGTGGTTGATTGAGACATTTGTGTGTTCTATTCCTCTTTGTGCTCAGCAGCGGTGTGTTTTGAATGGCGTTGGTTTATTTTTGGCTGAAAATCACCAAATAACAAATTTGGATAAAAGTCACGCAATGATGGGAAAGACAAAAGAGAAGATGGACGACATGACGGCTGCCTTGACTTTTTCAATGATGGAACAGAGATGCTGGTTCCTGGATGCATGGATGCGAACCTGTTCCTGGATCCCTGTCATGTCATGAGTTGGCAGACGGGACATGCGAAACTCTGATGCCGGCTGTGACGAAATGGAAGCTGCGAGTCAAGCAAGCTCTCCTTGTGGAAGGATTTCCGCGATGTGATGGAGTCTGTTGCATGAATAGCTATGGGCATACACGATAGATACGGAGATCATGGCAACGTCTATTGGAGGCCATATAGTCCTCGGCTTCTACTAAACACATTACTGATTTGAAGCTGCTTGATTGTCAACTCGAAGATGAACTTGTGACAGCTTGGGAAGGTGGAGGAGCTTTGGAAGGAGCTTCTCCGCACCACACCGTTTCGAGAAGAATGCGATGGCACGGTGATTGGCTGACATTAAGTCCGAAGAGGCAGGAGCTCGAGCTCGGGTCAATTGGTCAGATGAGATGGCGGTGCCTGGGGCAACTGCATCAGTCATACACATCCAAAGGCCACCTGCTGATAACACGACTCGCTCTTTCCTCCCCAGAGTACATCTATTCCTCGACTTGCTCACTCGCATACCGTCTCAATCCCTCCTTCCGTTTTACGTCCTTTGAGCAATCACAACACAGCCATCATGGTCAAGAACATGCAGGGATTGTCCCGCAAGACGTCAACACAATCCTTTGACCACCCAATGAACTCGCCGCCGCCGCTATTCGAAATGCCTCCCAACTTCAGGGAGAGAATCGAGGCCGAGATCAACAGAGCTTCCTATTCGGACTATCGCACACAACTCGAGCTCCTGCACGAGCACAACAAGCAACGCCTCGCCATTGAACAACTACAGCTGGACAAGATGTTGCAGTCTGCCACACTACACGCCCAATCCTCCTCGTACCGACCTGTGCCTGAGCCACCTGCCCCCATCTTCGCCACATCGCAGAATGCCGAGTCCTATGCTAAGCCATTCTGTGACTTCTTGACCGACAACCCTACTGTCTTTCATGCCGTCGACAGCATGGCTCAGGACCTCAAGCACTACGGCTTCACCAAGCTTAGCGAGAGAGACTCGTGGCGTATCGAGCCTGGTGGCAAGTACTTTGTCGAGCGTAACGGCAGCAGTCTGATTGCTTTCGTTGTCGGCGACGACTATAAGTCTGGCAATGGTGCCGCTGTACTCGCTGGCCACGTTGACGCTCTCACCGCCAAGCTGAAGCCTGTTAGCAAAATTCCCAACAAGGCTGGTTACGTCGAGCTTGGTGTCGCTCCCTATGCAGGCGGTCTCGGCCCTACCTGGTGGGACCGCGACTTGAGTATCGGAGGCCGCGTTCTGGTCAAGGAAGGAAACAAGATTGTTACAAAGCTGGTCAAGCTCGGCTGGCCAATCGCTAAGATCCCCACACTGGCACCTCACTTTGGCACCCCTGCCAATGGCCCTTTCAACCTCGAGACGCAGGTTGTTCCCATCATCGGACTCGAGTCGTCGGCAAAGAACCAGATTGAGCCTCAGGCCAAGGCTGGTACTTTCGCTGCTACTCAGCCTCCTCGTCTCGTCCGCGCCATTGCCAAGGAGTTGGGTCTCAGTGATGGCTCTAGCATCGTCAATTGGGAGCTCGAGTTGTATGATATCCAGCCTGCCACTCTTGCTGGTCTTGACAAAGAATTCATCACCGCAGGCCGCATCGACGACAAGTTGTGCAGTTGGGCCGCACTCGAGGCTCTGAAGCAGAGCGCTCATAATGGCACTTCCGGCTCTAGCATCATCAAGATGGTTGGTCTCTTCGACGATGAGGAGATTGGCAGCGGACTCCGACAGGGAGCCCGTGGCAACTTCTTGCCAACTGTTGTGGAGCGCGCTGTCGGCAGTCTTGCAGGTCAACACCCTGGATCAGATCTTGTTGGCCGCACATACGCAAACTCATTCCTCGTCTCTTCCGACGTCACTCATGCCGTCAACCCCAACTTCGAGTCCGTATATCTCGCCAACCACGCCCCTCAGCTCAACGTTGGTGTCTCGGTTTCTGCAGACAGCAATGGTCACATGACCACAGACGCAGCGTCTACTGCCATCTTTACTCGTTGCGCAGAAAAGGTCGGCGCCACCCTACAGGTCTTCCAGATCAGGAACGACTCAAGATCAGGTGGTACTGTTGGACCTATGCTCAGTTGCGCTACCGGCATGCGTGCCATCGATGCAGGTATCCCACAGTTGAGCATGCACAGTATCCGTGCTACTACCGGTACCTCGGATCCTGGTCTTGGTGTCCAGATGTTCCAAGGTTTCCTTGACGGCTTCGAGTCCGTCGATGCCGAATTTAGAGATTAGATGCTTCTCGTATACGGCGGAAGTACTCATTGCATCATAAAGGCTATATGCCGCTAATTAGATATACTGCCATAATACCATCTTCTCAACATCGACATCGTCATCTTCCGTGGTATCACTACTCCGACGGCCTTGAACAAGTTTCTACCCTTCACAAATGACTAGTTACTTGAAAGAGCCACCATGTATGCGGGGACAGAACACCAACGGCTGAACAACGGCGACCGCTGGTAGAGTGAGGAGCATTCCTTCAGCTGAATAGCTGAATGCACTAGAAACGTTTCAATCAGATACTCGCAAGAACCAAATGGAGACGAACTCTCTGCAACTTTATGAACTTGTCTCAAGCAGACTCGAGCTGAATAATCTGCTTTTCGAACGCCACTTTCCTGATATTGTAGAGCTACGAAAACCAGTCCCTTGAGTGTTCCGTAGTCGCAGTCTGAGCAACTCCTGGTCGACGCGACCCTGTGTGCTATATAACGTGCCGTCCCATCCCAATTCAATTCTCTTTCTCACTAGCCCTCGTAGGCATATCTTTCTTCCTCATCTATATCTCTCCAAGATGAAACTCAACACCACTGTTGCTCTTGCTATACTCGGCGTTGCAACCGCTGCACCCCTGGAAGATCGATCATCCAAGGCTGCTACTTGTTTTGCAGTTGATCTTGTGGTCGACCTTCTACGCCTATATCCCTCGGCTTCACCATTCTGCTCATCCGTCTTGCGAATCTCAACCATCACTACCACCAAGACTGTATCTTCTACAGCTTCTTACACTTCACCCCTCACCACCACAGTCCCTACCACGGTCTCAACATTCACGAGCACTGCTGAGCCTATTACTGANATATTCAACCATGTCAGCACAAGAAAGTATCTTTTGAGAGACTTCGTCAACTAACGTTCATGTAGTGGAACAACCATTACGACTTGCATCCCCTCCGCCGTGAATAAGCGTGGTCTTGAAGGACGTGGCCGAGGCACAGCTCCCATACCTGCCAGCATAAGCATTCCTGGCGTATGTGCTGGAGCCCCTGGTGTTCTCAAGAACATTGCCTGCAACGCGATCACAAGTGCTTGTGGTTGTCTCGGCATCCCGACTCCGACGTCTACTGTAACGCAGACTCTGATCTCATCCACGACTGCTTATCCAGTGGTGACGGCGTACTCGAGCATTGTAGCGACTATCACAGTGACAAGTACTACCACAGTTCCTACGACATCAACCTCTACGGTCAACTATTGTCCCGTGCCCTCAAGTTGCAACAATGCCGGAATCCGATGGGTGAGATGCTATCTCCTGAATGCTGTGTTGAATATTCATACTGAAGCGATATCCAGNGGATACTACCCCAACTACGAACACAACAACATCGGCGGTGACGACGGCTACTACAGAAACTACGACCCCACAGTCATAAAATCGCTAACTCCTGACTACCAATCCACGGCATCCGTCTGCGGCGGACTAAACTTCGACTACGTGACCTCCATCTCCATCTACGGAAGCTCACAAACCTTTGCCTCTGAATACTTCACTCTAAACCACGTCGGCTACATTTTCGCCCAAGTCACCGGCACGTACACGTTTACTCTGAGTAATGTGGATGACATTGTGATGCTTTGGCATGGTGACCATGCCATCTCGGGCTGGACACGCGATAATGCAGATGTCACGGCGATTTATTCTGTTCAGCCCACTGCGTCTGGCACTGTTGATTTGGTGCAAGGACAATATTTGCCGTTTAGGATTGTGTTTGGAAATGCGCAGGGGGCGATCAAGTTTACCGTGCAGCTTGCTGCTCCTGATGGGACCGTCATTTTGGACAGTAATACGCAGGACTCGAAGTTTTTGGTCAGGTATTCTTGTGATGGGGTTGTTGCTCCTGAGTTTCCTGCCTTTGGCTCGGAGACTTGAGATGATGCTTGGAGGGAGTTGATGTTAGAGACCGTGGGAGTTGCTTTGGTGCGATAAGATCTCGGTTCAAGAGTTGTATCTCAATGATTTACTATACTTCCTCTCTGAGAATTCGCTTCCTTGCGGAGTGTTTGATAGGATAGTTCGGATGTGTTGGTCTGATTTTTTGATGATAATGACAGACACTGGGCATCCTTTTTTGAATAATCTGGTGCAAAGCATATTAATATTCATGTCGAAGCAAGAACGACGGGAATAATGAAAACACACGTTGCATATCTTGTCAGACTAAGCAGTTATATCTCTAGCCTCTCCTTTGTCCCACCTTGAGATAGTTCTGCGTCTCGTGTTTACCATTAAATGTCTGCTATAGTGTTTTTGTCCCTCGACTCTCTGATAGAATGTAGAGGTTCTATAGTATGCTCGTTGGCTGGTGGTAGATGATGTAATATCATGTTGGACCCCAATCCACTTGTTGGAAGCTGTAGAGCACTTCCCGCTCACGGACAATCATCAAAGTACCAAGTGCCAGTATCATGATCATGCTTTGAGTCAGCAAAGAAATGAGCAAATCTGGACTCGGGCGAGGGGTCAGAAGCA